TTGCTAGTGGTTGGTTTTTAGATGTCTGATTTTGTTAAGGTTTTATGGGGTTGGACTGTATTGAGAGCAGCCATTCTCTTCATATATGCCCTACTACACTGACTCAAGGAAGCCGGCAATATGTTAAACAATGACAGGGAGATACAGTAGTTGAGAAGGCTGAAAGGTTGAGGTGGACTAATGGATTGAACCCTCATCTCCAGGGGCCATATCTGGTTTGGAGCTTTCAGCAATACCGCTATACCAGCCTCCTACACTGCTGACCCATAGTGTCTCTTAGAACTCCTCCACACCACATGTATCATCATGTCACAGTAGAGTTTGCAGGGACGTGCAGAATCCATTGGCTCTGCCAGAGTGGGCGCCCTCTCCACCTGACTGGACGAATCTTGGCTGTCCTCCTGGGAGGTTATCCAAGGACAGTGGTCCAGTACTGGGATTCTTCCTGTCCTCCTGGGAGGTTATCCAAGGACAGTGGTCCAGTACTGGGATTCTTCCTGTCCTGCTGGGAGGTTATCCAAGGACAGTGGTCCAGTACTGGGATTCTTCCTGTCCTGCTGAGAGGTTATCTCAGGACAGTGGTCCAGTACTGGGATTATTCCTGTCCTGCTGAGAGGTTATCTCAGGACAGTGGTCCAGTACTGGGATTCTTCCTGTCCTGCTGAGAGGTTATCTCAGGACAGTGGTCCAGTACTGGGATTCTTCCTGTCCTGCTGAGAGGTTATCTCAGGACAGTGGTCCAGTACTGGGATTCTTCCTGTCCTGCTGAGAGGTTATCTCAGGACAGTGGTCCAGTACTGGGATTCGTCCTATCCTGCTCAGGTCTACTGTATTATTACTTAATCAGGCTTGGGTGTTGAAGGGAGAGGTATTGATCTGATTGATCTGATGTTTGTTGTTTATAGCAGTGTGACAGTTGACTAACACTTTAAGTTGAGTTGCCCTTATACCTATGGAACTATACGGGAATAACTGAATAATTGTATATTGGATATTCTAGTACACAATATTAACCTTGTATATGCACAATGTTGTAACTGGAGATCAAGGATGAAATAACATTAACTTAAGGTCACAAGATCTGAAATGGCTTCATGCTGTTATGTAATGTGTATCTTCACACAAGGGGGTAATCACAGTCAGGTAGTCAGAAACTATGAACATTAAGGAAACTGCGTTTGCTTTTTGCTCAGAAAATGACTTTATTCTGGTGTGACAATATACCCTAGAGCTGGACTATAATCCATATGGTGATAAATTGTCTGAATTGATGTGAAAACGATAAATAAAACGATACGTTTATAACTTTAATGTACACCATCGTTTGTTTAAATTATCCTACTACTAGTTTGATGGTTGTAGCCATCAATTGTCCCATTAACATTCACCCATATTAGCAAACTTATTTAATTTAAAACTTCACATTTCTCTAGTATAGGCTACTTATCGTAATGAACGATATCAGCAAAATGCCTGGGCTAAGTGATCGGTGTGGTCGGTGTCGATAATTTTCAGTTTATCGTCCGAGATCTAATATAGCCCTACCTCTAACCCGTTATAGATAGAATCGGTACCCTGTGTTCTTTTTATGTTAGGATAAGTGTGGGAAACATGCTGTGTTAGTGGGTGTAACCATCCGGCCTGGTCTGGGAATAGCATGGTGCTCATAGTGACCCCAGTGTTAGGTTAGAGTCTTAGGTTGCATCCCAAATGGCACCCTATTCCCTATATAGTACACTTCTTTTGACAAGAGCCCTATGGGACCTGGTCAAAGGTAGTGCACTATAAAGGGGATAGGGTATCATTTGGGATGAAGACTTACTCTCATGGCTCATTTACTGGTCACGTCCCATCAAGAGAACAGCTGTGATTATTTCATTACCATTAATCTCGGCAGCCAGAACCAAATAAGCTACTGTTAAAGATGTCATGAGAGATTAGATTACCATAGCTTGCCACTAGATTTGGTTTATATTGAGTTATTTAACCTCTATATATTCAGGTTGCTATTGTTGAGATAAAATCTATTTTGTAAAAGTGACCTGTTCCAAATGGCCCTAAGCCGGTACCATATTCTGAATAACAAATATACATCGAAAATGCATCATTATATACTTAGATCAGTGAGGGACTGAACCTCGGTGAGCCATGCATGCACGCACACATACGCACTCACGCACCGACGCACACATACACACATACAAACACACACACACACACACACACTGCTATTCTAGTCAGACTTATGTACTGTCCAAATCATGAAAGACAAAACTATGACTGCTCTGGGTTTACCAAACTCATATTTTATTTGCTACCGTTGCATTCATTACATTCCATCAATTATGATGAGCCTGTCCTCTCCCCTCCCCATTTATCCCCCCTTCCAACATCTATAATCAGATGTCTGTTTCAAGTTTACTATACGTGGCTAATACATTGATCCTGCTCTGAGAAATTCACCCAGGTCAGCTATTGGACATTTTGAGCAAGAAGCAACCTCCCTTCTCTCTCTACGGAAAAGTTGTAGTCTTTACTTAAAGAGGAGGGAGGGGCTGTTACTCAGAAATAACTGAATCGATATCCAACGCAATAACAGTAATTCTGAACATTTACTTCTAAAATAACTGAGTAGCTGTTTGTTAATGGTGGGAGAACAGGGAGGTAGTGTATGAGTGTGAGTACATGTCTATATATCTGAGGATGTTACTAAGCATTTCTATTGGCTGCTTTCTTCCCTGTCCACCTCCTCCCTCCGGTTTAGAAGTTGATGTTTTATGCCTCCATCACACCGACAGCATCATTGCGTTTTGGTGCACCAGAAGTACATTCATTTCCAATGGAACACTGCGTTTGCCTTGCAGCATTGAGTTGCAGAGGCAGTTGCAGTGCATTTTGTGTGGTGCATACCTTGGATTTATCGAATGTATGCATCAAACTGTATGTTGAATGTTGAACTTCTGTTTCACACATATCCAGATGCGTACTATTTTGCACAATGACGCTGTCGGTGTGTGATACCCGGGACATCCGTACGTAAAATGTATGCACGCATGACTGTAAGTCGCTTTCGATAAAAGTGTCTGTTAAATTACATATACAGTGCATTCGGAAAATGTTCAGACCCCTTTACTTTTTCCACATTTTCTTACGTTACAGCCTTATTCTACAATTGATTTAAAAAAAAAAATCATCATCAATCTACACACAATACCCCATAATGAAACAGGTTTTTAGAAATGTTTTCACATTTATACAAAAATAAAAAACAGAAATACCTTATTTACATAAGTATTCAGACCCTTTGCTATGAGGCTCGAAATTGAGCTCAGGTGCATCCTGTTTCCATTGATCATCCTTGAGATGTTTCTACAACTTGATTGGAGTCCACCTGTTGGAAATTCAATTGATTGGACATGATTTGGAAAGTCACACACCTGTCTGTATAAGGTCCCACAGTTGACAGTGCATGTCAGAGCAAAAACCTAGCCATGAGGTCAAAGGAATTGTCCGTAGAGCTCCGAGACAGGATTTTGTCGAGGCACAGATCTGGGGAAGGGTACCAAAAAATTTCTGCAGCATTGAAGGTCCCGAAGAACACAGTGGCCTCCATCATTCTTAAATGGAAGAAGTTTGGAACCACCAAGACTCTTCCAAGAGCTGGCCACCCGGCCAAACTGAGCGATCTGAGGGAGAAGGGCATTAGTCAGGGAGGTGACCTAGAACCCGATGGTCACTCTGACAGAGCTCCAGAGTTCCTCTGTGGAGATGGGAGAACCTTCCAGAAGGACAACCATCTCTGCAGCACTCCACCAATCAGGCCTTTATGGTAGAGTGGCCAGACGGAAGCCACTCCTCAGTAAAAGGCACATGACAGCCACCTAAAGACTCTCAGACCAGAGAAACAAGATTCTCTGGTCTGATGAAACCAAGATTGAACTCTTTGGCCTGAATGCCAAGCGTCATGTCTGGAGGAAACCTGGCACCATCCCTACGGTGAAACATGGTGGTGGCAGCATCATGCTGTGGGGATGTTTTTCAGTGGCAGGGAGACTAGTCAGGATCGAGGGAAAGATGAACGGATCAAAGTACAGAGAGATCCTTGATGAAAACCTGCTCCAGAGCGCTCAGGACCTCAGACTGGGGCGAAGGTTCACCTTCCAACAGGACAACTACCCTAAGCCCACAGCCAACACAACGCAGGAGTGGCCTTGAGTGGCCCAGCCAGAACCCACATTTTAACCTGATTGAACATCTCTGGAGAAACCTTAAAATAGCTGTGCAGCGACACTCCCCATCCAACCTGACAGAGCTTGAGAGGATCTGCAGAGAAGAATGGGAGAAACTCCCCAAATACAGATGTGTCAAACTTGTAGCGTCATGTCCAAGAAGACTCGAAGCTGTAATCGCTACCAAAGGTGCTTCAAAATACTTATGTAAATGTGATATTTCAGTAGTTTTTTATTTTTTAAATAAATTTGCATTATGGAGTATTGTGTGGAGATTGATGAGGAAAAAAAACAATTTAATCACATTTAGAATAAGGCTGTAACGTAACAAAATGTGGAAAAAGCGAAGGGGTCTGAATACGTTCCGAATGCGCTGTATTACTATTGTATTATGATGATATATTATAGATGCAGTCAGTGGACTGGACTGGGGCCAGAACCTGAGGCACCCAGAACCTGAGGGCCTTTAGTTACATTGAAAAGGCGTTCTAGTAGAAGTCAGAGACCAGTAGAGATACAGAGGGGTTGTATGGAAGTGATCATTAATGGTCGTCATTCTTAGACAGAACTGGTCTGTCTTTGATTTTAAGGTATTTTAATGAATTTGAATGATTTTAGGCCAATCAATGCCTTTGTATAACATTAACCTTAATCTACAATGTAACTGAACACTACCTCAGGTGCATAGTCAGTGTTTCTTCTTTTCATTTCAGGTAAACTATGACCAGGTGGATTGTATTACTATGTGTGTGTCTGTGCGTCACCTCAGCAACATTCAACAACTATCAGCAAATCAGCAGCTATGAGGAGCACTCCTTTCTGGGTAAGGGGACTTATTACACCCCGTTATACATTACATATGAAATGACATATTTATCTGTGTGTGGTTTCATGGCTTTGTGTGTGTGTGTGTGACTGTGTCTGTGTCTTTACCTGTGTATGTTTGTTAATCTTTGTCTGTCTGTCTGTCTGTCTGTCTCTCTGTGTGTGTGTGTGTGTGTGTGTGTGTGTGTGTGTGTGTGTGTGTGTGTGTGTGTCCATCTCTCTGCCCTCTTCCCCTCCAGACCCTGAGGACACACTGAGTGTGAGTGTCCCACTGGAGCTGCCCCAGCGCCCTCTACTGGGCAGCACCTTGGTACTACCCTGCTACTTCCAGGTAGGTCCACCTGGCGCCACTATCAATACTACACAGATATGAGAAATAAGGATGTTGGATTTAGCAATACAAATCATATTATTAGATTTTTTTATTTAAAAGAAACAACATGACCACCTCCTGGTTGAGGGACCCTCCCTTCACTGTTTTAACTCCCTTCACTGCTTTAACTCATTTTTACATTTTAAGTCATGTAGAGCGACTTACAGTTAGTGCATACATCACTATTTTTAATACCCCCGTGGGAATCGAACCCACAACCCTGGCGTTGCAAACACCATGCTCTACAAACTGAGCTACATCCCCTGCTGGCCATTGCCTCCCCTACCCTAGACGACGCTGGGCCAATTGTGCGCCGCCCCATGGGTCTCCCGGTCGCAGCCGGCTACGACAGAGCCTGGATTCGAACCAGGATCTCTAGTGGCACAGCTAGCACTGCGATGCAGTGCCTTAGACCACTGCGCCACTCGGGAGACCCTTCACTGTTTTAACTCCCTTCACTGTTTTAACTCTCGCCAGTGCTTTAACTCCCTTCACTGTTTTAACTCCCTTCACTGTTTTAACTCTCGCCAGTGCTTTAACTCCCTTCACTGTTTTAACTCCCTTCACTGTTTTAACTCCCTTCACTGTTTTAACTCCCTTCACTGTTTTAACTCCCTTCACTGTTTTAACTCCCTTCACTGTTTTAACTCCCTTCACTGTTTTAACTCTCGCCAGTGCTTTAACTCCCTTCACTGCTTTAACTCCCTTCACTGTTTTAACTCCCTTCACTGTTTTAACTCTCGCCAGTGCTTTAACTCCCTTCACTGCTTTAACTCCCTTCACTGTTTTAACTCCCTTCACTGTTTTAACTCCCTTCACTGCTTTAACTCCCTTCACTGTTTTAACTCCCTTCACTGTTTTAACTCTCGCCAGTGCTTTAACTCCCTTCACTGCTTAAACTCCCTTCACTGTTTTAACTCCCTTCACTGTTTTAACTCCCTTCACTGTTTTAACTCCCTTCACTGTTTTAACTCCCTTCACTGTTTTAACTCCCTTCACTGCTTTAACTCCCTTCACTGTTTTAACTCCCTTCACTGTTTTAACTCCCTTCACTGCTTTTAACTCCCTTCACTGTTTTAACTCCCTTCACTGTTTTAACTCCCTTCACTGCTTTAACTCCCTTCACTGTTTTAACTCCCTTCACTGTTTTAACTCCCTTCACTGTTTTGACTTGTTTTCATGTTTCTCATAATATTGTTTAATGTATCAACTCTTTTCACATATTTGATTCCTGGTGAGGAGAAAACTCAGTTAGACAGGACTGCAGTTCAATTGATCAATGATGAGTTACAGTGATACAAAGTTCCATGATAAGAAACCCCATTGTAGTTCCACCATTATGTGTTTTATTTCAGACGGGGTCATCAACATGTAAAAAGAGCATTTAATATCGTATTGTAACGTAATTATGTTTTTCTAATAAACTTGAACTTGAACTATAACCCTACTTCCAGGACCACACCGTCCACGACCCCGGCGCCCCCACCATTGCCACCCTGTCCCACCGCATCAAATGGAGCCGCATCACCAAGGAGCATGTCTCTGTCATCCTGGTGGCCATGGACGGAGAGGTCAAGGTGGAGGAGGACTATCTGGATCGGGTCCACATGGTGGGCTATCCCCAGACCCCCACTGACGCCAGCATCAAGATCACAGAGTTGAGGTCCAACGACACTGGCACCTACCGATGTGAGGTACAGCACGGCATCGAGGACAACCATGACACTGTGGACGTCCTGGTTCAAGGTAGGGACAGAGGGTAGTGGGAGTGTTACGGCTGCTTGCTGCCAAGGAATTCATGTTTTGTTATTGCTCTCTTTGTAAACAAAGTTGGTGCTTATAGCTACCACTGTACAAATGTTAGTTTCTATCTTTAGATTTCAGGACATTAAAGAGGTTATACGGAACTTTTGCTTATATGGTTTCTCTTGGCCAAAAGGGACGGGGTCCTAAATTAACAGAAACATTGTCCATAAATTGCCTAATTGAAAATACCCCCACACACCAATGAGCAAAATCATATATTATTTGCCTAAAACTAAGGATTTGTATGGTTTCATTTGTGATTTTTTAAAAATGATATTCTATCATTTGCTGTATGTACTGTATATAAACCATGCAGCCAACTTTCAAGCAAAATAAATAATGTATCTTTAATCCACACAGATAGACAGTGATCTAATTATTTTATGGAGGCATTAGTGGCTGCTCTGTCGCTGTTATACTATGATCTCTCTCCAGGTATTGTGTTCCACTACCGGGCCATCACGACACGCTACACTCTGACCTTTGAGAAGGCCAAGGCAGCCTGTATCCAGAACAGTGCTGTGATCGCGACCCCAGAGCAGCTGCAGGCAGCGTACGATGACGGCTTCCACCAGTGTGACGCCGGCTGGCTCTCCGATCAGACTGTCAGGTCAGTCTATATCCCTCTCCTTCATCTGCACTGATCTGAAATCAGTTCCTGTTTTCAGATCAATGCCGAAGCAGTGAAGTGAATGAAGTGACTGGAAAGAACTGAACTGATTTCAGATCAAAGTGAAGGAGAGAGTCTATAAGGCTTGTCTTCAAATAGTGTTTGTTTTCTATAAAATATTAAGTGAGCTTGAGGGAGCTTGCCTGACGCAATGGAGCCAATGGAATAGTCCCAAAAGTGCAAGCTCCGCCTATCTGGTACTCCAACCAGGCTCAATCAGATGCTTTGAAAGAAAACAATGATCTAAAAAAATACACCAAATACTTAGAATTTTGAACCCAGGTCTGCAGTCTATCCAAAGTTTGAAAATAAGTTAAAAGATTTTATTACACAGTTTATAATGACTGTGCATACAGTTCTCTAAGCATCATGAGGTCTTGAGATCATTTACTTTATATAGGAATTATGAATATAGATAGACTTGTCGGTTTGTATTTCAACATTGTCCATTTATTCCATGATTCCATTTTCATGTCAGTATTTGGATTGGTCATCCGTCTAAACACAGACGTCTGCCATGCTGAACTTTCTGTTGAATGTTTGACAGTTGAGCCTCTGAACGTGTCACTTCCTCTCGACACACAGCCTCTCTTGTCCTCATTTCCATCCCTCCTTCCATCCCTGGCAAAAACCTAGAGGATTGTGTTTACCTTTCTCTGATCTCACCTGTACGTTTTTTCAACACCTCAGAATGAAAGCCCTCATTCCATAAGCCTCCTCTAGTCGATTTCTCAGAAATACTAGAGGGTTTAGAGGAAACGTTGTGGGCTGGTTTTCCGGACACACATTAAGCCTAGTCTTGGGCTAAGAAGCTTTTTAAAGCTTTTTAAGTCTCAGTCTAGGAAACCCTTAAAGATTTATCCATGGAAATAACATGTTTGAAATAATATGTTACCCAGGAAGGAAGACAAAGGCTCCAATTCATTCAATAAACTAACACGGCACTGCCTCAACTGATTCACTCAGAATGTTTATGTTGTAATGGAGGTGTTAACCATATTAAACCAACACATTGAATTTAATTGAATTTATTTGGGTCAAAACATATACAACGAGATATGCATCGGAACCCCAGAGGATAGCACTTTAAAGTATCACTCTGCAAAGTAGGCCTATCGCTCTGCACTGGTATGGATTTTATACTAATTTCTGTTTTCTGTGAAAGGTACCCAATCCATGATCCACGTGAGAATTGCTACGGCGACAAAGACGAGTTCCCCGGGGTGCGAACCTACGGAGTGAGAGACGTCAACGAGACTTACGACGTGTACTGTTTTGCCGAGAAGATGACAGGTAACCAAGGAGACGTCCTTGATCTTTTTTTCATAAGTGAAAAACAGAATGAGATCAGGACATGTTCACCTTGGAGAATACAATACGTTTTCACAGACAACTTTTTCACTCTGATGTGAAAATCGGGAACATTTACATTTTGATGAATGTGCATTGCCTTAATCAAATAAATGAGTTACATTGACTCAAATATTCTTAACTACACAACTATCAACCTCAAGTTACACTGAACATGTCACTACCTCACCTCCCCTGTTGTTCCCTCTCCCAGGCAGTGTGTTCTACTCTGGCTCTGTGGCTAAGTTCACCTACTCCGAGGCTGAGGAACAGTGCAGGAAGCAGGGGGCCCTGTTGGCCACCACAGGACAGCTGTACCTGGCCTGGCAGGCTGGTCTGGATGTGTGCAATGCAGGCTGGCTGGGGGACAGGAGCGTCCGCTACCCCATCAACATCCCAAGGCCGCAGTGCGGAGGGGGTCTGCTGGGGGTACGGACCGTGTACCTCCACGTCAACCAGACGGGGTACCCACTCCCTGAATCCCGCTACGATGCCTACTGCTACACAGGTAGGTTGCATTTAGCCTGGTCCCAGATCTGTTTGTGCCAAACATGACAACAACTATAGGAGTTGGCTATATAGCACAAACAGATCTAGAACCAGGCTAGGTTACACTGTGAATCAACCATAGACTTAATACCAGTGTATGTACAGTATGTCATCATTGGAAGGAACCTACCGACACAAGATTATTTTTGTGTTTCATAAGCGTTTTAGTGTCATATTTGTAAGCGTGTGTGTGTTTGCGTGTGCATTTTTGTGTCATATTTGTGTAATATTTTTAAGCGTTTCATTGTTTCATATTTTTCAAATGGCTGAATTTGTTCAGGATCACAACATTGTTAAGTGCAACAGTAAACAACCATTCGCACCACACGTTTCAGTTTCGAAACCGTTCCCAAGAGTTTAGCGATCACAAGCATGAACCCTTTCTTCGGTCTCCTCCAGAAACGGACGAGGACGGCTCGGGCATGGTGGTGCCCACCAAGGCGGGCAGCGGCGTGCTGAGCGTCGCCACAGTGACCCAGGGTCCTCCCGAGGTGTTCTTCAGGAAGACGGCCACGGAGAGCGAGGCGTTGGGCGATGTCCTGGCCACCCAGAAACCCACCAGCGTGGACTTCACCTTCGGGACTGAGCTGCCCCTGCCACAGCCACCCAGTGTCACAGAGCTTCCGTTCCCACAGCCGCCCAGTGTCACCGAGCTGCCCCTGCCACAGCCGCCCAGTGTCACCGAGCTGCTCCTGCCACAGCCGCCCAGTGTCACCGAGCTGCCCCTGCCACAGCTGCCCAGTGTCACCGAGCTGCCCCTGCCACAGCCGCCCAATGTCACCGAGCTGCCCCTGCCACAGCCGCCCAGTGTGACAGAGTTGGTTGTGGATGTTGTGGGGAGAGTAACGGCCAGGCCAGATGTGGGGAGTGAGATCAGCAAAGTGAGCGGATCAGGATATTTATTTTCTGCTACAGGTCAGTGACTGGATATCTGCTGTGTTTGAGTGTAAATAGCATACGTAGTCACTTTTCTTGGGATGCTGTGTTGGAAAAGTTGTTGCTGGAACAATTGAGTGTGCAAGCCCTACTTTCAATACTACTGTGAGTTTGCATGTTGAAATGGAAAGAGAAGAATTGCAGTCATTGATGAGGAGACTTGCCAGCTTTATAATTGATATAAAAATCTGAATGATTACAAACTGTGAATGAAAACACACTTGGGTGATGAATGTGTCTGGTGCATGAGATCAACCACATTATATCAGCATTATTACCCCCCCCCCCATCTGTAGGTGTTGTGTTCCACTACCGTGCTGGCTCTACCCGCTACGCCTTCACCTTCGAGGAGGCCCAGCTGGCCTGTCAGAGTGTTGGAGCCTCCATCGCCACCCCAGAGCAGCTCCAGGCTGCCTATGAGGCCGGCTACCACCAGTGTGATGCAGGCTGGCTTCTGGATCAGACCGTCAGGTAGGAAGGAAGACACACATGCTTGTCTGTATAGATGTACATGGGCACACAAACATATTTAAAGACAGAACTACAGACATATTAATACATGCATACACACACTAACTACGGGAGGCTGCTGAAGGGAGGATGGCTCATAATAATGCCTGGAATGGAGTAAATGGAATGGTATGAACAACATGGAAACCATGTGTTTGATTTGTTCAATACCATTCAATTTATTCAGTTCCAGCCATTACTATGAGTCTGTCCCCCCCAATGAAGGTGCCACCAGCCTCGGGCCGCCTGTGCCCCACACAGAGACTGTACTTGTTTCAAGTCCTTGTCACTGTTCCTTACCATCAGTACAACCATCTTCTTTTCTTCTTTATACGCCCATTCATGACCGTGAATAAAGGTTGTTGTCATGCCCAGGTATCCAATCGTGTCTCCTCGGGAAAAGTGCTCTGGGGATCTGGAGACTTTACCAGGAGTGAGGTCCTATGGACTGAGGCCCGCTGATGAACACTACGATGTGTACTGCTACGTGGACAGACTCAGGGGTGAGAAAACACACTAGGTTTTGTTCATTCAAATTGCTCTTGAATCACTTTGTAACCCAGAGACGTTGTCATAGCTTGTGTCTATTTCTTGTCTGTCTATTGCAGTAGAAGTCTTTAAAGATAAGTCAAGAGGTTGGGCTAGTTTGTTGTATATACACTGTCTTAACCATGTGGGAAATGAATGGCAATTGAAAAAGAGGTTTGGCTCATCACAAACCACAACGCTGTGGGAGTTGTTTTGAGCACTGCCTCAACTGTCATGTCCTTTCATTCTCTCCTTTTCTCTTCCACTTTCTCACCATCCTCTCATCCCTTAACCTGTCTCCTCTCCTCTCCTCTCCTCTCCTCTCCTCTCCTCTCCTCTCCTCTCCTCTCCTCTCCTCTCCTCTCCTCTCCTCTCCTCTCCTCTCCTCTCCTCTCCTCTCCTCTCCTCTCCTCTCCTCTCCTCTCCTCTCCTCTCCTCTCCTCTCCCCTCATCCCTTAACCTGACTGTCCTCTCTTCTCTAGGCGATGTGTTCCATGCTGGCTCCAGTGAGGGCTTTACCTACGACGGTGCTCTGGCTCACTGTCAGGAGCTGAACGCTACCCTGGCCTCTACTGGACAGCTCTACGCCGCCTGGAGACAAGGGTTGGATAAGTGCCGCGCAGGCTGGCTAATCGACCGGAGCGTCCGCTACCCCATCACCAACCCCCGGGCGGCGTGTGGTGCAGGGAAGGCAGGGGTGTACACAGTATTCACGCACAACAACCAGACGGAATACCCAGACCTGTACTCCAGATATGACGCCTACTGCTTCAAAGGTATGGACTGAAATGCGTTGAATCATAAGTCATGTTGTTTCCATTTTCTCACTCACTCTCACTCACTTGCTCGCTCGCATTCTCACTCACTCACTCACCTACTCTCTCTCACTCACTCACACAATCACTCACTCACCCACTCACTCACTCACTCAAAAATCTTTTTTTTCCTTGTAGTGGACATCTTGCTTCTCGCCAATGAAACTGGATTGAACATCACAGAGATAGAAGAGGCTTTGGTTAACCTCACATCCATCACTGATTTGCTGAGGCCTGGTAAGAGCCATAGTCTTCATTTGCTCTTAATAAGCATTTTATGGAATTCTACACTAGAAATGAAAGAGTATATATATATATATATATATATATATATATATATATATATATATATATATACAGTTGAAGTCGGAATTTTACATGCACTTAGATTGGGGTCATTAAAACTTGTTTTTCAACCACTCCACAAATTTCTTGTTAACAAACTATAGTTTTGGCAAGTCGGTAAGGACATCTACTTTGACTGTGCCTTTAAACAACTTGGAAAATTCCAGAAAATGATGTCATGGCTTTAGAAGCTTCTGATAGGCTAATTGACATCATTTGAGTCAATTGGAGGTGTACCTGTGGATGTATTTAAAGGACTACCTTCAAACTCAGTGCCTCTTTGCTTGACATCATGGGAAAATCAAAAGAAATCAGCCAAGACCTCAGAAAAAAAATTGTAGACCTCCACAAGTCTGGTACATCCTTGGGAGCAATTTCCAAACGCCTGAAGGTACCAGATTCATCTGTACAAACAATAGTACGCAAGTGTAAACACCATGGGACCACGCAGCCGTCATAACCGCTCAGGAAGGAGACGCGTTCTGTCTCCTAGAGAAAAGTGCAAATCAATCCCAGAACAACAGCAAAGGACATTGTGAAGATGCTGGAGGAAACAGGTACAAAAGTATCTATATCCACAGCAAAATGAGTCCTATATCGACATAACCTGAAAGGCCGTTCAGCAAGGAAGAAGCCACAGCTCCAAAACCGTCATAAAAAAGCCAGACTACGGTTTGCAACTGCACATGGGGACAAAGATCGTACTTTTTGGAGAAATGTCCTCTGGTCTGATGAAACAAAAATAGAACTGTTTGCCCATAATGACCATTGTTATGTTTGGTGGAAAAAGGGGGTAACTTGCAAGCCGAAGAACACCATCCCAACTGTGAAGCACGGGGGTGGCAGCATCATGCTGTGGGGGTGCTTTGCTGCAGGAGGGACTGGTGCACTTCACAAAATAGATGGCATCATGAGGAAGGAAAATTATGTGGATATATTGAAGCAACATCTCAAGACATCAGTCAGGAGGTTAAAGCTTGGTCGCAAATGGGTCTTCCAAATGGACAATGACCCCAAGCATACTTCCAAAGTTGTGGCAAAATGGCTGAAGGACAACAAAGTCAAGGTATTGGAGTGGCCATCACAAAGCCCTGACCTCAATCCTATAGAACATTTGTGGGCAGAACTGAAAAAGCGTGTGCGAACAAGGAGGTCTACAAACCTGACTCAGTTACACCAGCTCTGTCAGGAGGAATGGGCCAAAATTCACCCAACTTATTGTGGGAAGCTTGTTGAAGGCTACCCGAAACGTTTGACCCAAGTTAAACAATTTAAAGGCAATGCTACCAAATACTAATTGAGTGTATGTAAACTTCTGACCCACTGGGAATGTGATGAAAGAAATAAAAGCTTAAATAAATCATTCTCTCTACTATTATTCTGACATTTCACATTCTTAAAATAAAATGGTGATCCTAACTGACCTAAGACAGGGAATCTTTACTAGGATTAAATGTCAGGAATTGTGAAAAACTGAGTTTAAATGTATTTGGCTAAGGTGTATGTAAACTTCCGACTTCAACTGTATGTACATTATTGAAATATGTAAATCCCTTTTCTTTCTTTCTTTCTTTCTTTCTTTCTTTCTTTCTTTCTTCTTTCGTTCTTCATCTGCTCGTCTTTCTTTCTGATCTCTTCTCTCTCGCTCTTCTCTATCGATCTCTATCTCTCTCTCTCTCTCTCTCTCTCTCTCTCTCTCTCTCTCTCTCTCTTTCTCTTTCTCTCACTTTCACTCTCTCTCCACAGTCCTGCCTTCCATCACTGCTCCCATCTCTGTGGAGTCCTCAGGCTCTGGTTCTGGTTCCGGGGCCTCTGGGGCCAGTGGATCATCCGGAGATCTCTCTGGTGATCACTCCGGTGAACTGCCTTATTCCGGGAATCTGTCTGGGTCAGGTGATCTTTCAGGCAGCGGGAGCGCCGAGATTCCCAGTGGATCGTCTGGCCTGAGTAGTGGAGATGCGTCCGGTTCGGGGCTGAGTGGAGACGGATCGGGAATAACGGTAATCTTCTCTTCAGGGAGCGGCAGTGTTTTATCCGGTTCGGGCTCTGGGGGTCCTCAGGAGGCTGGAGAGGGAAGCATTGGGATCCTAACCTTCCCCACAGGAATGGGATCGGGAATGGGATTGGGAATGTTCAGTGGCAGTGCGTTCCTGTCGGGATCGGGAAGTGGATCCGGTGTCAGCTCTGAAGAGAGCGGCTCTTCGTCCGACAGCTCCAGCAGCTCTGGGAAAAGTGGGACGTTTTCTGGAATGTCGTCCGGCTCCAGCTCTAGTTCCAGTGAGAAGTTTTCCGGATTTCCCTCAGGATTCTTTCCCTCAGGAGGCTCCAGTGGTCATTCGGGAGAGGAGTCGGGAAGCAGAGACACTCAGGTCCTGCTGATCCATGGGAAGCTGGTGGAGGTTTCCACCTCTCACACACACACAGAGCAGGAGCTTGGTGGAGGGGGCCTGGAGTTCAGCGGCTCCGGATCGGGCAGCAGTGGCTCAGGGTTCTTCCCGGGTGTGACTTTCTTGGGGTCAGGGTTTACTGACCTCACAGGGTCAGCCTCAGGAGAACAGGAGGCCTCGGGGTCTCTCCACTACGGCTCCGGAAACGGTGATATCAGCGGTTCAGCCTCGGGCAGCAGTGGCTCAGGGTTCTTCCCAGGTGTGACCTTCTTGGAGTCAGGGTTTACTGACCTCACGGGGTCAGCCTCAGGGGAACAGGAGGCCTCGGGGTCTCTCCACTACGGCTCCGGAAACGGTGATATCAGCGGTTCAGCCTCGGGCAGCAGTGGCTCAGGGTTCTTCCAGGGTGTGACCTTCTTGGGGTCAGGGTTTACCGACCTCACGGGGTCAGCCTCAGGTGAACAGGAGGCCTCTGGGTCTCTCCACTACGGCTCCGGAAGCGGTGATATCAGCAGTTCGGCCTCGGGCAGCAGTGGCTCAGGGTTCTTCCCGGGTGTGACCTTCTTGGGGTCAGGGTTTACCGACCTCACGGGGTCAGCCTCAGGGGAACAGGAGGCCTCTGGGTCTCTCCACTACGGCTCCGGAAGCGGTGATATCAGCGGTTCAGCCTCGGGCAGCAGTGGCTCAGGGTTCTTCCCGGGTGTGACCTTCTTGGGATCAGGGTTCACCGACCTTACGGGGTCAGCCTCAGGGGAACAGGAGGCCTCAGGGTCACTCCACTATGGATACGGAGCGGGAAGAGGTGGATACGCATCAGGGTTCGGAACGTCGGGCTTCCCATCCGGGGACATGTCTGAAATCTCCAGATCCTCCACCAGCGGTGAGGAGGACAGCGCTGTCACCTTCCTGACAAGTGACTTAATGACAGAGGTTTCCAAGGTGACCACGGTTTCCATGGAGCTGGGGGCTGGGCCAGTGGAGATCAGCGGGCAGGGAAGCGGGTTCCACTCAGGGAGCGGCTCCGACCACCCAACCCAGGCCAGCGGTGTCTCATCTGGGGCACACTCTGGAGATCTGCTCTCTGTGGTGCTGTCCTCTCTGCCCAGTGACAGGGAGCTTATGGCGGACACAGAGGGGCCAGAGGAGGCCCTGGCTGGGGGGGCTGAGCTGGAGGAGATCACCGGCGAGTTTTACGTGACCTTTGCCCCCAACCTTGCTCCCACCGGATTGGCTGCCACCACGGCCCCGGCCATCTCCCTGCAGACCCCTGCCGTCATGGAGGAGCCGTCCTCAGAGGAGGGTGAGTCAGCACACTTTCAGTCTACTCCATTGTCATTGCTATGAACAGTTCAAATAATGTTTGTGTTGCTGTCATGCTGTAGAACCAACAGACTTATTTAAATGGAATGAAGTAATGCGGCATGGTGTTTTTATTAAGGTGCCAATCAGAAATGTCACCCTATTCCCCATATAGTGCACTAAATAGGGAGTAGGGTGCTATTTCAGTGCTAAGGTACACACTGTATTGTACTCATCCTAATTGTATTCATGCTTAGGTGTGCCTAACCCATGTGACCCTAACCCGTGTGGTGCTGGGTCATGCTCAGTGGAGGATGGCGATGGGCTATGCCAGTGTCCACCCGGGAAAGTGGGAGATGGGTGCCAGTATGGTGAGTCCTGATGCTGGGGTATCATTATCTCTCATTATCTCTCTCAAGACGTCTTACCGAGCAAGGTCTTCGTTCCTAACTCTCTGCACATCTCTCTTTCTGATCCATTCTGACGTCCTCAGAAGTGTTGTAAATGTTTTACTGTAAAGTAACACACCTTTGTAAACAAAGTTTCTAACAATGCTTTTCTCATATCTCTACTGTATGCCTAGACATCAGCCCCTCTGTCACGATTAGGGTTGCGAAATGGTTTTTCTGAAATCCCGTTTGGAGTTTTCCCGGAATCAGAAGGGAATAAGCAGGAAATCCGTAATCCTCCAACCAGGATTTCTGGGAAACCAGGGAATTCATTGAAAGTTCCTGGAATTTAGCAACCCTCTGTCCCGATGCTACTATCTGATACTGTACATACTGAGACAGTAATATTCTGTAGTCTGTATTTGAGTTGTATTTTTATTTTTGTGATACACTAACAATGCATTTTGTTCCCCCTTTTTCCTGTCTTAATGTACTGTAGGTTTTGTGTTGTAATGTGATGTTGTGTGTCTTGTTTTGTCCTGTTTTCCTACACCTGGTTTTGGGTCTCTCATTCGTTGTGTTTGTCAGACAGTCGCGGGCTCTTTGGCATGTGTGTGTGTGTGTGTGTGTGTGTATCGTGTCCTTGCCCCGAGGTCTCAGGGTCTCTCCATCATACTCCTTTATCATGATTCACTCCATCCTGTGTTGTTTTTGTTCTGCTGTTGCCTAGGTTACAGTAAGCGTACCCAGCTGGCAAAAGTGGTTGAAAGGACGTCATTATGATGCCATTTCAGCCAGATCTGTCTGCTGAGTCTATTCCCCCTCCTGCTGCATGCCTGCTACACCTACCGACATCCTGGTGCATACTTGGAACTGCCTATATGAATCCGAACACAAGGCTGCCCATAGAATTAGAATTACTCTCATCTAGTCATTCTATTTCTATGAGTCTGCCACCCAACAAGTGGCTGATCCGGACTTAACCTTACTTCGGATCTTAATACATTTATATGATCAAGTATCTGTCTACTAAACTGTATGAATCAGAAGTTCAACATTTATGGAAAAAAAGTTGTAAAATGTTGTGGTCTGAAGAAAGATCTTTACATGTACAGGAGTGAACATCATTGAGATGAGTATTCATCTTCCTTTCAATGATGATCTGACACAGTAAGGCTGGAGTCTGAATCACTATGTTGCAGCATCTCAGAGTGTTCCGATTCCATGAGTTCCAAGATGTTGTTTTCCTGCTCCCCCCTACCAAGGCAACTACCGCCTCCCCCCTTCACCCCCTGAGGCACCAGTCTCACCCCGCACCCCCCCCCCCCCCCTTTTTTGCAGAGGTTGATGTGTGCCATTCCAACCCTTGTGCCAATGGAGCCACCTGTGTGGGAAATGCAGACTCTTACAAATGCTTATGCCTGCCCAGCTACGGAGGGGACCGCTGCGAGATTGGTACGAGGTCGGCTTCAGCTAATGTTTACTAACAAACAACAACCTTTCAAAAACAACAGGAGTCATAAGGATGCAAAACGTTATCGCTGGCAGCTTGCATCATAGCAGGGCTGCGTTCAGGAGGACAAATGGCCGAAAACGTTTTTAAATGGAAACCCCCAATCGGGGTTATCATCGGGCAAGTTTGGGTATACTTCCTCTATTTCAAAAACGTTTTCTCCTGTTTTGTGTGTGCTGAACGTGACACAGGTGTGGCAGTGAATTATTCTGCCTGCCCCAGAATATGTTGCTTGCCAAATCCTTACCATTAGGGGTAAAAACGCAAAACTGACATTAGATCCTTATGAGCAAAATATTTTAGCGGCCCCCCTCTTGACAGCGGAGAGAAATTTTGAAAACATTTTTACAGTTCATTTCCTGTAATTCTGCACATTTTGCTATGGGGTGTTGTCACGTTCGTTAAGGAACGGGTCAGACCAAGGCGCAGCGTGATATACGTACATGTTTATTTACACTGAATAAACACACGACAAAACAAGAAACGAAACGAAACGTGAAGTCCTAAGGTTGTACATACAACGAACCTTACCCGGAACAAGATCCCACAACTAGACAGTGCCAATAGGCTGCTAAAGTATGGTCCCCAATCAGAGACAACGAGCGACAGCTGCCTCTGATTGGGAACCACACCGGCCAACATAGATCTAGACATACTAGAATACAACATAGAAAACGCACAACAAAGAATATACACACCCTGACTCAACTTATAAGCATCCCCTGAGTCAGGGCGTGACAGGTGTAGAGTAACTTTGTCGTTTTAAAGCAAGTTTTCTGAAATTCTACACATTTTGCCATGTGGCGGCGAGAAGATTTTGCAAGTTTATAACTCATTTCATGCAATTCTACTCCTTTTGCCATGGGGTGGAGGGAATAATTAGCAGTTTTACTGCAACTTTCCTGCAATTCTACACATTTTGTCATAGGGTGGAGAGAAATGTTTGCCGTTTTTAATATGATATCTGAGTGAGAGTGACAAGGCTAATTGGTGTAACTGTCAGTGAATGACATAACAAGAGAAAAACTGCTGATGCACAACCAAATTTAGAAATTGTACCTTGTGTATTCTACTATTCTAACTCTCAACAGTAAGTTAAGATCCCGACTGATCCACCGGCCTAAAGGGGTATAGGGGCATCCGTAGTCTAGGGGCAATGTCATCATACTTCGCCCTGTCCTTTACTCAGGACTGTGTTTATGTCTGGTGGGTGGATTTTCTCAGCCAGGTCTACACACAAAACAAGAAGTTCTGTATAGTGCCAAATAAGGGTTCTTTGGCTTGTAACCATAGCGGTTCCCTTTATGGTGCTAAACAGTACCAGTCAAAAGTTTGGACACACCTATTCATTCAAGGGTTCTTCTTAATTTTTTACTATTTTCTACATTGTAGAATAATAGTGCCGACATCAAAACTATGAAATAACACATATGTAATCATGTAGTAACCAAAAAAGTGTTAAACAAAAAACAAGATTCTTCAAATAGCCACCATTTGCTTTGATGACAGCTTTGCACACTCTTGGCATTCTCTCAACCAGCTTCAGCTGGAATGATTTTCCAACAGTCTTGAAGGAGTTCCCACATATGCTGAGCACTTGTTGGCTGCTTTTCCTTCACTCTGCTGTCCGACTCATCCCAACCCATCTCAATTGGGTTGAGGTCGGGGGATTGTGGAGGCCAGGTCATCTGATGCAGCACTCCATCACTCTCCTTCTTGGTAAAATAGCCCTTACACAGCATGGAGGTGTGTTGGGTCATGGTCCTGTTGAAAAACAAATGATAGTCCCACTAAGCCCAAACCAGATGGGGTGGTGTATCGCTGCAGAATGCTGTGGTAGCCATGCTGGTTAAGTGTGCCTTGAATATTAAATAAATCACAGACAGTGTCACCAGCAAAGCACCCCTACACCATAACACCTCCTCCTCCATGCTTTACGGTGGGAACTACACATGCGGAGATCATCCGTTCACCAACACCACGTCTCACAAAGACAAGGCGGTTGTAACCAAAAGTCTCCAATTTGGACTCCAGACCAAATGACACATTTCCACCGGTCTAATGCCCATTGCTTGTGTTTCTTGGCCCAAGCAGGTATCTTCTTCTTATTGGTGTCCTTTAGTAGTGGTTTCTTTGCAGCAATTCGACCATGAAGGCCTGATTCACACAGTCCCCTCTGAACAGTTGATGTTGAGATGTGTCTGTGACTTGAACTCTGTGAAGCATTTATTTGGGCTGCAATTTCTGAGGCTGGTAACTCTAATGAACTTATCCACTGCAGCAGAGGTAACTCTGGTTCTTCCATTCCTGTTGTGGTCCAGAAACTCTCATTAACTGTTGGGAGGGACTCACTAGACCGACTATTTAGAATATTTATTGTATATTTAAAGTATCACAACCAACTATTATGTAGTAAAAGACTACCCAAGAGACCCCCTGTGCTAATTCTCCGGTAGTTTTAGTTTATGTTTTAAAACCCAAATGCATTATGGAAAGAACCTCAACCATTTTCTGCATTAACAACTGTACATTGTTGGCTTGTTTTGCAGGACAAAAACAAGTTGGCTAAAGCAGAACGCTTTGGTCACCAAACCCTGTAGTTGTGGGTTAAATGGATGCTTGATGGATGGTTCACCCCCCCAAAAATGTAATATACCTCAAAGTGGCCCAAAGTAAATTTGTGTTGCCAGTGTTCTCAAGCAGTGAATCAAGTTGATAGTTAATAGGTCCTGAAAAATGCAGTATTTTCACCAATGTGCAGTAATAATTATCACACCATAGGTTGGACTGAAAGAAATCAATGCTTACAGTTGGACAAATAATGGAGCATAAAAAGAATGCCAGCAGCAAGATAAGTTCTAGAACAAACACAGCCTACATAAAACCTCTATTGTGTCATATGTGGTGTTGAACAGTTTTCCCTCCTATCTAATGTAAATGTATTTGAGTGTCTGTAATAAACCGGACTTCTCCGGGGTGTGGTAGCCTCTGTCTCATTATCGCCCCCTGCTGTTGACGCCACAGACGAGCAGGAGTGTGAGGAGGGCTGGACTAAGTTTCAAGGCAACTGTTACCTGCACTTCCCCGAGAGAGAGACCTGGCTGGACGCCGAGCAGCGCTGCCGAGACCTCAGCGCTCACCTGGTCAGCATCATCACCCCAGAGGAACAGCACTTTGTCAACTGTGAGTAAAGGCCTGTGTGTGTGTGTGTGCCTGTGTGTGTTTGTTCCTGTGTATGTGCGTGTGCGTGTGTGTGAGATGTGAGAGAGAGAGAAAGAGAGCGAGAGAGATAGAATATCCCTTAACTATTTTCTCCCCCCTCCAGCCAACGGCCAGGACTACCAGTGGATTGGGCTCAATGACAAGACAGTGGAGAATGACTTCCGCTGGATAGACGGCACACCACTGGTGAGTCAGGCAGACAGACACATAGTCCCCACTCAGAGTACAGAGTAGGACCACCAGATCACCTATTGTAGCCTACCGCATTCATACACTGTTCATAATGTAGCCTACCACATGAATACACTGTTCATACTGTACCTGTACATTAATACACTGTTCATACTGTACCTGTACATTAATACACTGTTCATACTGTACCTGTACATTAATACACTGTTCATACTGTACCTGTACATTAATACACTGTTCATAATGTACCTGTACATTAATACACTGTTCATACTGTACCTGTACATTAATACACTGTTCATACTGTACCTGTACATTAATACACTGTTCATACTGTACCTGTACATTAATACACTGTTCATAATGTACCTGTACATTAATACACTGTTCATAATGTACCTGTACATTAATACACTGTTCATACTGTACCTGTACATTAATACACTGTTCATACTGTACCTGTACATTAATACACTGTTCATACTGTACCTGTACATTAATACACTGTTCATACTGTACCTGTACATTAATACACTGTTCATACTGTACCTGTACATTAATACACTGTTCATAATGTACCTGTACAGTAATACACTGTTTAAACTGTACCTGTAGATTCTAATCCACATGCTATAGCCTACTGACTTACTCTCCTGATTTCTGTGTTTTCTACATTGAAAACAAGAAACAAACAGAAACATAAATGGTCTTTGTAACTTCCCACCAATGTTGCTCTCCTCTCCCCTCAGCAATTTGAGAACTGGCGGCCAAACCAGCCGGATAACTACTTTAACTCTGGAGAGGACTGTGTGGTGATGATCTGGCATGAGAACGGCCAATGGAACGACGTTCCCTGCAACTACCACCTGCCCTTCACCTGCAAGACTGGCCCAGGTACACACAGGGATCAGGGGTTAGGGGTCAAGAATTGTGTTCTAGAGTCTGGATGGGCACTGGTAATTTTACTGTACCTTCGCCATCATGATGTGTGGTTATCTTATACAGTGGGGAGAACAAGTATTAGATACACTGTCGATTTTGCAGGTTTTCCTACTTACAAAGCATGTAGAGGTCTGTAATTTTTATCATAGGTACACTTCAACTGTGAGAGACGGAATCTAAAACAAAAATCCAAAAAATCACATTGTATGATTTTTAAGTAATTAATTTGCATTTTATTGCATGACATAAGTATTTGATACATCAGAAAAGCAGAACTTAATATTTGGTACAGAAACCTTTGTTTGCAATTACAGAGATCATAAGTTTCCTGTAGGTCTTGACCAGGTTTGCAAACACTGCAGCAGGGATTTTGGCCCACTCCTCCATACAGACCTTCTCCAGATCCTTCAGGTTTCGGGGCTGTCGCTGGGCAATAAGGACTTTCAGCTCCCTCCAAAGATGTTATATTGGGTTCAGGTCTGGAGACTGGCTAGACCACTCCAGGACCTTGAGATGCTTCTTACGGAGCCACTCCTTAGTTGCCCTGGCTGTGTGTTTTGGGTCGTTGTCATGCTGGAAGACCCAGACACGACCCATCTTCAATTCTCTTACTGAGGGAAGGAGGTTGTTGGCCAAGATCTCGCGATACATGGCCCCATCCATCCTCCCCTCAATACGGTGCAGTCGTCCTGTCCCCTTTGCAGAAAAGCATCCCCAAATAATTATGTTTCCACCTCCATGCTTCACGGTTGGGATGGTGTTCTTGGGGTTGTACTCATCCTTCTTCTTCCTCCAAACACAGCGAGTGGAGTTTAGACCAAAAAGCTCTATTTTTGTCTCATCAGACCACATGACCTTCTCCCATTCCTCCTCTGGATCATCCAGATGGTCATTGGCAAACTTCAGACGGGCCTGGACATGCGCTGGCTTGAGCAGGGGGACCTTGCGCGCGCTGCAGGATTTTAATCCATGACGGCATAGTGTGTTACTAATGGTTTTCTTTGAGACTGTGGTCCCAGCTCTCTTCAGGTCATTGACCAGGTCCTGCCGTGTAGTTCTGGGCTGATCCCTCACCTTCCTCATGATCATTGATGCCCCACGAGGTGAGATCTTGCATGGAGCCCCAGACCGAGGGTGATTGACCGTCATCTTGAACTTCTTCCATTTTCTAATAATTGTGCCAACAGTTGTTGCCTTCTCACCAAGCTGCTTGCCTATTGTCCTGTAGCCCATCCCAGCCTTGTGCAGGTCTACAATTTTATCCCTGATGTCCTTACACAGCTCTCTGGTCTTGGCCATTGTGGAGAGGTTGGAGTCTGTTTGATTGAGTGTGTGGACAGGTGTCTTTTATACAGGTAACGAGTTCAAACAGGTGCAGTTAATACAGGTCATGAGTGGAGAACAGGAGGGCTTCTTAAAGAAAAACAAACAGGTCTGTGAGAGCCAGAATTATTACTGGTTGGTAGGTGATCAAATACTTATGTTATGCAATAAAATGCAAATTATTACTTAAAAATCATACAATGTGATTTTCTGGATTTTTGTTTTAGATTCCGTCTCTCACAGTTGAAGTGTACCTATGATAAAAATTACAGACCTCTACATGCTTTGTAAGTAGGAAAACCTGCAAAATCGGCAGTGTATCAAATACTTGTTCTCCCCACTGTACCTGTGTTGGTGTTACAGCTTATTCATGTTTTATAAACTTATTAGGCAGGTACCCTTCAAAAGAAATTGCTACCAATAAATATCCTAAGTTCTAATTTGATGGATTGATTGTTTTGTTGATTGATTGATTGATGGATTGATTGGTTGGTTTATTGATTTACTGATCACTGTTCCCCCAGTCTTCTGTGGTGCGCCGCCAGAGGTGGAGAATGCCAGGATGTTCGGCAGCAGGCGGGAGCAGTATCCCGTGGGGTCCATCATTCGCTACCAGTGTAACCCAGGCCTCACACAGCGCCACCTGCCTGTGGTGCGCTGCATGGCAGACGGACAGTGGGAGAAGCCACAGGTGGAATGCGTTGGTTGTGAGTAGTACACACTCTTTTGCTCTTTCAACACTCTATAAACGTACCTGTAGGTTAGTCCCACATTGACACACTTCCAAGTCTCGTTCAGAACTCTGCTATTGAAATTATCGTTAGAAAGGCGGAAATTGAGGTTCCCTGTAGGTTGACGAAATGGCACTGTATTTTTCAGTGAAAACTTTGCTTTATTGTAATGTTGTCTGATGCTTTGAGATTACTTTGGAATCATTGAAGGTAATGTATGAATCTCTGAAGGTAATGTATGAATCTATGAAGGTAATGTTTGTTTCTCTTGCCAACAGCAGTGCCCTCCCCCAGTAACAGAATACAGCGGAGATCGATCAGAAGGCGAGGAGAATCAACCAGCAGCAAACGTCACTAAGCAGGGAAGATTAAGGGAGATTTCTTGAAGATAACTATTTTATAAAAACATGTACAGCACACAAAAGCCATTTTCTAACTTACAAAAGAGGTTTCAACATTTGAAGTACCCACCTTGTACATAAGACCAAAGCAATTTAGAGCAATAACATTGTCTTTTTGGTATGTGTCACTCTCTGACTATTTAAAAAAAAAAGATAAATTAAGCCATTATGTTATTTTTAGTTTTTGTTGTTCTTGTCCCAAAATACTGACATGTTTTAATTATATATAAGAATTGTTTTATTGTTTGGAGTTGTATTGTTATTTTTAGTTTTGGTGGATTGTGAGGCCGTCGATAAGGTGTGAGTTGTTGTTAAGATACTTTGTCCATGTCGCCAACTAGACTGGATTATGGAGACACGATATAGGGTGAAGTTTTCCCTAGACACTGATCTTGGGTCAGTTTTGCTTTTCCTCCACTAATGGTTAAGATTGGGGTTGGTGGAGGGGAAGCTGTTCCTAACTCTGTACCTAGGGGAAACTTCACCCCGCAGCATGTACTCATAGACGATGCCAACAGTCGCATCAATCAGACTCTCTAGTCTGTTCTAAATCTTTGCCAAACCAGATAGTGTGTGTTAGACTGTACCTCCCAGAAGTAAACACCCCATCTGGACCGGCCGGTATTTAGTGGTGGTTTGGCGTGTTGCTATGAGCCAAGCAGAGGCTTGGTGAAATTCACCCATGAGTAGATACGAGACAGTCAGAAGCGTGTTTGTATTCTGGAGGTGCCTACGTAACATACACTCACTATGGGTGATGGATAGAGGTCTAATAATGCATGAAAGACAGTACATTTGATAGAAAAAGTCTATTGAGATACTTGTGAGCCATGTTAGCCTAGCCATGTTAGCCTAGCCATGTTAGCCTAGCGCTGTTAGCCTAGCCATGTTAGCCTAGCCATGTTAGCCTAGCCATGTTAGCCTAGCCATGTCCGGTTGTAGCAATGATGAGCAAGATGAAGTAAAGGGGATGACATCTTGTACATGTATCCACCAAACAAGCATTTATGAGTCACCAAATTGTCACCTATCTTGAAAATTGTAGATGTTAAAGGGACAGTTTGCCGAAAAATCTATATTTGTCAGATGTGTTCATACATCAAAAGTGGTGTTGTGTCAAACCGAGAAATCTTTAACGTTTCAATTGCAAATATATGGGAAATATTGGCACCACCGGTATTGATCAACACTTTTGAGGAATGAAAATGTCTGACGAGCCTTTATATTGGGGGGAACGATCCCTTTAACCTTTTACTGCAGTGGGCTAAATCAGGGTCACACAAATCTACTTTGGAAAAAAAGTATACACCTGTACCATGTCAGATATAGTTGAAATGTATTCAATTTTGAGTTTGCATCCCATATTACACTTTATATACATCACAGAAGACTGAAATATAACAAAAACCGTTTGACATAGAAACACCTGATTCTTTACAAATAATGCTTATTAATGATACAATTATGAAAAATATGAATAATATTCCACCCATGAGGCCACTAGGTCATTTGACTGCAGGATGGGGATAATAAGGGAGATATTATTTATTCATAAAGAGAAAGCTACCGAAGCCGACACAGCAGGCTACTGTGTCCGTCTGTACTCCAGACCTACATCAGTTGTTCAGGGCAGAAGGGAGACCGAGTGCCTGATGTGAATAATACACACCAATTTATTGATTGATTTCACATCAGTGCTAGAATCTTTGCCTGTCACACTGGAGAGGCAACATCCTGCAATCTACTGAGCCTGCCCTAAAATAAGAGTGAGAGAGAGAGGACTCAACTAGTGACACAGTAGAATAAAAAACTAAAGGGTCGGGGTCAATTCCATTTCAATTTCAGTCAGTTAATTCATTGAAATTCAGTGAAATTCATTGTATTTATTTTCTGAGGGGATCGACCCCTTGGTTTGTCAACAATGTTGTTGGCCTAAGCAGGACCAATGGATGAATGTCATTGGTCGGTTTGACTCTTTTGTTGTCTTTGTCATGTCACACAAGGCTGTGCAGTGCATAGCATCTATGTGGGACCAGTTTTAACAACTGCAGTAGCTTTCAGATCAAATGTTTCTCTTCTTTGTCTGTTTTGTTTCACAGAAAAACCTCAGCGGACACATTTATTTAAACTCCAGATCACCTAGGTAACCATCCATCGCCATGTCAATCGCTTGTAGTCCTTCAGTTTTGTATTGTATGCATAACTTGCTGTTATATCTTATGAAGATATAGAGGCTTCATTCATTGTTTATGTGTACAGGAGGCTGTGCCTCCTCCTTCAACACACCGTCATATGTCTTGCTGGCCAAAAGCTTCACCTGCAATCATAAACCATACGCCAATCAAAGAGATCACTGAGAGGTTCCACACAGAACAGGCTTAAAGCAATTCTCTAACTGGAACTCTAAGGAACGATGACAGAAGAGTGTCATTTAAAGTTACACACACAATTGCTTTTTACTGTACCCCTACAGGGCTGAAAGTATTAAGAGCTTTTAGAAGATAATAACACAATGCCAGGTCTTGTGTATAAAATCAAAAGGGCATAAATGCCTCCTGGCATTGCAGAAGCAACTTGACAAAGGGGTGTAGAGCAGTGTCTATCAACCTTTTTCTACCAGCAAACTATGACACCCTTGACAACTAACCGCCTGAGGGACCTGTCAGCAACGTCCCAGGGAAAGGTGCCGCTCCACGGACCAGAGGTTGAGAAACACTGGTGTAGAGCACTCCTGCAACTCCCCCGACCCGGCCCTCTGTTTAGGGTTGTGTACTGTAGGCTCAAAACAGGAGCAAAATGTTCTGAAATGGAGCAGGGGATCAGTTACCTGAACGCTTCTCCTGTTTTCTCCTGTTTCCCACTAGGCACAAACTGGTTGAATCAACGTTGTTTCAATCTCATTTTAACAACAAAATTCTATGTGATGACGTTGAATCAACGTGGAAAACTGATTGGATTTGCAAAAAGTCATCAACGTAAAGGATTTCGGGTATAATTGTCTTTTTTTTACCCAACTTTTATCCTAAGTCCAATGAGATGGTTAGCATTTTTGTTGATTTTACTTTGGGTTCACGTTAGTAGACAGTCAAAACTAGACGTTGAACTGACGTCTGTGTCCAGTGGGTTGTGTGAGGGCGACTGACACTGTGCATGAACAGGCCAAATAAACCACACACTGAGAACATCATGAGTAGCTAGAGGTGTAGAGTTTCTAGTCTGATGGAGCTCTACAGAATGTACCCAACTGTGCCTGAAATGAACTGTTTGTCTTCCAATGTCTGTATTCAACATTTGCGCCAAAACATATCAACAGATGCCAAATAAAGATACTCTACCTGTTACTTTCTCTAGATTTCATTCACTTTCTGTGTGCGGAGAAAGCATGTTCAACAGTGAAAAATTCATGTTCAAATGGATAGTTTAATACATTTCAATATTTCAGTTGACCGTAGTCATATTAACCAGCTCTTTTAGTTCAGAGTGTTTAACAGGATTGACACACAACAACGATCAATCACATCCCTATAATTCTGGGAGGGTCTCCCAAACATTCTAGGTAGAGGCAACAAAATACTTCTTTCACCTCCCATCAGTCTCAGTCGACTCACTGTTTCTGAGGCAGCTGGTTGAGTATAAATAGGATATGTCATAGGAATAATCAAATTATGGTCAATTTCTATTTGCCAACAGGGTGGGTTGCTGTCAGTTTTGCCCTGTGAGTATGACTGAATAGAGGCCTGTTTGTGGTCCCCTCTCTGCCTTGCCCACTCCCTCCTTCCCTCTTCCCTCCCTCCCTCCCTCCCTCCCTCCCTCCGACTGACTGTTTCTCTGTCTGGCCACACCGGTTCACCTCCCTGGCCCAGAACTCCTGGCTGTGTGCTCTTTCTCTCTCCCATCACACAATTGCCCTCTTTCTCGCTCTCTCTTTCTGTTTGTCTCTCTCACTCTCTTACCCATCACTCACAGTCACTCTGTCTTCCACACTTTCTCTACCATACTCTTTCTCCAACACACTCTCTCTCTCTCTCACTATTTCTCGCTCTTCCTGTCCTCTCTGTCACTATCTTACAAGCTCTCTCTTGCCTGTTTCGCCCTCTGTTGGTTGTTCCATGAAGCTGATCGGTTGGAAACATAGAGATAGAAAGAGAGCCCATTATCGCTTTGACAACATAGGCAACGCCAGTGAAGGCTATTTCCATTTTAAAGTATTTATTCTACTTTATTCTATGAGTTTATTGGTGGTTCATAAATAAACTGAAAGGTGCATACCATCACCTACTGTGCTGGAGTGTGTGAACAGGCATAAAGCCAAGGTAGGTAATTTACTTCCATCTGCAGTGCTGGAATGTTTGCTCAGGACTATAATTCATTGGCTTATCCCTCCTGCGTACCTAAATGGAATTCTGTGACCCCTCATTAACCCATGGGAAGTCCCACGCAGTTTACTTCCATAAAATAGTGAAAACCTTAAAGGCGCAATTTGCAGTTTGAACAATAACAAAGCGTTTACCCCACCACTGATTTAGTAAACAGCTGAGGGATGGAGCTGGAGAAATGTAACCACTCGCAAACTCATGGACAGAGCTATGGATACAAGGACTGACCGACCATCCATGATACCAAAATGATAGTTTTAACCATGTTTTGAGGATACAAAGTGTTTGTTTACATGTACATTGTTTACAAACAAAGGAGTAAAACAATCTTAAATGTTGGGTTCTGATGGGGTATGACAGTTGAACTAAGCTCATCTACTGTATAAGTTATATTCTTCATGAATCAATGGGTATTTACAATTAATTAAAATAGTCAAAAAATTGATGTAGCAACTGCAGATTGACCCTTTAATGCCTGGCGCTGCCAATGCAAAAACAGGTTTAGCAAAAACGGGCAAGTTTGCCCTCTATGGTTGGAAAACAAGGAAGGGATATAAATAAATAAGTCGTTTATAGTAGTTTTCTATACTACAATATTAGACATTGTTTCCCAAACACAGATGTTACTTGTCGCTTTCTTCCAGCAGTTGATTTAGTCTTTTCTGTCTTTGGCTTTGCGGATTGTGTGTGAAGGATTACATTTTTTGATTGAATTGAATGGTTTTAAAAACACAAACAAACCAAGCATGCCTCGCAAAATCATTAACACATGAATCAAAAGCCTCTTAAGGTAGACAATTTATTTTACAAAAATATCAGCTGAGATCAGCTCCTATGTCGTACAGGAAAATGTTTACAAAGAGAGAACAGTAAATGCATACCATACATGAAGTTTAACTAACAATACGCATAATATTACAGTTGAAGCTGAGGTCCGGGTTGAACTACAGGTTCGTTCACACTTACTGATAGATCACATTATAGGCTACAGCAAGATTTAGGTGGGTCCATAATGTACTAAAATTTTTGACCATTATTGGTCCAAAATGAAAGTATAGTATTCATACATTATATTATAATACAACACTGTGACACATCTATCAACAGTAAAGATCTGGCTCATGACATCAGAAGAACTGTGTAACTTGTAGATGTTTTAATACTAATTAGTGTACTTCAATGATAATCTGAGGACAACCACTGGAAATTAGCTAAGGTATGATGGTGCAATGCATCTGACTGTTGTTCATTCAATGTCTCGATTATATCTGTCCCTATCAAATACAAAAAAAAAACTGAGCAAGGAAATCTCAAGTCCTTGAATGGTGGACTATGACAAATGTTCCTGATCTCATTGACCACAGGCTAGATGCAGTGAGTGGTTGACCCTGTGTGAGACATGCATGTTCACCATGGTGCTGCTAACCTGCTGGTGTAAATCACAAGGGAGGCTGCTCACAAGGAGGACCATAGTTAACATAGTATAGCCACTAAGTACAGATAGATAATTCTCCCATTTGTTGTTAGCATGCCCCAGCTACATTAGAAACCATACCACAACTTCACACCATAACACAACCTTCGCACCCTATACATTTCTATACATGAGACAAACCTATTCATTTGTGGATTGTGATCTGTTACCATATTAGAAGAGATGTGAGATTGGTGGTATGTAGATTTTTCACATATATCAGATTTACGGCATGCCTGCACTGTAGCAGTACACCCCATGCTTCTGGTATGGAGGGGGGAACCCAAAGCTGCGCACCCCTGGTTCCAGGGGGCCACAGTTGCGGCTGGGGTTGGTGATGGGGTAGCGCAGGCTCCCGTCGGCGAGCCATCCGGCATCACAGCGGTCCAGGCCCATGAACCTCCAGGCGGCGTAGAGCTGGCCCACCTTGGCTATCTGGGCCCCGTCGTCGAAGCACGCCTGCTGGGCCTCAGTGAGGTTGAGCTTGTGGGGGTGCTGGAGGTAGTAGACCTTCCCTGGAGAAGAGAATGGGAAACTGTACTGTCATCCAAATCCAAGCTTAGCTTATCTAAAGCTACACTCTTAGCAAAAAAGGTGTTATCTAGAACCTTAAAGGGTTCTTCGGCTGACCACATAGGAGAACCCTTTGAAGAATCCTGTTGGGTTCCATGTAGAACCCTTTCCACAGAGGATTCGACATGGAACCCAAAAGGGTTCTATGTGGAACCAAAAATGGTTCTACCTGGAACTAAAAAGAGTTCTCCTACAGGGACAGCCGAAGAACCCTTTTGGAACCCTTTTTTCTAATTGTGTACACATCTAATTACACAGTGTATATCTGAGATAATAAACTGGCTGGTTCGAGCCCTGAATGCTGATTGGCTGACAGTCGTGGTATATCAGACCTTATACCACGGGTATGACAAAACATTTATTTTTACTGCTCTAATTATATTGGTAACCAGTTTATAATAGCAATAAAGCACCTCGGGGGTTGCGTCGTGCCTAAGAACAGCCCTGAGCCGTGGTATTTGTCCCATGGCGTTTGCAACGCCAGGGTTGTGGGTTCGATTCCCACAGGGGGTAGGAAAAAAAATAATGTATGCATTCACTAACTGTAAGTCGCTCTGGATAAGAGCGTCTGCTAAATGACTAAAATGTAATGTAAATGTAAATATACCACACCTCCTCGGGCCTTACTGCTTAAGTGTATAATCTAATTACACAGTGTTTATCTAGGAGTGTGTCATCTAATTAAACAGTGTTAATCTGAGAGTGTATCATCTAATTACATAGTGTTTATCTGAGATTGTATCATCTAATTACACAGTGTTTATCTGAGGTTGTATCATCTAATTACACAGTGTTTATCTTAGATTGTATCATCTAATTACAGTGTTTTTCTGAGATTGAATAATCTAATTACACAGTGTTTATCTGAGATTGTATCATTTAATTACACAGTGTTTATCTGAGATTGTTTCATCTAATTACACCATGTTTATCTGAGATTGTATCAACTGATTACACAGTGTTTATCTGAGAGTGTATAATCTAATTACACAGTGTGTATCTTCCCCATGGAATGTTCAGAAGTAGAAAAGTGTCTCACCTCGGAGGGGGGAGGAGGAGCAGAAGACGTCGTAGCGGTGGAGGTGGCGGTGGCGTCTACCATAACTCCTTACCCCGGGGGCGAGGCCCAGCCCCCCACAGGGGCTCCGGGGCTTGGTGATGGGGTACTGCACTGTCCCGTCAGCCAGCCAGCCTGCGTTGCACCAGTTCAGACCCTCCTCCCAGGCCTGCAACAGCTGCTCGAAGGTGGCCAGAGTGGAGTCCTGCTCCTCGCAGACTTGCTGGGCATCATGGTAGGTCAGGTTGTAGCGGCCGTGAGGAGACTGGTAGGGAAACACCACAACTGGAGGGGAGGGGAGCAAGGGATATGCAATGACTGTAATGTAATTCATCCAAACAACAGCCCTGCCACTGGAATTGCAATAAAGCTGAGGGATAGGGCTGGAAGAAAATTAACCACATGGTGCAAAGGCAGACAGTCCATGAGATCTAAATGATAGTTTTAACCATGTTTAGAAGCTTTACAAACAATAGCGTAAACAACATTATATTTGGGGTTTGTGATGGGGTAAGGCAGTTGTATATTACATTTACATATGTATTCAGACCCTTTACTCAATACTTTGTTGAAGTACCTTTGGCAGCGATTACAGCCTCAAGTCTTTTTGGGTATGACGCTACAAGCTTGACACACGTGTATTTGGGAAGTTTCTCCCATTCTTCTCTGCAGATCCACTCAAGCTCTGTCAGGTTGGATGGGGAGCGTCGCTGCACAACTATTTTTAGGTCTTTCCAGAGATGTTCGATTGGTTTCAAGTCCGGGCTCTGGCTGGGCCACTCAAGGACATTCAGAGGTTTGTCCCGAAGCCACTCCTGCGTTGTCTTGGCTGTGTGCTTAGGATCGTTGTCCTGTTGGAAGGTGAACCTTCGCCCCAGTCTGAGGTCCTGAACGCTCTGGAGCAGGTTTTCATCAAGGATCTCTCTGTACTTTGCTCTGTTCATCTTTCATGGTCTGAGAGTCCTTTAGGTGCCTTTTGGCAAACTCCAAGGGGGCTGTCATGTGCCTTTTACTGAGGAGTGGCTTCCGTCTGGCCACTCTGCCATTAAGGCCTGATTGGTGGAGTGCTACAGAGATGTTTTCCTTCTGGAAGATTCTCCCATCTCCACAGAGGAACTATGGAGCTCTGTCAGAGTGACCATCGGGTTCTTGGTCACCTCCCTGACCAATGCCCTTCTCCCTCAGATTGCTCAGTTTGGCCAGCTCTAGGAAGAGTCTTGGTGGTTCCAAACTTCTTCCATTTAAGAATCATGGAGGCCACTGTGTTCTTGGGGACCTTCCATGCTGCAGACATTTTTTGGTACCCTTCCCCAGATCTGTGCCTGGACACAATCCTGTCTCGGAGCTATACAGACAATTCCTTTGAACTCATGGCTTGGTTTTTGCTCTGACATGCACTGTCAACTGTGGGACCTTATATAGACAGGTGTGTGCCTTTCCAAATCATGTCCAATCAATTGAATTTACCACAGGTGGACTCCAATTAAGTTGTAGAAACATCTCAAGGATGATCAATGGAAACAGGATGCACCTGAGCTCAATTTCGAGTCTCATAGCAAATGGTCTGAATACTTATGGAAATAAGGTATTTCTGTTTTTTATCTTTAATAAATGTGCAAAGATGTCTGAAAACCTCTTTTCACTTTGTCATTATGGTGTATTGTGTGTATATTGATGAGGAAAATGTTTTATTTAATCAATTTTAGAATATGTCTGTAACGTAACAAAATGTGGAAAAAGGAAGGAGCTCTGAATACTTTCAGAATGCACTGTTTACAAATGAAGGGGTTATTTGAGGCTCTCCCTCACTAATTGATTGTACAATGTATACACATACGATTTCAGTTTGTGAATGTATGATATGGGGGTTGGAGACATGTTAATTTCGACATTATAAAGAAAACTTTTATAAACAATGGCAACACTGCCATGTTGATCTGAGCCTTGCTGTTGGAAAATCATAACAGCGTCTGACTTTCTGCTGTGCAGATGCACCTCCCACGACTTCACTCGCCAACTTTCGTCTATAGTCAGTTGCTTTAGCCTTACCAATAGAACGCGCCCTATGGCTTATCACTACTGATCTGGGAGTTTCAACTGAAATTCCGGAACTGCGGTATGCATCAATCTTTCCACATTGAAAAAACAGTTAAACTTACCCTGAATTCAAGCAATAACGACACACATAATAAAAAAAATATATTGTGTTATAACTGCATTATAGCTCCTGTCCAAATGTTGTGAATGAATGAATATCATAGTCACCAGTCAACTCCATTACAATCAAAGTAACTTCAACTTCAACCAGTGAATGATTGCGATGGCTAGCTATGCTATCAGTCTGTCTTAATGAGTGTTAGCATGCTAATAGCATACCATGCACACAAAAATGTACATTTCTAAAGGATTTGGAGTAGGTTGATATCGATATCAGCAAAATTATTGGACATTTCAAACATTCCCAGCTAATGAGAAAACAGTCATGGTATTTAGTGTAAGAGAACGAACAAGATTTAACAAGGCAAGCGTGGGCTAATTTGAATAGGCGCCAACAGCAGATTTTTACATCCCCACGTGAACGGCATGAAACGTCACATTTTGTTAAGCTATATCATTTGATCTGGTTAGCTCATCTGTTAAACACCTATCCAGGCGAGATCTGGCATGCGTCTCCTACAGTATGTGGTCAGGCATGAACACCACCATTGATACTTATCCAGGGTTTTCAAATAACATTCTGGAACTGGGGTACAGACCAAACTATTGCCATAGAAAACGGTTCAAATTAGCCTGAATTCAAGTAATAAAGACACATGTACATATATACACATACATATGCACTACCAGTCAAAAGTTTGGACACACCTACTCATTCAAGTGTTTTTCTTTATTTTTACTATATTCTACATTGTAGAATAATAGTGAAGACATCAAAACTATGAAATAACACAAATGGAATCATGTAGTAACCAAAACAGTGAAACTTTTGACTGGTACTGTTTATATATATATATACAGGTGAAGTCGGAAGTTTACATACACCTTAGCCAAATACATTTAAACTCAGTTTTTTTTTTCACAATTCCTGACATTTAATCCTAGTAAAAATGCCCTGTCTCAGGTCAGTTAGGATCACCACTTTATTTTAAGAATGTGAAATGTCAGAATAATAGTAGAGAGAATGATTTATTTCAGCTTTGATTTATTTCATCACATTCCCAGTGGGTCAGAAGTTTACATACACTCAATTTGTATTTGGTAGCATTGCCTTTAAATTGTTTAACTTGGGTCAAACGTTTCAGGTAGCCTTCCACAAGCTTCCCACAATAAGTTGGGTGAATTTTGGCCCATTCCTCCTGACAGAGCTGGTGTAACTGAGTCAGGTTTGTAGGCCTCCTTGCTCGCACACGCTTTTTCAGTTCTGCCCACACATTTTCTATAGGATTGAGGTCAGGGCTTTGTGATGGCCACTCCAATACCTTGACTTTGTTGTCCTTAAGCCATTTTGCCACAACTTTGGAAGTATGCTTGGGGTCATTGTCCATTTGGAAGACCCATTTGCGACCAAGCTTTAACTTCCGACTTCAACTGTATGTATATACACTGCTCAAAAAAGTAACTCCAAGTCAATCACACTTCTGTGAAATCAAACTGTCCACTTAGGAAGCAACACTGATTGACAATACATTTCACATGCTGTTGTGCAAATGGAATAGACAACAGGTGGAAATTATAGGGAATTAGCAAGACACCCCCAATAAAGGACTGGTTTTGCAGGTGGTGAACACAGACCACTTCTCAGTTCCTATGCTTCCTGGCTGATGTTTTGGTCACTTTTGAATACTGGCGGTGCTTTCACTCTAGTGGTAGCATGAGACGGAGTCTACAACCCACACAAGTGGCTCAGGTAGTGCAGCTCATCCAGGACGGCACATCAATGCGAGCTGTGGCAAGAAGGTTTGCTGTGTCTGTCAGCGTAGCGTCCAGAGCATGGAGGCGCTACCAGGAGACAGGCCAGTACATCAGGAGACGTGGAGGAGGCTGTAGGAGGGCAACAACCCAGCAGCAGGACTGCTACCTCCGCCTTTGTGCAAGGAGGAGCAGCAGGAGCACTGCCAGAGCCCTGCAAAATGACCTCCAGCAGGCCACAAATGTGCATGTGTCTGCTCAAACGATCAGAAACAGACTCCATGAGGGTGGTATGAGAGCCCGACGTCCACAGGTCGGGGTTGTGCTTACAGCCCAACACCGTGCAGGACGTTTGGCATTTGCCAGAGAACACCAAGATTGGCAAATTCGCCACTGGCGCCCTGTGCTCTTCACAGATTAAAGCAGGTTCATACTGAGCACGTGACAGACGTGACAGAGTCTGGAGACGCCGTGGAGAACGTTCTGCTGCCTGCTGGTGTGGGGTGGCATTTCTTTGGGGGGCCGCACAGCCCTCCATGTGCTCGCCAGAGGTAGCCTGACTGCCATTAGGTACCGAGATGAGATCCTCAGACCCCTTGTGAGACCATATGCTGGTGCGGTTGGCCCTGGGTTCCTCCTAATGCAAGACAATGCTAGACCTCATGTGGCTGGAGTGTGTCAGCAGTTCCTGCAAGAGGAAGGCATTGATGCTATGGACTGGCCCGCCCGTTCCCCAGACCTGAATCCAATTGAGCACATCTGGGACATCATGTCTCGCTCCATCCACCAACGCCACGTTGCACCACAGACTGTCCAGGAGTTGGTGGATGCTTTAGTCCAGGTCTGGGAGGAGATCCCTCAGGAGACCATCCGCCACCTCATCAGGAGCATGCCCAGGCGTTGTAGGGAGGTCATACAGGCACGTGGAGGCCACACACACTACTGAGCCTCATTTTGACTTGTTTTAAGCACATTACATCAAAGTTGGATCAGCCTGTAGTGTGGTTTTCCACTTTAATTTTGAGGGTGACTCCAAATCCAGACCTCCATGGGTTGATACATTTGATTTCCATTGATCATTTTTGTGTGATTTTGTTGTCAGCACATTCAACTATGTAAAGAAAAAAGTATTTAATGAGATTATTTCATTCATTCAGATCTAGGATGTGTTATTTTAGTGTTCCCTTTTTTTTATTTTAGTGTACAGTTGAAGTCTGAGGTTTACATACACTTAGGTTGGAGTCATTAAAACCTGTTTTTCAACCACTCCACAAATTTCTTGTTAACAAACTATAGTTTTGGCAAGTCAGTTAGGACATCTACTTTGTGCATGACACAAGTAATTTTTCCAACAATTGTTTACAGACAGATTATTATTATTATTATTATTATTATTTCACTTATAATTCACTGTATTACAATTCCAGTGGGTCAGAAGTTTACATACACTAAGTTGACTGTGCTTTTAAACAGCTTGGAAAATTCCAGAAAATGATGTTATGGCTTTAGAAGCTTCTGATAGGCTAATTGACATCATTTGAGTCAATTGGAGGTGTACCTGTGGATTTATTTCAAGGCCTACCTTCAAACGCAGTGCCTCTTTGCTTGACATCATGGGAAAATCAAAATAAATAAATCCCAGAACAACAGCAAAGGACCTTGTGAAGATGCTGGAGGAAACAGGTACAAAAGTATCTATATCCACAGTAAAAAGAGTCTTATATCGACATAACCTGAAAGGCCGCTCAGCAAGGAAGAAGCCACTGCTCCAAAACCGCCATAAAAAAGCCAGACTACGGTTTGCAACTGCACATGGGGACAAAGATCGTACTTTTTGGAGAAATGTCCTCTGGTCTGATGAAACAAAAATAGAACTGTTTGGCCATAATGACCATTGTATGTTTGGAGGAAAAAGGGGGATGCTTGCAAGCCGAAGAACACCATCCCAACCGTGAAGCACGGGGGTGGCAGCATCATGCTGTGGGGGTGCTTTGCTGCAGGAGGGACTGGTGCACTTCACAAAATAGATGGCATCATGAGGAAGGACAATTATGTGGATATATTGAAGCAACATCTCAAGACATCAGTCAGGAAGTTAAAGCTTGGTCGCAAATGGGTCTTCCAAATGGACAATGACCCCAAGCATACTTCCAAAGTTGTGGCAAAATGGCTTAAGGACAACAAAGTCAAGGTATTGGAGTGGCCATCACAAAGCCCTGACTTCAAGCCTATAGAAAATGTGTGGGCAGTACTGAAAAAGCGTGTGTGAGCAAGGAGGCCTATAAACCTGACTCAGTTACACCAGCTCTGTCAGGAGGAATGGGCCAGAATTCACCCAACTTATTGTGGGAAGCTTGTAGAAGGCTACCCGAAACGTTTGACCCAAGTTAAACAATTTAAAGGCAATGCTACCAAATACAAATTGAGTGTATGTAAACTTCTGACCCACTGGGAATGTGATGAAATAAATAAAAGCTGAAATAAATCATTCTCTCTACTATTATTCTGACATTTCACATTCTTAAAATAAAGTGGTGATCCTGACTGACCTAAGACAGTGAATCTTTACTAGGATTAAATGTCAGGAATTGTGAAAAACTGAGTTTAAATTTATTTGGCTAAGGTGTATGTAAACATCCGACTTCAACTGTATATACACATATATAACATTTGAAAAAGCGTTATAACTGGATTATAGCTCCTGTCCGAATGTTGTGATGAATATATTTATGTCATTGTCACCAGTGAACTCCATTACACTCAAAAGGTGTTTCAACCTCAACCAGTGAATGCCAACTATGAATAGCTATGCTCATCTATTATGTTATACAACATACGCTATGCTATGTTACTAGCTCATATGTGCATGATAATAGCATTTCCTGTACACAAAAAACTATGTATGCAGAAGTGTGATAACAGTATCAGCCACAGATGCTTTATCTGACATTTCAAACAAAATTCCCAGCTCATGAGAACATTATTTAGTTCAAGAGAATAATCAAGATTGAAGAATTCAAACACAAACCAGGTCTGAAGCTGAAGACCTGGTGGCACTGCAGAAACATCAACGCACTCCCGGCCAAGACTCTAACCTCACACTCACACATACTACTACACTGACACTCCAACACACACACACACAATCTTGTACAGCTAACCTTGTGGGGACATACAATTCAGTTCCATTGAAAATACTATTTTCCCTAACCACTAACCCTAAACCTAACCCTAACCCGTACCCGTACCCTTACCCTAACCCTAACCTTAACCTTAACCTTAACCTTAACCTTAACCCTAACTCAAAAACCTAACCTTAATCCTAAACCTAAAACTATCCCGATCTCCTAACCCTAACCCTAATTCTAACCCTAACACTAATTCTAACCTTAAACATACACTCCCTAGAAATAGCATGTGACCTCGTGAGGACCAACAAAATGTCCCCAGTTGGTCATTTTTCTCTTGGTTTACTATTCTTGTGGGGACTTCTTGTCCCCCCCCCCCCACACACACACTTCACATACGCTGCTACTGCTCTCTGTTTATTATCTATGTGTAGTCACTTTACCCCTAGCTACATGTACATATTACCTCAATTACTTCAACTACCCCGTACCCCTGCACATTGACTCGGTACCGATACCCCTTGTATACAGCCTTGTTATTGTTCTTTTATTGTGTTACTATTGTTCCTTTAGTTTATTGAGCAAATGTTTCTTACTTACTTTTTTAAAAACTCTGCATTGTTGGTTAAGGGCCCGTAAGTAAGCATTTCACGTTAAGGTCTACACCTGTTGTATTCAGATTATGTGACAAATACAATTCTGTTTTATTTGAGGTTGCAAATTCAAATCCCGGGGGAGTTAACATTGAAAAGTGAGTAGCGTATGAGTGAAGATGCGCAGCCGCAGTGTAATCATGTATTCAATGTTGTTAATAGCAGTGTTGCAATGCTTGAACAGATGGAGGCAGAAGTAGAGCAGGACACTAAGTGTTAGACCAGGATCCTATCCTGGGTAATAGGCATAGGTGCTTTTTAAAGGCAATTTCTTATTGAGCCGACATATGCAGTGTTTACCGTGAATGGGGTCTTCGCGAACGAGGGAACTTTGCCTTAACATATGCCCAATAGACATAACCCATGAATGGATTGAATCCCAGCCTTTATGTTTTTCTGAACCTGTTAAAAACTTCACGGCAAAACATGCTAATTATAATCTGGTGATGTGCTCATTGACATAAATGAAACATTGCCGAAACTCACAAAAAACGGGACACTTTCATGTAAGGAGAACAGTAAAACATAACATTCCACAAAGGTTTCAGACCCAGAAATTGTTAGGGTTGTGTGTGAGTCAGACATTACAATGAGCCCGTCCTCCTATAGCTCCTCCCACCAGTGTAACGGAGATAAGACCATGCTGTAAACTCAATCCGCAGCTTGAAATGTCGCCAATAGTGCCATTGAATTTGATATTTTTTTAGTGGCGCAACTGGTTAGTACGTTGTCAGGCAGGGTGGGCACGTGTGTTGGCGAGGCAGAGGGCACAAGATCAAGTACTGGTAAGGATGTTGTGAGCGAGGAAGCAACACTGCTATGCAGCACAGTGAAGCCTGGTACATGTGCAAGGATTTAATTAATGTTTGAATTGAACTGAATGTTATAAAAACACAAACAAACCAAGCATGCCTTCAAAGTAAGCAAAATCATTAACACATTAATCAAAATGTTGACTATTTATTTTACAAAAATAAGTTAGTATATGTGTCTGTTATCATCTAAAACCATGTTAAAACCCACCACCTACATAATCAAACCAACCAACCAAGTGAGGTACAGGCCATACAGTATGAAAGATAAGTACTTGCTTTCGAGATAAACATAATAACAGCTTATAAATCATCACAGTACTGGTTTTCTTTGATAATCAATTAATTAGTTATTAATTCTGAGCTCAGCTCCTATGTCATACACAAATATGTTTACAAAGAGAGTACAGTAGATAAATACAATACATGAAGTATAAATAACAATATGTATAATATTGCAGTTGAAGCTGAGGTCAGAGTTTAAATACAGGTTCATTCATACTTAGTGATGGATCACATTATAGGCTACAGCAAGATTTAGGTGGGTCCAGAATTATTGGTCAAAAATATTAATATTATTATTATTAAGTATAATATTCATACATGACATTAGAGGATCAGTCAGAGTAATTCAAGGAACACTTCACAGTTTAACCTCATATTCATTACATCCAGCACCATACGAGTGTCTGCATATGTGAAAATGTTTTTGTAGTCAACAAGTTAGAAGAAAAGGTTCTGAGGAAATTACCCCCGTTGATGTCATTTTCAAATTAAAACAATGATTTTCGAAGACTGGAAAGTCATTGTATATTTGAAAATTACAGATGACATCACTGGGAGTAATTTTCTTACAACCTTTTCTTCCATCTTTTTGACTACAAAACATAGAAACGTGCCATTTTCACATTTGTAGACTGTTATGGTGCTAGATATAATGGATATGAGGTAAAAAATCTGTAAAAAAATATACCCTTTAACATAAAGAGCAAGGACATCCCAATCCAGGGAGAAGTCATTGAACAAAATGTTCCTTTTGTTACAGTGAGTGGCTAACCCTGTGTGGAACACTCATGTTGTTCACCATGGTGTTGCTAACCTGCTTGTCTAAATCACAAGGGAGGCTGACAGACTAGGGAGGACTATAACCCTGAAACATAACCAACAGGGTATCGTATCCCAGTATTATTATTTTTTGTCAAGCCTTGACCACAGTAGAGGCCCTCACACACCATACCACCACTTTACATCATAACACAGCCTTCTCACCATAGCATCTTGAATTTCTATGCGTGTCAACAACCTATTCATTTGTGGATTTTGGTTTGTTCCCCTACCTACTACGAGAGATGTAAATGGTATGACCTAAGGGTAGTATGTACTTTTACCACGTATATCAGATGCACCGCGTACCTGCACTGTAGCAGTACACTCCGTGCTTGTGGTGTGGTGGGGCAAACCCAAAGCTGCGCACCCCTGGTTCCATGGGGCCACAGTTGCGGCGGGGGTTGGTGATGGGGTAGCGCAGGCTCCCGTCAGCGAGCCATCCGGCGTCACAGCGGTCCAGGCCCATGAACCTCCAGGCGGCGTAGAGCTGGCCCACCTTGGCTATCTGGGCCCCGTCGTCGAAGCACGCCTGCTGGGCCTCAGTGAGGTTGAGCTTGTGGGGGTGCTGGAGGTAGTAGACCTTCCCTGGAGAAGAGGACATGGCAGAGACCAGAGGTGTATAAGGTGATCAATTCACTGAAAGTTCACCACAAAATGAAAGTTACAGTAGGAGTCAATTGCAGATGTCTTCAAATGCATATAACAGAATGTACATGTCACGATCGTTTACGGACGAGACGGACCAAGGCGCAGCGTGATAAGCGTACATGTTTATTACAACTGTGTAAACACGACAAAATAACAAACAAACGATACGTGAAGTCTTAAGGTACACACAACAAACCTATACGGAACAAGATCCCACAACTAACAGGTGCCAAAAGGCTACCTAAGAGACAACGAGCGACAGCTGCCTCTGATTGGGAACCACCCCGGCCAACATAGAAATAGACATACCAGATACTACACCATAGAAACAAAGAAACACGGAATATACACACCCTGACTCAACAAATAAATGTCCCCTGAGTCAGGGCGTGACAGTACCCCCGCCCAAAGGTGCGGACTCCGACCGCGCCACATAAACATAACAGGGTAGGGGCCGGGTAGGCATTCCGCCTCGGAGGCGGATCCGGCTCCGGGCGTGACCACCACTTTCTCTCCACCTTCCTGTTGCGCCCCTGGTTTGGTCTGGACCTCGGCGCGCTGCTTCCCCTCTCCTTCCCGGACAGCCTGCCCAGTCACACGCTTCCTTGCATGAGTACGGGGAGTTGGCTCTGCTCTAACACTAGGCTCCGCCAACCACCCTTTTAGCCCCCTCAAATTTTTTTATTGGGGCTGTCTCTCGGGCTTCCTCCTCGGCCGGCACCTTCTGCGTTGCCGCTGCTCCTCTCTATAGCGCGCCTCCACTGTCTCCTCCCAAGGACGGCGATCCATTCCGGCCTGAATCTCCTCCCAAGTCCAGGATCCCTTCCCGTCCAGGATCTCCTCCCAGGTCCAGGCTGTCTGCTCCTGGACACGCTGCTTGGTCCTTGTTTGGTGGGATCTTCTGTCACGATCGTTTACGGACGAGACGGACCAAGGCGCAGCGTGATAAGCGTACATGTTTATTACAACTGTGCAAACACGACAAAACAACAAACAAACGATACGTGAAGTCTTAAGGTACACACAACAAACCTATACGGAACAAGATCCCACAACTAACAGGTGCCAAAAGGCTACCTAAGTATGGTCCCCAATCAGAGACAACGAGCGACAGCTGCCTCTGATTGGGAACCACCCCGGCCAACATAGAAATAGACATACCAGATACTACACCATAGAAACAACACAACACGGAATATACACACCCTGACTCAACAAATAAACGTCCCCTGAGTCAGGGCGTGACAGTACACAATAGAGTGGCTTGTGAAAGTATTCACCCCCCTTGGCATTTTTCCTATTTTGTTGCCTTACAACCTGGAAATAAAATTGATTTTTTGGGGGGGGTTGTATCATTTGATTTACACAACATGCCTACCACTTTGAAGATGCAAAATATGTTTTATTGTGAAACAAACAAGAAGTAAGAGAAAAAAACTGAAAACTTGAGCGTGCATAACTATTCACCCCCCCAAAGTCAATACTTTGTAGAGCCACCTTTTGCAGCATTTACAGCTGCAAGTCTCTTGGGGTATGTCTCTATAAGCTTGGCACATCTAGCCACTGGGATTTTTGCCCACTCTTCAAGGCAAAACTGCTCCAGCTCCTTCAAGTTGGATGGGTTCCGCTGGTGTACAGCAATCTTTAAGTCATACCACAGATTCTCAATTGGATTGAGGTCTGGGCTTTGACTAGGCCATTCCAAGACATTTAAATATTTCCCCTTAAACCACTCAAGTGTTGCTTTAGCAGTATGCTTAGGGTCATTGTCCTGCTGGAAGGTGAACCTCCGTCCCAGTCTCAAATCTCTGGAAGACTGAAAAAGACTGTGGGGATGGTGTTCTTGGGGTGATGAGAGGTGTTGGGTTTGCGCCAGACATTGCGTTTTTCTTGATGGCCAAAAAGCTCAATTGTAGTCTCATCTGACCAGAGTACCTTCTTCCATATGTTTGGGGAGTCTCCCAAATGCCTTTTGGAGAACACCAAACATGTGTGCTTATTTTTTTTTTTAAGCAATGGCTTTTTTCTGGCCACTCTTCCGTAAAGCCCAGCTCTGTGGAGTGTACGGCTTAAAGTGGTCCTATGGACAGATACTCCAATCTCTGCTGTGAAGCTTTGCAGCTCCTTCAGGGTTATCTTTGGTCTCTTTGTTGCCTCTCTGATTAATGCCCTCCTTGCCTGGTCCGTGAGTTTTGTTGGGCGGCCCTCTCTTGGCAGGTTTGTTGTGGTGCCATATTCTTTCAATTTTTTAAATAATGGATTTAATGGTGCTCCGTGGGATGTTCAAAGTTTCTGATATTTTTTTATAACCCAACCCTGATCTGTACTTCTCCACAACTTTGTCCCTGACCTGTTTGGAGAGCTCCTTGGTCTTCATGGTGCCGCTTGCTTGGTGGTTCCCCTTGCTTAAAGGTGTTGCAGACTCTGGGGCCTTTCAGAACAGGTGTATATATACTGAGATCATGTGACAGATCATGTGACACTTAGATTGCACACATGTGGACTTTATTTAACTAATTATGTGACTTCTGAAGGTAATTGGTTGCACCAGATCTTATTTAAGGGCTTCATAGCAAAGGGGGTGAATACATGTGCATGCACCACTTTTCCGTTATTAATTTTTTTGAATGTTTTGAAACAAGTAATTTTTTTCATTTCACTTCACCAATTTGGACTATTTTGTGTATGTCCATTACATGAAATCCAAATGAAAATCAATTTAAATTACAGGTTGTAATGCCACAAAATAGGAAAAATGCCAAGGGGGATTAATATTTTGCAAGGCACTGGAATGTACTGTGCTTGACTCTAGTTGTAGGGTAAACTATCTCTATATCTGTGCCTGTGTAGTGTGTACCTGTGTAGTGTGTACCTGTATAGTGTGTGTGTACCTGTGTAGTGTGTGTACCTGTATAATGTGTGTGCCTGTGTAGTGTGTGTACCTGTGTAGTGTGTGTACCTGTATAATGTGTGTACCTGTATAGTGTGTGTACCTCTATAGTGTGTGTGCCTGTATAGTGTGTGTGCCTGTATAGTGTGTGTGCCTGTATAGTGTGTGTGCCTGTATAGTGTGTGTGCCTGTATAGTGTGTGTGCCTGTATAGTGTGTGTGCCTGTGTAGTGTGTGTACCTGTATAGTGTGTGTGCCTGTATAGTGTGTGTGCCTGTATAGTGTGTGTGCCTGTGTAGTGTGTGTACCTGTATAGTGTGTGTGCCTGTATAGTGTGTGTGCCTGTATAGTGTGTGTACCTGTATAGTGTGTGTGCCTGTATAGTGTGTGTACCTGTGTAGTGTGTACCTGTATAGTGTGTGTGTACCTGTGTAGTGTGTGTACCTGTATAATGTGTGTGCCTGTGTAGTGTGTGTACCTGTATAGTGTGTGTGCCTGTATAGTGTGTGTGCCTGTATAGTGTGTGTGCCTGTATAGTGTGTGTACCTGTATAGTGTGTGTACCTGTATAGTGTGTGTGCCTGTATAGTGTGTGTACCTGTATAGTGTGTGTGCCTGTATAGTGTGTGTGCCTGTATAGTGTGTGTACCTGTATAGCGTGTGTGCCTGTATAGTGTGTGTGCCTGTATGGTGTGTACCTGTATAGTGTGTGTGCCTGTATAGTGTGTGTACCTGTATAGTGTGTGTACCTGTATAGTGTGTGTGCCTGTATAGTGTGTGTTCCTGTATAGTGTGTGTACCTGTATGGTGTGTGTACCTGTATAGTGTGTGTGCCTGTATAGTGTGTGTGCCTGTGTAGTGTGTGTGTGCCTGTGTAGTGTGTGTACCTGTATAGTGTGTGTACCTGTATAGTGTGTGTACCTGTATAGTGTGTGTACCTGTATAGTGTGTGTACCTGTATAGTGTGTGTACCTGTATAGTGTGTGTGCCTGTATAGTGTGTGTACCTGTGTAGTGTGTGTGCCTGTGTAGTGTGTGTACCTGTATGGTGTGTGTGCCTGTGTAGTGTGTGTACCTGTATGGTGTGTGTGCCTGTGTAGTGTGTGTACCTGTATAGTGTGTGTACCTGTATAGTGTGTGTACCTGTATAGTGTGTGTACCTGTATAGTGTGTGTACCTGTATAGTGTGTGTGCCTGTATAGTGTGTGTACCTGTATAGTGTGTGTGCCTGTATGGTGTGTGTGCCTGTGTAGTGTGTGTACCTGTATGGTGTGTGTGCCTGTATAGTGTGTGTACCTGTATGGTGTGTGTGCCTGTGTAGTGTGTCTCACCTCGGAGGGAGGAGGAGAAACAGAAGACGTCGTATCGGTGGAGGTGGCGGTGGCGTCTACCGTAGCTCCTAACCCCGGGGGCGAGGCCCAGCCCCCCACAGGGGCTCCGGGGCTTGGTGATGGGGTACTGCACTGTCCCATCAGCCAGCCAGCCTGCGTTGCACCAGTCCAGCCCCTCCTCCCAGGCCTGGAACAGCTGCTCGAAGGTGGCCAGAGTGGAGTCCTGCTCCCCACAGACTTGCTGGGCATCATGGTAGGTCAGGTTGTAGCGGCCGTGAGGAGGCTGGTAGGGAAACACCACACCTGGAGGGGAGCAAGGGATATGCAATGACTTTAAAGGCACAATCCTTCATTTGTTTGTCAGCCAAACAGCAGCCTTACTTGGTTAGCCTAACTTAGTTAAAGCTGAGGGATGGGGCTGGACCAATGTAACACTTAAATTCATAGAGGGAACTATAGATGTAGTGCATGACAGTACATGAGATCAATAAGATGGGGTAAGGCAGTTGAACAGTACTAAGCACATACATTATATTTTTCAAGAATCAATGGGTAGGCTATATAATATATCATTCATTTAAATGACCACATAATAGCTGTAAATATTGCAGATTGCGCCTTTAATGTGTGTGATTACAGTCGTGATGGGAGGGACTGGATGATCACTCACAAATGAAGTTGTTACACGGCACTATAATATAGTTTACCTCGTAGCTCGAGTTCGACGGTGGCGCTCTCGTCCTCCAGCCCGTCGATGACCTCACAGCGGTAACGTCCCGTGTCATTGAGCTGGAGTTCAGTCATGACCAGCGAAGCATCTCCTGGCGAGTCCTCTCTGAGACGCACCCGGCCCCTGAGAGATAAATAGATGACTTTGTTATCTTCAATGTGTTCAACAGATGTATAAACATTTTTGTGCAGGCAAACTCTAAAATGTCCATTGTATCACAGCAGTTGTGTGAAATGCATTGTTCCTCATCTATACAGCCCAGAGTGTCAGTGGTGTAAAGTAACTCAATCAAAATACTTTGAAGTACTACCTACGTAGTTTTTGGGGCATCTGTACTTTAACTCCACTACATTCCTAAAGAAAATACACTGTATATACTTTTTACTCCCATACATTTTTCCTGACACCCCAAAGTGCTTGTTACATTGAAATGCTCAGGCAGGACAGCTAAATGGTCCAATTCACACTCTTATCAAGATAACACACCATCACCCCCCTGTGTCTGCTCTGGTGGACTAAACTCATGCTGCGTTGGTCAATTGTGTCTGAGTTTTGGAGTGTGCCCCTGGCTGTCTGTACATTTAAGAGAGAATCTAACTGTCAGATTTGATTAATATAAGGAAATTGATTTAAAGCATTTAATTTGACTTTTGATACTTATGTACATTTAAGACCAGATACTTTTGGACTTTTACTCAGGATGTATTTTACTAGGTGGCTTTACATTTTACTTGAGTCATTTCCTATTAAGATAGCTTTACTTTTACTCAGGTATGACAATTGGGTACTTTTTCCACCTCTGCCGAGTGTGAACTAAGCCTTATTTTTATTTATTTATTTATTTACAGGGAAATCCCATTTTCCAACAGGTTTCTCTTTTGCGAGGAAGCCCTGAATTCACAAAAACGCAGCTCACAAAAAATGCAGCAAAAGAAATACAAGGAATTTGTGACACAATTATAACAATTAAAGGTGAGCGCATAAGAAATACAGTATAGAAATATAAAGTATCAAAATCTAAGGCAGGAGCTTAAGAAATACTGTATGGAAATAGAAACACAAACACTCAATATACACAAATGATCATATGGTTTTAGAATGAATGGGTCTGCATCAAGAATAGCTAGAGTACCTGAAATCCCCAAAGCTGTGAATGCGGGGCCCGATGGCCACCAGAACGTCCGTCTCATGGCCCCCCACGACGGGCAGCCACGACCACTTCACCCGCACCCTCCTGGGGGAGCTCAACTCTGGCTCGTACCAGTATCGGCAGGATAGGGTGGCGTTACTCCCCCGGAAAGCGAACACAGAGGGCTGGGAGGAGTCCACGTGGAGCTTTACACCGTTAAAGTGGACTAGAAGGGAGAATACACACGAAACAGCAGTTAGTCCGACTTCATTTGGGTCTGTGCAACCTCCTCTGAGATGTTGAATTGATAAGCCATTTATGGGTCGTGTTCATTAGGCACCAAGGGACTGAAAGAGGGAGGAACTACCTGGACTTGTTCAATAAGAAAGGCTCATTGTCGTTTTCAATTACAAACATTTAGATGTATGTTACATGGGAGGTGGATGCATTGCCCCTACCTAAGGCATGTACTCATTTTCAACTCTTCATTCATAAAACATAAGTGTATGCTCCTACTCTCTCCATTGCCATTTCCGTTGAGAATGTCTTGGTAGAAGAATCTGTTGGAGGAGTAGCCGAGGGTGGGCAAGCAGGAGAGGAGCAGCTGCAGCAACATCACCAACAGGGGGCGAGGGTGAGCCACCATCATCCTGGTCACTGAATGATAGAGGATACAAACAACTATAAGGCTCTGGGGTAACGACTATAGTGTCTTTAGCCTAATTATAATACTCTCCCTTCTCCCCGAAGTGGGCACTTGTTCACTCCCCTCATGGATATAAAAGGACTGACATCTATTCAGCCAATTCAACCATCATTTGAATTATTTTAAATCCTTGAGTGGGAGCGAACCAGTGCCCAATACAGGGAGAAGGTACAGAAATGGAGTTGGTATGGTGTCTTTGACTGGACCCCCTTCCCAATGGTTCCCATATGGTGGGGTGGGATCCAGAGGAGGGTCACATCTAATTCCCTCTGGGTTGGGGCCTGTTTGGACACATTGCTTTACATTATGTGGTGGGTCTAAGAAAAAACCTTAACAGCTGTAAAGGGTGTGGGAACCATTGACTTTGACTGACCCCAATTTCAGCCCCCTGCCCTTTCGCCACAGCTAGTGCTATCCGAGATCCTTAGGACCTCCCTACCCTAAACCCTAACCCTAAACGTAACCCCTAACCTTACCCTAACCATAAACCTTACCTAACCATAACCCTAACCTTAACCCTTACCTTAACCATTTTAAATGTCAACTTCAATGGGAACCCAAGGATCCCAGTTAGCACCACACCCCCCTAGCCTCTCTCTCCCCTGCTGCTGGCCTATTTCCCAAGCCCTAATTCTGTTCAATTCCACTTGCATCTAAACAGTAGTCATAGCTATAAACTGCCAATGGGTGGCAGTATCACATCATGTTTTGTATTGCAAATCTGCAGCTCAAATCAGATTTAAGAAGAAATTAGAAGTTTATGTCACTGTGTGAGCATTACAATGGTTGTAGATTAAAAAAAAAAAAAGTGTGCAAAGCTGTCATAAAGCAAAGGGTGGCTATTTGAAGAATCTCAAATATAAAATATATTTTGATTTGTTTAACATTTCTTTGGTTACTACATGATATGCGTTATTTCATGGGTCTGATGTCTTCAATATTATTCTACAATGTAAGAAATAGTAAAAAATTAAGAAAAACCCTTGAATGAGTAGGTGTGTCCAAACTTTTGACTGGTAGTGTATATTTAGTATCTAAACTTTGGCTCCTAGTCAAAGGCTGGTATGAAAACGAAATCTTAATGTAGCAATAATTTGTCTGTGCTCTTGCTCCAGATATCAGTGGTTCTGACCCAAATACAGTCTAGTTAATCAGGGTGAATACGGGAACTAAAGGCATAATACAATAAAATCTATCTAAAACATTTTACTGCAGTTCTTTGCCCTGAATACTAGATCTGAAAGGTAATTTAATTTACTGTCTATAGTCTCTTTTTCCTGTTAATTTCTCTGAGAAGGGTTGCCATGGGGTGGAGGGTAGGGGTTGTTGTGTTTGTAGGTTATTAAGCTATTAAGTTATTAATGTATTTTGTGTTTTACAGATTATAAAGAAATTACACATTTGGAACAGTACTCAAAATATTCAATAGGCAACAATACATGTGGTTTGAATCAACATCTCAATTAGACTTCTTGATTATAATAGTCTTTGACTATAATATAGAAGCCTATGGAGGCTATATGCACCGTAAAGGTGGTAAGGAATATGATACTGCTTGCTGTTCTGCACACCTGGCATGTGTGGGAAACTCTTTCATCATCACATGCCAGTGTTTTCAAAACTTTAGAAAAGATAGTAGCTTACATATTTTATTAATTACACATAGCAACGATTCCAGTAATACAACTTATCAACATACATAATGTAGCGACGATTCTAGTAATACAATTTATCAACCTGAATCAGAATAATCGTTTTCAACCTGATACCGTTAATCTGTCATTTGTTTTATGATATTCTTCATGTGGTGATTATTATTTACTTACAGTTTCACAACTAGCTGGTACAATGCCGCCTGACTTTTCTTCGAGTTTTTATTAAGCCCCAAAATATTATATCAAAGGAAAGGGAGAGATGCAGCTCCTTCTTATGGATGTTCAGCAGAAAAAAATATGTGTACGTATGCGGAGTTCTTGGACTGTCTTCAGAAAAGGTACCCGCCTGTGGTTACATTGACACTGTGGATTCTGACCGCAATGATGACGCAAAAACCATATCCAAGCACTTGGCTTCAAAAATATACATGAAAATAATCTACAAGGTCTCCCAAAAACCTTGAGTAATAATTTACTGTTGTGTGAATTTATTAAAAACGAACGAAAACCGATCCACCGTTCCAAATATGACCATTTGCTTTCATTATAAACGGAGCCAATGCATAATTGCCAGGTCAGCAGAAATAATGATGGATATGCTCTAATACACTGCATGAATTGAGTCACTTTCTCCAGTCTCTAATTAAAGGGGCATTCTGCGATTGCTACATGCATTTTTTTTACTTTTAAATTAATTACATATACCTATTGATTGAAGAATATAACTTATAAATGCCTCCTGAGTTTAGCTCAACTGTTGCACCCCATCAGAACCCAAAATGCAAGCTTGTTTTACTTACTTTCTGTCGACTTCTGCCTGCTGTGTAGTTATGGGGCCCCTCTCTCTTACAGCCGTCATTACAGAATCCCTGTCTTCTATCACAACACCAACCATAACAAATGAGCTCATCTTGGCCAGCTGTTGGGGGAGTAGATGGTTGGTTTTCAGCTTGCAGAAAGAGAAGACAGAGAGGGTTATGCTCTCTTCTGATCCATCTATCCTAAATACACACTGAAAAGCAGATGTTAGTCATCCGAGATGCATGGAGCACTCCAGCTGGACACTGTTGTTTCTGGGCGCAACCTTTGCTTTTACGGTGCACTTGCACTGTGTCACGCGTGTGTGTGCACATAGACATACATGCACGCATATACACACGCAGGCGCACACACACTCTCTGTCACCCCTCTTGCCAAACACGTTTGTTTTAATATCCTTGTGGGGACCAAACAAGTGATTCCCATTCAAAATCCTATTTTCCCTAACCCTTTAGGCATTCCCATCTGAAACAGTTCGGAAACACTTTGTGCATACAGTGCCTTCAGAAAGTATTCATGCCTGATTTTTTTCACCCATCTACACACAATACCCCATTATGACAAAGTGAAAACATGGTTTTAGAAATGTTATCCAATTTATTGAAAGTGAAATACAGAAATATCTAATTTACATAAGTATTCACACCCCTTTGCTATGACACTCCAAATTGAGCTCAGGTGCATCCAATTTCCATTGATCATCCTTGAGACATCACTACAACTTGATTGGAGTCCACCTGTGGCCAATTCAATTGTTTGGACATAATTTAGAAAAAAACACAGCAGTCTACATAAGGTCCTACAGTTGACAGTGCATGTCAGAGCAGAAACTATACCATGAAGTCAAAGGAACTGTCCGTAGATCTCCGAGATAGAATTGTGATAAGGCAAATATCTGGGGAACCTTTCGGTTACTGGCATAACACTCTTACCCACTAAGCTACCTGCCGCCCAATGACCCCAAGCATACAGCCAAAGCAATGCTGGAATTGCTTCAGAACAAGAATGTGAAAGTCCTTGAGTGGCCCAGCCAAAGCCCAGACTTGAATCCCATTGAAAATCTGTGGAAAGACTTGAAGATTGCTGTTCACCGCCGCTCCCCATCTAATTTAACAGAGTTTGAGAAAATCTGCAAGGAACAAATCCCCAAGTCCAGATGTGCAAAGCTGATACAGACATACCCAAGACGACTTAAAGCTGTAATCGCCGCCAAAGGTGCTTCTACAAAATATTGACTCAGCGGTGTGAATACTTACGTAAATGTGATATTTCTGTATTTCATTTTCAATAAATTAGCAAACATTTCTAAAAACATGTTTTCACTTTGTCAATATGGGGTATTATGTGTAGATGGGTGAGGAAAAAATCAATTTAATCAATTTTGAATTCAGGCTGTAACACAACAAATTGTGGAATAAGTAAAGGGGATTAATACTTTCTGAAGGCACTGTATATTATAACGACATTTTGTGACATTTTTGTTCGTTTTGGTCTTCAGCAAGGGTTTTTTCGGCCATTCGTGCACATAGTTTTTTCTCGAGGCAAGCCGATTGTCACGATCGTCTGAAGGATTGGACCAATGCGCAGCGTTGCGAGTGAACATGATGACTTTATTAACTTAAAGCAACCACGAAGAAAACAACAAAATACGATCCGTGAAGTTCTATACTGAAATACTACTAACAGCAACAAAGAAACAATAACCCACAACCACAAGGTGAAAACACACAGAATATATATGGCTCCCAATCAGAGATAACGAGCCGAACAGCTGACACTCGTTACCTCCGATTGGGAGTCAATAACCAAATTACCAAAAACACAAACAAATGAAACTCACCCCTACCCAACACCACCAAATGAAATACACCCAAAAGAAAAATGAACAACCCTGGCTCAAAATCAACGTCCATAGAGCCAGAGTGTTACAGTACCCCCCCCTAAAGGTGCGAACTCCGGGCGCACCAACATCAGGACTAGGGGAGGGTCTGGGTGGGCGTCTGTCCATGGTGGTGGCTCTGGCCCCGGTCGTGATCCCCACCCCACCACAGTCACAACCTGCTTCGGTAGCCTCCTCCCAATGACCACCCTCCACCTAACCCCACCTGGACTAAGGGGCAACCCCGGACTAAGGGGCAGCATCGGCCTAAGGGGCAGCACCGGGATAAGGGGCAGCACCGGGATAAGGGGCAGCACCGGGACAAGGGGCAGCACCGGACTACGGGGCAGCACCGGGCTAAAGGGCAGTACCGGACTACGGGGCAGCACCGGGCTAAGGGGCGGCACCGGACTCAGGGGCAGCACCGGACTAAGGGGCAGCACCGGGCTAAAGGGCAGCACCGGGCTAAGGGGCAGCACCTGACGTCTCTGGCGGATCCTGGCGGGACGGCTCTGGCGGATCCAGGCTGGACGGCTCTGGCGGATCCTGGCGGGACGGCTCTGGCGGATCCTGGCGGGACGGCTCTGGCGGATCCTGGCGGGCCGGCTCTGGCGGATCCTGGCTGGACGGCTCTGGCGGATCCTGGCGGGACGGCTCTGGCGGATCCTGGCGGGACGGCTCTGGCGGATCCAGGCTGGACGGCTCTGGCGGATCCAGGCTGGACGGCTCTGGCGGATCCTGGCGGGACGGCTCTGGCGGATCCAGGCTGGACGGCTCTGGCGGATCCTGGCGGGACGGCTCATGGCTGGCTGACGGGTCTGGCTGCTCATGGCTGGCTGACAGATCTGGCTGCTCATGGCTGGCTGATGGTGCTGGCTGGGAGGCTGGCGGTGGAGGCGGACCCCAGCCTCGGATAGCAGTCATCACCTCCAGCAGGGCGGCTCCCATCTGCAGGATCTGCTCTTTCTGGTTCCGAACCTGAGCTTCCAGTCTAGTATGGGCTGCGTCGGCTCCTGCTGATTCCATAGCAGGTGTCTGATTCTGTCTGGCGGACGGCTCTGCAGGCTCATGGCAGACGGACGGCTTTGCAAGCTCAGTACAGACGGGCGGCTTATGCAGCGCTTGGCAGACGGGCAGTTCAGATGCCCTAGGGCAGACGGCAGACTCTGGCCGGCTGGCGACGCACATCGTGGACCTGGTGCGTGGAGTAGGAACAGACCGGCCCGTACCGGGAACACCCACCACTGGCCTTAACTGGGGATCAAGAACGGACCGGACCAGACTGGGAACACACTTCAGTCTCTCATGCCGTGCCACAACAACTTCCCTCCCTCTACTCGCCAATGGCTCCCGTAATCCGATAGCCTTCTCTCCAGCTCTACCCGTGGCAGCCTCCTGCTGCCCAGGCGCCCAAGCCATGTGCCCCCCCCCAAAAATTTTTTGGGGAGTAACCACGGGCTTCCAGCCTCGACTCCGCGCTTCCTCTTCGTACCACCTCCTCTCGGCTGCAGCTGCCTCCAGCTCTTCACGAGGGCGGTGATATTCCTCCTCATACCACCTCCTCTCGGCTGCAGCTGCCTCCAGCTCTTCACGAGGGCGGTGATCTTCCTCCGGTAGTGCCCAAGGACCCTTTCCAGCCCGAATCTCCTCCCAAGTCCAAAAATCCTTAGGAGGCGTCCATACATCCTGCGTAGGTAGGTCCTGTTGCCGCTTGTTACGCCGCTTGGTCCTCTTGTGGTGGGTTATTCTGTCACGATCGTCTGAAGGATTGGACCAATGCGCAGCGTTGCGAGTGAACATGATGACTTTATTAACTTAAAGCAACCACGAAGAAAACAACAAAATACGATCCGTGAAGTTCTATACTGAAATACTACTAACAGCAACAAAGAAACAATAACCCACAACCACAAGGTGAAAACACACAGAATATATATGGCTCCCAATCAGAGATAACGAGCCGAACAGCTGACACTCGTTACCTCCGATTGGGAGTCAATAACCAAATTACCAAAAACACAAACAAATGAAACTCACCCCTACCCAACACCACCAAATGAAATACACCCAAAAGAAAAATGAACAACCCTGGCTCAAAATCAACGTCCATAGAGCCAGAGTGTTACACCGATGTGGCCCTTCATCAGTCATTGGTCAACAGTAGGGATCTTCAGTTAAGTGTCATTCAACGAGAGACGACTTGTTTTCATTCACATGTTTTCATTGAGAAATACTGCACCAAACATCTTAGTTTGATGTAACATTTTGTGACTAAGATCTCCTGGTCCCCACAAGGATAGTAAAACCACACACACACACACACACACACACACACACACACACACACACACACACACACACACACACACACACACACACACACACACACACACACACACACACACACACACACACACACACACACACACACACACACAGTGATAACATATAGTCATAGAGTGTAGTTGAAAGCCTTGGCCAGGGGCTAGACATACCAGCCTGTGTGAATAGCAGGGAGATGAGGGTGTAATTACTATCATAAACACCAGTCTATTGCCCAGCTAGGAGAGTCCTGTATTGGGACTTAGGCGCCCCGTCCCAAATGGCACCTTATTCCCTATATAGTGCACTACTTTTGACCAGAGCCAAATTTAGATGGGTGCCATTTGGGACGCAGCCAGGGAATGTTTGGATGGGAGAGACACAGACATGACTATGGTCTGACCCACAACAGAAATCTCTCAGGGGTCGGACAATGATACAACAGAGCGGTAGAGTGGTCATCAATGGGCCAAAAAGTGTCCCAAAAATCACCCTATTCCCTATTTGGTGCACTACTTTTGACCAGGGACCAATAGGGCTCTGGTCAAAAGGTATTAGGGTGCAATTTAGGATAAGCCCATGGGTTGTCTTCTGTGGTTTACACTGGAATGGCCAGACTACTTCCTAGTCGCAACATGTATGGGACACCAAAATGGAGGAGACATCGAATGTTCCTTCAAAAAGGTTGAGATGATTTAGTCTAGCCTTAATGACAGGGTCTTTAAGTCTTCTTCTGCTATTGTATAGTCGGGAAGTCGGGAACGGAACATTGTTTCTAGACAGTCATCACACCCAAAGAGAACTAAATTACTGTAGTTTATACTGAAGTTGGCTGTAAACACGTTTATTGACGTGGTTGTAACTACGAAGTTTAAGAGTGTCTGTTTATTTTATAAAAGCAATTCAGATTGTATGGACTACCACACACTCACACAGCCCCATAAACAAGCCCCCATGATGTCACTTAACAATCAGGTCCCATTTATGCAGGCACTGACTTTTTCCTGTCCTGCCATCCACGACACGCCCATCCTGACAGTATGATCACACAGGTCATGCAGTAGAATGGGGCTCCACTGCAGAGCTAGTGGGAACACAAAGCTCTGCTCTGTAACGTCCTGGCAGCGGCATGGACACACATTCAAGAGGAAGAAAGACAGTGGGAGGGAGAGAGAGAAGAGGGGGAAGTAATAGAGGAACAAAGAGAAATGAGAGAGAGAAACTACCTGTCACTGAGAGTTAGGCAGAAGGGCGAAATTACAAAGGGACACTTATTTTTATGCTGTTAACTAAGTTGATGCTATTACTGTAAGACTGTCAACAATGTCTACCCATACAATGTCTTATGTAATGGAAATGTTTTCAATCCAAATGTTCAACACAGAATGTTTTTCAACTTATTTTTTATTAATGACGTCTGTTGAAGACTAACACAATTGATTTCTTAAAAAAATTATGAAAAACCACAACATTTTGTGTAATCATTTCTACTCACTCAATAATTTCTACTTGTCTCTTGTCTGTACTATTTTATTTCTACTAATAAATTATGGAATAAAACAGTTTAGGGCTACTTGGAATGCAAGAAAATGATTAGAATACAAGCAAATCTGCTAAATTTGAGAAAAAAAACCATAAGTAATTGATCAAGTGCGAAAGGTACACCAACATACTGAACAATCCTTTGCAGCTTTTAGTTTCACTTTAAAAATCAATGTCCTTCCTTCAATTAATATACAGTATAGGTAATATACAGTATAGGTAATATACAGTACAATAATTCCATTGTCAATTAACTAATTCGTTAATTTATTATGTCCAGCTATTTCCCCCAAAGTATATTGCACACAGGCCCTGCTTCAGTATACTACTAAGTGCTCATATCGACCAGCTGATGTGTCTACTCTCCCTTCAATACACCCATCTATATAATGGTAGACCAGGGGTCTTTAACTCCAGGTCTGGGGGCCACATCAGGACCGCAAGCTGCTTTTTTGTGGTCCTCGACAGAGCCTTTTGTTTACTGTAAATCACAGTAGAGGCTGCTGAGTGGAGGACAGCTCATAATAATGGCTGGAATGGAGCGAATGGAATGGCATCAAACACATAGAAACCATGTGTTTGATACCATTCCATTAATTCCACTACAGCCATTACTACGAGCCCGTCCTCCCCAATTAAGGTGCCACCAACCTCCTGTGGTAAATCAGTGGTATTCAAACCTTTTCAGCAGGGACCCCATTCTTTTGGCAGAATTTCTGATGACCCCAACCCAAATCTAACGACACAACCTTCAAATCTGTAAGTTTCGATTTTTACATCAACAAATAACCTTAAATTCATTGCCTTTTCATCTCTCTTATCAAAATTAAGAGAACGAATAAATACATTTACAAATAATCTTTCTCAAAAACGTTTGTATATTGTTCCATACAATAATCTGTTGGCTACACTTAATATTTTAGGTTGCCGCCAACTAGGATAAGTCCGTTCCGACTGGGATAGGGATTGTATTTTTATTTGGCGACCCTGACATTGAATACCACTGCTGTAAATAGAAGGCTCTCACCCTGGATACATAATGTCAGAGAGCACGGTGGGACAAGCAGCTGCTAGGTCGGCTGGCAAAGTGACATCACACAGAACTGTGAGTGTTTGGAACGTGTTGGAACTGGCAGCGCTGGGGGAAGGGTGACCCGACATGTTCCCTATAGTGTGCTACTTTTGACCATAGCCCAGGTACTGCCAATAGCTCAAAAATAGAGCACTATATAGGGAATAGGCGGACATTTCAGACGCACCCTAATTCTATGGAGAGAATGTGAGCGCCCATATAATTAGAATTGACACTGTGCTACCGTCACTGTGGAAAGGATCAAAAACCAATGGGAATTGATCAGTTTTAGCTAGAGAATAATATGCACTTAAAAAAAAAACACCTGGCTAAATCTGCTGCTAAGTCCCTGAAATCAGAAAAATATTTGTAGAAATACAAGATGGAGAGCAGAGAATCTGGAGCATATTCTATTGATGCAAAGTTCTGGAACGTTGCATATAGAAATGAAATTTAGAACCTGACACAGTTCTCCAATCCACATGATAAGAGATCCATGTACATTCTATACATTCGATTTCTATGTCCTGGTGCAGAGGAAGGTGTGACTGATTCCAGTGTCGGTCACGTGTGGACAGGTACGGTATGGAGACTGGGTGGAGGGCTTTGTGGAGCACTGGTGGATTATGGGTAATGTAGTTCTAGTAGTCACAGCCCAGCAGCTCCATGCGCAGGGTGATGCGCTCGTGCCACTCCCAGGGCACAACGCGCACATAGCGGGCGTAGAACGAAGGCTCAAACAGGTTCTTCTTATGCATGTTGTTGTCAATGTTGCCTTGGAAAATCTGTCAGGGAACACACACACATCAATGGTCAACGGTTAACTACCATATCTGTCAAGGAACACACACACATCAATGGTCAATGGTTAACTACCATATCTGTCAAGGAACACACACACATCAATGGTCAATGGTTAACTACCATATCTGTCAAGGAACACACACACTTCAATGGTCAATGGTTAACTACCATATCTGTCAAGGAACACACACACATCAATGGTCAATGGCTAACTACCATATCTGTTGTATGGTGTGAATAATTCTACATCTATAATATAATAATAATAATAATAATAATAATAATAATAATAATAAGCCATTTAGCAGACGCTTTTATCCAAAGCGACTTACAGTCATGCGTGCATATTTTTTTTTGGTGTATGGGTGGTCCCGGGGATCAAACCCACTACCTTGGCGTTACAAGCGCTGTGCTCTACCAGCTGAGCTACAGAGGACCACCCATCTGAACCATCTGAACAAATATGTCTATATTTAAATATGCATGTTGAAAGGGACTCATGAAATGTATTTTTTTTGTGTGTGGGAGTCCTTCTCAAGGTTCACTTCAGTTTTTCAATCTCCTACCCAACTGTGTAGACATTACTTCATGTGTGTAACAGTTATTGTTCAGATAAACTTAAATATTCACCATATTCATTGAAACACTAATTTTTAATGGTACTACTGAATGGGAGGACAGATCTGATATGAACCGATATGTAAAGGTCAAAGGTCAATGTCTGAGGCCTCCCATCAGGGGCTGTAAATCGGTCTGAACTATGACCTCATTCATGATGACAGCCTTATGAGCCAAACACAACTCCCCTCCCAGTCCCTCTGAGGAAGCCCCTGGCTACGTCATATAATGTCAAGGGTCTACACTCAATGAAAAGATTGAAGGTTATTTATACGTCACTGAGGGTCATTTAATTATCAGCCCGTTGTTTGCAGTACTCCCATGGGGGTGAAGATGGGCCTCTCCTATTCCACTATCCCACACAGAGAGGGGGCTACAGGGGCGAGCGTCACTAGCACTGTTCCAGCCAGGGGCAAAACAGGAAGTAAAGAGATCATTCACACAGAGGACCAGGGGATACACTCCACACACAGGGTGGGGGTCCAGAGAGGGGGTCCGTCAATTGGCACGAAAAACACACTAAGGTCCCAACTCATGTCAACAAACTGTGCAGAGGTTTGCAAAACCCCTTATCCCTACTGTCGAATACAAATAGTAATGGTAAAAAAGATTAGAGTATGTCTGTGTTTCTTTACTTCTAAATGGCTTCCTCTCCTTTCCTTTATGAACACTGAAATAGCTGGGTAGACTTATATCATCTAACAGATACAGTGAGAGAAAAAAGTATTTGATCCCCTGCTGATTTTGTACGTTTGCCCACTGACAAAGAAATGATCAGTCTATAATTTGAATGGTAGGTTTATTTGAACAGTGAGAGACAGAATAACAACAACAAAATCCAGAAAAACACATGTCAAAAATGTTATAAATTGATTTGCATTTTAATGAGGGAAATAAGTATTTGACCCCCTCTCAATCAGAAAGATTTCTGGCTCCCAGGTGTCTTTTATACAGGTAACGAGCTGAGATTAGGAGCACACTCTTAAAGGGAGTGCTCCTAATCTCAGTTTGTTACCTGTATAAAAGACACCTGTCCACAGAAGCAATCAATCAATCAGATTCCAAACTCTCCACCATGGCCAAGACCAAAGAGCTCTCAAAGGATGTCAGGGTCAAGATTGTAGACCTACACAAGGCTGGAATGGGCTACAAGACCATCGCCAAGCAGCTTGGTGAGAAGATGACAACAGTTGGTGCGATTATTCACAAATGGAAGAAACACAAAAGAACTGTCAATCTCCCTCGGCCTGGGGCTCCATGCAAGATCTCACCTCGTGGAGTTGCAATGATCATGAGAACGGTGAGGAATCAGCCCAGAACTACACGGGAGGATCTTGTCAATGATCTCAAGGCAGCTGGGACCATAGTCACCAAGAAAACAATTGGTAACACACTACGCCGTGAAGGACTGAAATCCTGTAGCGCCCGCAAGGTCCCCCTGCTCAAGCACATATACATGCCCGTCTGAAGTTTGGCATCAACTCAACTCGCCGTGTTTGGAGGAGGAGGAATGCTGCCTATGACCCCAAGAACACCATCCCCACCGTAAAACATGGAGGTGGAAACATTATGCTTTGGGGGTGTTTTTCTGCTAAGGGGACAGGACAACTTCACCGCATCAAAGGGACGATGGATGGGGCCATGTACCATCAAATCTTGGGTGAGAACCTCCTTCCCTCAGCCAGGGCATTGAAAATGGGTCGTGGATGGGTATTCCAGCATGACAATGACCCAAAACACATGGCCTAGGCAACAAAGGAGTGGCTCAAGAAGAAGCACATTAAGGTCCTGGAGTGGCCTAGCCAGTCTCCAGACCTTAATCCCATAGAAAAGTTGTGGAGGGAGCTGAAGGTTCGAGTTGCCAAACGTCAGCCTCGAAACCTTAATGACTTGGAGAAGATCTGCAAAGAGGAGTGGGACAAAATCCCTCCTGAGATGTGTGCAAACCTGGTGGCCAACTACAAGAAACGTCTGACCTCTGGGATTGCCAACATGGGTTTTGCCACCACGTACTAAGTCATGTTTTGCAGAGGGGTCAAATACTTATTTCCTCATTAAAATGCAAATCAATTTATAAAATTTTTGACATGCATTTTTCTGGATTTTTTTGTTGTTATTCTGTCTCTCACTGTTCAAATAAACCTACCATTAAAATGATAGACTGATCATTTCTTTGTCAGTGGGCAAACGTACAAAATCAGCAGGGGATCAAATACTTTTTTCCCTCACTGTAAGATCAGTGGCGATGAAGGAGAGGAGACAAGGAAAGGAAGCTAGTTAAGCCTATCAGAACTATGAGGCTGAAAAATACATATTTTGTTGGGGAGCTCCAATATATGAGAATACATTTTGAGAAATGGTTCACTGACCTTCTCTGTGTTAGTGTTCTCATGCTTCACCAGGTTCCAGGCATGTCCGTCGTCGCTGTAGGCCACTTTGAAGGCGGACACAAACTGCACCACCCCAAAGTCCTTAGCCCCCTGGGTGATGATGCCTGTCAGATGCTTGGTCTTCTCCAGGTCCACCTGGGACAGGATCATGGAGGAGAGGACAGTAACATATAGACCAGATTAATGATGAGGGAATACCTCAGGGCTCAATTCAATGAACCCTGTATTTTGAAGTAGCTCTTTTCCCAAGGTCAAATAAAATCACAAAACGTGTCTTGGGTATTGTATGAAAACCATAGTAGAAAAGAGAAGGACGGTTCACACACATCGATTTCAGGTGAAAAAAGGAAAATGTTTAATCCATTTCAAACATTTCGCCCATCTGGCCTTCATCAGTGTCATAAAAACCTACAACTACTACCAGGTAGACTCCCCTCACAGGAATGGATTCACTTTTCAGAATAAGAAGTTTATAAACAAAGATACTGCGTAAACATATGTCAGACTCCTATCCCTGATGTCTGTTTCCCCCCACAATTTGTGCCCAATATTGAATAGCTGTTTCATCATATAAAACAGTATGAAGCAAGAGCAGATGTATCAGAATCCCACAAGGATGATAAAAATGTCCATTACTTTTTGTTTTACAAATCATATTAGGAAGAGAAAGTGACCCTTCCTCTAAGGTTGCACTGTTTCCATTGATATTTGTATGGTATTTACTAAGAAACAATGTGGTAACAATCTGTACATTCTGGTACGTACTACAACTAATTTAACACAACTGGGAATTACCTGGTACCTAAAAGTTCCCATTCTAAAGACACAATCAAGTAAGTCATGGGTTATTACTGTATGAATATCATTTTACCAAGTACATTCCAAGTAATTACCTAGTCATTTCCAAACCGTAAAATAAAGTGCTACCTGTAATCCTTTGTTAAAGAGCACAGTTTAAAAGGGCAGGTAGCCTGGTGGGTAGAAGTGTTGGGCCAGTAACCGAAAGGTTGCTGGATCGAATCCCCGAGCTGACAAGGTAAAAATGTGTCGTTCTGCCCCTGAGCAAGACAGTTAACCCACTGTTCCCCAGGCGTTGATGACGTGGACGTCGATTAAGGCAGCCCTCTGCACCTCTCCGATTCAGAGGGGTTGGGTTAAATGCGGAAGACACATTTCAGTTGAATGGATTCAGTTGTACAACTGACTAGGTATCACCCTTTCCCAATCTGGGATTGGTACATTCATTTTTTAAACTTATATAGCTAGCTATTCCCTTTAAAAGAGGAGATCTCATCATTCTATTAGTGCTGGTGGAGTCAGTCTCACCTGTAGCCACTCTGAGCGGTTGTTAGTGGCTGGGGACCAGGCGTTGGTCTTGCCCTGTTTGTCTAGCCGGGCGAACTGTGGGTGCCAGGTGAAGGCGTCAATGCCCCAGGTGCGGAAGGCACTGGACGCCGAGAGCTGTCCGTCAGAGACGAGGCGGGACTTCATGCCCATTGGCTCAGAGCAACCTGTCGTGTTGGAATACACTGTAAACGAAACAGCAGAGAGACAATGATGGACAGGGAAGGAGCAGAGGTGAAAGACAGAAAACCAATAGAGAGAAACCAATGATCACACCCAAGTGAAGAACCACCCACTCAGTGGAGTACATTTCAAAGAGCCCGTCCTCCTAATTTCTCCCTCCACCAGCCGCCACTGCAGCTCAAAGCATGCAGATTAGCTACTTACTGATTGATGGATTGATTTGTATATTGACACCATGACATAAACAGTGTAGAACAGGTAGCATTACATAAACAGTGTAGGACAGGTAACATGACATAAACAGTGTAGAACAGGTAGCATTACATAAACAGTGTAGGACAGGTAACATTACATAAACAGTGTAGGACAGGTAACATTACATAAACAGTGTAGGACAGGTAACATGACATAAACAGTGTAGAACAGGTAGCATTACATAAACAGTGTAGGACAGGTAACATGACATAAACAGTGTAGGACAGGTAACATTACATAAACAGTGTAGGACAGGTAACATTACATAAACAGTGTAGGACAGGTAACATGACATAAACAGTGTAGAACAGGTAGCATGACATAATCAGTGTAGGACAGGTAACATGACATAAACAGTGTAGGACAGGTAACATGACATAAACAGTGTAGAACAGGTAGCATTACATAAACAGTGTAGGACAGGTAGCATGACATAATCAGTGAAGGACAGGTAGGTATGCCAGATTATTTCCTGTGTATAGGCACAGTACAGAAAGTCAATAATAAGACAAAGTAATGAAAGCAGGGAATGAAAAGTCCCAGACAGATATTGATAATAAACTAATATAATTTGTATAAAGGAGGTTTTGAAATGAATAGGAAAGGTGAGGCAGGGAATAGGAAAATAATGGGGAATAGGAAAAGTGAGGGAATCCAACAGCCTTCCTAGCAGCAAGGCAATTTGAACTATAGCTGTATCCACACTGAGTAATAGGGTGGGGCTGGGAACACATATGGACCTGGTGTGTGTGCATGTGTGTATGGGTGGTGTTTTTGTCAGGAATTCCGTCTCCATTGTTGCACGGCATGGGTCTCCCTCTGAATGCTGGCCAAACCATTCCCTATGTAGTCTAACCATAACTAAATCTAGACCCGTGTTTGGCCATCTAAACAAACTCCTGTTATTGTCAGCAAGCTGGACTGAAGAGCCACAGTGTCAACACAACGAGCCCGTATGTACCCAACTTAATGCCTTTTACTTGGTGGGGTTTGTACGTTTTCTCAAGGTCTATTTCTGGTTCAGGCAGAGGACCCTGAATGTCCCTGGGGATTTGAATGGGGTTTTCTTTACAATTCTTTTCTCAATAGTCTGAAGTGGCCTCCTTTCTTTATCTCCTTATGGTCATCTGATGTAAAAAACAAGACAGCAAATAGCCAGACCATATTTCTATCACCTGTCCTGAGTTTCCAGATTGGTGCAGATAAAGGCGAGGAGACGAGGTGGAAAGGAAGCCAAGTAAGACTATTGAGATGCAGCCTAGTTGTCTTTCCTCTCTGTTTTCCCTTGTAGAGGGGTCTGTTTACCATTGAGCTCACAGCCCACCAGCTCCATACGTAGGGTGCAGGCCTTGCGACACACCACGGGAATGACGCGGATGAACTGGGCCACGATGGGAGGGTCAAACAGGTTGGTCTTGGTGCTGTCATTATCAATGTTACCCACAAACACCTGGGGCACAGGGCACAGAAGTGAGGTCTCCACGTTGTTATAGGCATTCATGTGGGAGCTACTGTACAGCTCCAAGTAAAACATGCCAGTAGGAACAGATCTAGGAACAGCTTAAACCTCCCACAATTCTGACCTTAACCATTAAGAGGATGAAAAATATCTGACCCTTTATCAGTTACTTTGACTGTAGGAAATTAGGCAACTATTTAAATTAACTCACACTGAGTCACTGACTATAAATGACTATTACTATGGTAAACTCATATTGTAAAGTCACCTTGTCCTTCCGCTGTCCCTCTGGTCTGTAGGGAGTGTAGGTCTTACCATCAAAGCTGGAAGACACTTTAAAGACTTTAATGTACTCAGCTATGCCCATTCGACTGGCACCCTGGGTGATGATGCCAGTTAGGCGCATCTTCTTTTGCATGTTGATCTAGAATCAGAGGTCAGAGAGAGGTCAGACAGGGGTAAAACCACTAATCATCCTCCCCACTTGGATTTAGATGATACACTCTTAGAAAAAAGGGTTCCAAAAGGGTTCTTCAGTTGTCCCCAAAGGATATTTTGTTTTTGTTACAGCTAGAAAGGGTTCTACATAGAACACAAAAGGGTTCTTCCTGGAACCAAAAAGGGTTCTTCAAAGGGTTCTCCTATGTGAACAGCTGAAGAACACTTGTATATTCTAGATAGCACCGTTTGTTCTGAGAGTGTACAGTCCATGTCTGTTTATATGTGTGCTGCATGCTTAGACTGTACTAGAGCTGGAGGCCATCATTCAGACAAATCCAAAAAGGCTTTCATTTCTTTTCCATGACAATGTCCATAGAGACGCCAAATTGAGTGACTTCATAAAGTAAACAGCATGTTTCAAGACAAAGTTGAGGCTGGACCCATGAGGAGCTGGCCACGGTCCACCAGTGGGTTCTGGCCCACCATTTGAGAAACAGTGGATACTTCACCACAACACGTTTACCACAACAAGTGATTATTTACTAAACTGTCTTGGTTCTCTAACCTCCATCCAGGGGTTCTTGTCGTGGTTGGCGGCGGTCCAGGCGTTGACCATGCCCTGGTTGTTGAGCCGGGCCAGTTCTGGACCCCAGCGCTGAAGACCCATAATGCCATAGTGCACAGAGGAGGCCGAGATCTGAGACTCTACGATTTCTCCTCCCTCCATCCCCATCAGAGAGATACAACCTGGAACAAACACATACACAGACATACATACGTTACAACGTCTTATAAAGAGACATAAACAGATTATAATCTCTAATATGGACATACTGGTTGTGACTTAAAGTACAAAGAGAGACAGTTCATAAGTTGTAATACGCAGAGTTGTAGACATGTTTCAATCTCTACTATGCAGTGATTCCCCTGCCCTATACTTACGGAGCTGGCATTGCTTCCCAACGTAGGGTGAAGGGCACAGGCAGGTGTAGTCACCATCCAGATCTCGACACATCGCGCCGTTCTTACATGGCTGGTTCTCACAGTCATTCACATCTAGACAGGACAAGCACAAGAGATAGACACAGTTATATAGAAGTTGCGCATGTCATAATACACCTTGTCCTAACATAGGAATCTGGCATGGGACTTCATAATGACACATCTTGTTCTAAACTGCTTTTCTGGATGGATTTTTTTCATGAAGACATCAAGATGTCTGGGAAAGATGAAATATTGTTGCCCTTATCTGGTCAGATAACTACATATATAATTTTCTTGGTTGCTCTATACAACCGGACCATAACGATTGAAAATACATCCGAATGAACCAGTTCTGCCCACTGGGTCTGACATCTAAAACACTGCCTGGACCTGAGCAGGAGAGAACACAGTCCCTGATGGTTAAATGCAGGACACTTATACCCCAAAGGTAGGTCAGATATAGCCCAGTAGTAAGACTACATGCAGGCTAATCAGCCAGGTGGGTGAACCTTGAAGCACCACAGTACCTCCAGTGTGGCTCCATAATGCCTCTCTGCAGGTGTGTTCTCTAAGACACAGGGGTGATGACAGGGGCACAGCTGGGGGCAACTTTGGGGCCAGAACATTAATTACCACAGGTGAAGGGCAGGGTTGTGGTTTTGGGTGTGTTCTATGTTGTGCCTGCAGGGTGAGGTGATCTGGGAGTAGTCTGTGGTAGTCTGTCCACTACTGCAGCTCTTTCTAGTCCCCCACCAGGGGGCTCACTTGTATTATAAATAGCATGGACTTATACCTGGGGTGTATTCATTAGTTCACACCATAGAAAACCATAGCAAAACGTTTTGCAACAGAAAACATTGGTAGGTCCCTCCCCGTTTGCTTCTGTTTGGTTCCGTTTGGTTCTTAGTGAATACACTCATTGTTCTTTAATCTAGTCATCTGAACAACAACAACAACAATTCTTCAACAAAGCCATTGCTGTCAGGGGAATTTTATAAGTGATTATTGTTGTCAGATAAAACAGTATTTACATTTTTACATAAAACAGTTTTTCCCAAATGGTGGGCCGGTACCCGCTAGTGAGTCATCACTGATTCGATCTAGGACCTTAAAAAATCTGCTTTGTTCATTCAGTGCCCGTGGGTCACAGGAAAATTCCAAAATGGTTTGGTGGGTCATAGGACAGAAATGTTAGGTAACCACAGAGCTAAAACATCTTGATATTGTAATTACTCATCCCTGGAATTCAAAAATAGGCCATAAACAGCAAACACAGTGGTTGAAAACTGTGTTTATATCAGTCTAAGTGTCCCTCGGAGCCACTTCCAGGTTGTAATCTACGGGGCAGACAGCACTTTAACAACACATCTTCTGTTTAGCTGCTGTTCCCGTTAACTCTAAGAGGATTGGTCCCAACTCTAAAACCCATTCCGTTCAACGCCGTGACAACACACACACCCACACTGAGAAATACAAGCACGTGCATGCACAGTAAAAAACATCTCTGACCTTGATTAGGTAGATTAGATGGCCTAGGTGTATCTTTAGACTGTGTGTGTGTGTGTGTGTGTGTGTGTGTGTATGTGTGTGTGTGTGTGTGTGTGTGTGTGTGTGTGTGTGTGTGTGTGTGTGTGTGTGTGTGTGTGTGTGTGTGTGTGTGTGTGTGTGTGTGTGTGTGTGCACCTGCATGTGTCTCTATGTGTCTGTGTCTATGGCAGACAGGGACACTGACAGAAGGTGAAGACTGGTCTGATCCATTCTTAGAAGGAAGGGCAGAAGATTCTAGAATAATGTGGTCCATAACAAACAGCAGTACATCCAACCACTAGCCAAGCAGGAGTATTCCAGCCATGTTGGTGCCAAACGATGGAGTGACAAGACAGTACTGAGATCCACCCTACCTAGAGGCCTATAAAAACTATGACGTCTGGTAGAACAAGAACAAATGTGGTTGGTGACAACCAGACAGCAATAACACTGCAATAGGTGGTCAGACTAGCAGTTAGAGGTTATAAATATACTATGAATCATCTACAGTTTTGTAGTCGCATCAGCGCGCCTGGTTTTTCAATCAGATTCTGGACTTTCAATGGAAGACTTGGACAAACCAAGGATATGAATGGAAAGGACAAGGGTTATGGTGGCATTAGCCTCCTAGATCCTAATCTGGAATGTGAAGTATTAGACACTTTTTTACCAGTCCATGCATGAATATCAGTTTGTTTTCATGAGAAGGCAACTACTGACTCAACTAGCCCTGGGGCTCTCAATAGCTAGGCCTACTGTGTAGAGAGCAGGACTGGCAGCAGTCTCCTTGCTCTGCTAAAGCCTTCTGAGATTACAGTGGACCATGGCTAATTGCTGTAAAGGTGCCTCAGAGAGAGAGTTCCTGGCTGGCTAGAGGGGGTGTTAGAGAAAATCTGGTGAAAGCTTGTACACACAAAACATGCAACTTAGGAATAGTCCAATGAACATAAATATCCAAGTTGGCTGAACTTAAAATGGGGAAATTGTTGAGCTGACATGATTTATGCCCATCGTGAGTTGAATTTTTTGCCTTTGCAAGTTCCATTTTACTTTATTTATTTTTTTGTCAGGGACCAGTTTATCATTATAACATATATTTTAGAGGCTGAAATATGACGCATTACAACTCAAATATTTAAGTTCAAACAACATTGTTTTTCAAATTCAGCTCACACTGAGCAGAAATTATTAGGTTAGTAGAGTATTCCATGTCAGCTCAACAATTTCCACATTTTAAATCCAGCCAATTTGGATATTTAAGCTACATGGATTTCTTGCATTTTTTACAGTGTAGATTGGTGAAAGCTATGTGGTGGAACCCAGGCTGTTGCCTGTTACGTATCCAATTTTGTTGGATCAGTGTTTGCTCCAAGAAAGGAAGGATGGAATTATGCATTTAGAAACTATTCAAACAGGATCCAATACTTTCAGAATGCATTGTTCTGGCCAGTCAGTGTTCTCTCTCTCTCTCTCGCTTTCTCGCTTTCTCGCACGCACGCACCCACACACACACACACACACACACACACACACACACACACACACACACACACACACACACACACACACACACACACACACACACACACACACACACAGTATTTAAAGCCCATCAATCGCCAGCCCACGCTTCACCACATCCTGGGTGTGTCCCTTGGATGCACTGCAGGCAGAGTTACTCCTCCTCACCATAGAAGGGTTTAGAACACTCATTCTTAGGTTTTTGATATCCAAATAAATATTGTAAATGTCATCAAAATGACATCACTGTTTTTAAAGGGGCAATCTGCAGTTTGAAACAATAACAAAGCCACCCAGCTGCTGTTTTGGTTAACAGCTGAGGGAAGGGGCTGGAGAAATCAACACATTTCTAATTCATGGACAGAGCTATGGATACAAGGACTGTGCATACATGATCTCAAAATGATAGTTTTAACCATGTTTTTAGGCTATACAGTATTTGACCACAATTACATTGTTTACAAACAAAGGAGTAAAATAAGCTTATATTTTGGCCTCTAACATGGTACGACTCACGAGGCAATGGGTACATACAATTCATTTTAAAAGTCTAAAGATGGATGGATTTAATGCAGATTGCCCCTTTAATGTCATGTTACAGTTATGTCATAGTGTGAAGCCAAAGGGACATTTCCATATTATGTGGATAATAAAGTTTTACTCCATTCTGCTCCATGTAAGATCCTTTCTGTGCTACTCACATATTTATAATGATTTTAAAAAGTAAGGACCAGATTGGACCACCAGTGAAGGCTAAAGAGCTAAAGCACAACTTCTTCAAAAGCTGAGATCACATAGAAGATATCTTGCCATCCAAGCAGTAACACACAAATACAACGTTTGAAAAGAGATTCATATCCACGATACACCCAGTCATGCTGCATTTAGTCAAAATGGCTGAAAAGCATTTTTTCACACTAAGAGGCTTGGGTGGGTTGCCATTTCCTCATTAGCCAACAGCTCTCCAACATGCTGAATGAAAGTCTTTCATGAATCATGAGCTCACCACAATGCTCTCTTACACTCATGCACAGAGTGGAAAATGTCTCAGGTGTTTCCAACTTTAACAGCCGTTAATGTTAGTAATGCCTGCCATGACACACCATTCAGTCTGTCAGTTTGTTGTTTTGACTGTAATGGTGGAAGTTAGGATTGGGGTAGTGGACCCTACCCAAGGCAAGCTGGTTCTCCTCATCTAAAACAATTTGGCATGAATTGTTTTCTATTTAAAAATGTATCTTAAGACAACAATCTAGGGGAAACGCAGAGTAGCACAGACATGTTGGCCATGTTCGACTACTTCAGAAATGAATCCTTCCTGGTTTCCTTGAGGTAAGTACATATCTATAAATGATTGGATAGCTGTAAGCAAGGTCACCACCCTATTACTTTCACCAATCCAACCAACCAATTCAGATCTGTGATTACCTGAAGGAAGGAAAGCCCGGGTTGGCAGGGCGAATTACGACAGAACAGGTACAGTCACAGGTAAGGTACTTACTGATCTGGCAGTGCACGCCCTCGAAGCCAGGCTGGCATTTACACACGTATTCGCTGAACATGTCTCCTCGTCTGGTCGGAGTGATGACCTCACACGACCCATCATTCCTGCAGGGGTTGGGAATGCAGGGACCTTAGGGAGAATTGATTAATTATAAAGATGGGACATGCTCCAGGAAAAAAATCAAGTATATGCTTTCATTTAATGAAAAACAGTAAGGTTTAATTAACAGAAATGGAAGCAAGCGCCTGGGTGCCAGTCCAAGAAATTAGCTTTGCTTCTCAAAGTGAAGTGACAAGACCAAAATCTCAGTATACTGAGTATATTGAATTGTCCCATTTGAAACTCAAAGCTTTGTAAATACATCCGCCTGCCTTGACCATATTTGGCTAACTCTACTCCTCCTTACCAGTCTCATTGACCTGCCTTGACCATATTTGGCTAACTCTACTCCTCCTTACCAGTCTCATTGACCTGCCTTGACCATATTTGGCTAGCTCTACTCCTCCTTACCAGTCTCATTGACCTGCCTTGACCATATTTGGCTAGCTCTACTCCTCCTTACCAGTCTCATTGACCTGCCTTGACCATATTTGGCTAGCTCTACTCCTCCTTACCAGTCTCATTGAGGTGGCAGGTGTCTCCAGTAAAAGCATCAGCACAGATACAGATGAATGGGTCCTCCCCCACCCCGGTCACACACGTCCCTCCGTTATGGCAGAGATTCACTTCACAGTAATCCCCTGGAAGCGGGGGAGAGAGAGAGAGAGAGAGAGAGAGAGAGAGAGAGAGAGAGAGAGAGAGAGAGAGAGAGAGAGAGAGAGAGAGAGAGAGAGAGAGAGAGAGAGAGAGAGAGAGAGAGAGAGAGAGAGAGAGAGAGAGAGAGAGAGAGAGAGAGAGAGAGAGAGAGAGAGAGGGGAGGAGAGAAAGAGAGAGGAGTGTCACAGAGTGGTCCCATAAAGGCACAATATGGAGCCTCCATACACCTGCCATGTTTTGGACAATTTGACAATCTCTGTGTCAAAAGGCAGTCACACCTCACCTCAATGGCCTCTCCATTACATGTGATCAAGCATATCTTACATCATAGCATGAAGAGTTGGAGGCTTGATAAGGGACTTCCCTGGTCTCCTGGCCCTGTATTCACAAAGCGTCTCACAGTAGGAGTGCTGTTCTAGGGTCAGTATAATGAATAAGATTACATGGGCAGGGAGGACCTGATACTAGGTCAGCTCTCCTATTCTGAGACACTTTGTGAATACAGGCACTGGCACTCTAACGAGAGTTGTTTCCCTCCATGAACACAAAGGAGATGTGGTGATGCTGAGGGCAAATGTTAGCTAGGAGGCCACAGAGGGCCTAAGTGCTGACTTACATAGCACATGAGACCAGGAAGGGAGAGGGCAGGAACATCCAGTGGGAGACAGGTGGTTTCGTAGTTCCACTAAGCCAAGAGTGACCCTACAGTCCTCTATGACATACCAGCATACTATTCCAATTCATAAAACAGAATCATACTTGCTTTACAATGGGAAGGTTCAACGACATACAGGAGTTTGAAGAGGTGAGCTTAGAATGGTCATTAGCTTTGACAATCATGAACAAGCTCCCTGCTTGAGAAAAACAGTTTGTATGCTCCCTGTCAAGTATTGCTAAGTAGCCTATTATACAGCTACAGGTATACTTGCTGTATTTACACACTTGGTACGCATTTTAGATACCCTGGTCTATGTAATGTAGAGTGCTGCATGGTGGGTATCTCACTCCTCCCATCACTCACCTGTGCTGTTCTATCCATCAACAGGTTTTGCAGCCTCTGTCAACCTTTTGTAGTGAGCATACTGGCTTTACAACCAATTGACAACAGACATGATACAGCATGATCACCAGCGTTAAAACACTTCCTTTGTGGAGCTGACAAAGGGGTGAGAGAAAGCGTTATATTGAAAGTATATGAGGCATTTCAAGTTAAAGGCATTTAATGATTTTGTGGACGTTCCTATACTCTTAGAAAAAAAGGTGATATCTAGAACCTTAAAGGGTTCTTTGACTGTCCCCATAGGAGAACCCTTTGAAGAACCCTTTTTGGTTCCAGGTAGAACCCATTTGGTTCCAGGCAGAACCCTTTTGGGTTCCATGTAGAACCCGTTTGGTTCCAGGTAGAATCCTTTTGGGTTCCATGGTTCTACATGGAACCCAAAAGGATTCTACCAGGAACCAAAAAGGGTTATCTTATGGAGACAGCCGAAGAACCCCTTTGGAACCTTTTTTTCTAAGAGTGTATTGGAGTCATGTTGTCAAATGTTGACAGTGGGGTCTTGAAATCTTCGTTAGGGTAAAACTAGTCAAATTCCTCTGTTGATTACACTCAGGAAATTGAGGGAGTGGAAAAGGCCACAGAAGTGACATACCTGTCTTTGAGTTTATGGTTCATGACAATAAATCATCAATGGTATCAACCTGTTTCAGTTTATTTCACCAATTGTCAGCTATTCAAGTAGAGGTAATGAAGTGTGTGTGTGTAAAATGACTTATGTTCTGCTTTTCCTGCTGCTTGGATACTAAGAAACACATTTAAACACAGCCAAAGATTAATCTCGGAACCAAGAACCTAATCTTGCGTGCAGGCTGGTCAGCTATGTTAACAGTCTGTCATGAGAACTAGCCAAAGATAATTGCTCTGGGTCCAGACAGACACACTGACATGTTAAATGGACCGTGCATTTCATTCTCACCTCCCTCTGTGCTTTACTTCACTAACACAATGTGTTTGTCTGCCAGACTAAAAGAATGCAGGATTCCCTAGATCAGGGTTCTTCAATTCCGGTCCTGGAGGGCCGAAACACTTCTGTTTTTTATTTCTACCTGGTAGTTAATTGCACTCACCTGGTGTCCCAGGTCTGAATTAGCCCCTGATTAGAAGGAGAGGATGAAAAACAGAGGTGTTTCGGCCCTCCAGGACTGGAATTGAAGAACCCTGCCCTAGATTATAAACAGACCAGGGATAAACTGTACCTCAATATGGATTCCCATTTTCCTCATTTCAGGAATGACCAACACTTACACAACACTAGGGTCGCGTTCCACTGCTCAGATGTTGCATGCATCAACCAATGGTTGCTGCGTGCCACTTCATTGACTGTGTCATCGACTGACAGATTGATGTGGTTATCTGATAGGTAACATACCTATCCAGGCGTTGTAAGATCTGACAACGTCTAAGTAGTGGAACGCAACCTAGGTGTGTTGAGGGTCAGGGGGCTTGAGCCAGGTATACCACCTGCTCCTCAAACAATAGCATGGTATTTTTTCACTGTAATAGCTACTGTAAATTGGACAGTGCAGTTAGATTAACAATAATTTAAGCTTTCTGCCCATATAAGACATGTCTATGTCCTGGAAAGTTTGCTGTTACTTACAACAGTCATGCTAATTACATTAGCGCACGTTAGCTCAACTGTCCCGTATATGGGACACCGATCCCGTAGATCCAGGTTCTATGGGAACAGCCGAATAACCCTTTTAAGTTGTAGATAGCACCTTTGTAGGCCGATAATGCTGCTTTACAGTGGGAACAGATAACAACACATACAGATGTTTTCCTATTCCATCGGTACAGCTTCTTAAACACTTCCTGTGGCACACTTTCTGTGAAGCATATCTTATGGAGATACAGTATACTGTGTGTACATTAGGACTAGTAGAGAACAGAGGCTGCTTGGGGGCGGCAGTTAGACTAAAGGGTTAGAGAGGCAGGCCAGCAAGCGGAGGGTTGCTGGTTAGAATCACAGGCTGGACAGTAAAAATCTGGTGAGGATTGAATACCCTAGCTGCCATCTGCTCCAGGGGTGCTGCGCAGTGGCTGACCCTGTGCTTCCAACCCTTCTGTGTGTGCATTGGGGTGGGTTGAGTAACAAAAGTATATTTCTGTTCTCCAAAAAGAAAATGGACATGAAGTATTCTTCCTCTTCTTCCTTTTCAATATACAATGATTTAGAGGAAACAACATGCCTCTGTGACACTCTGGCTCTAGGACTTGTGTATGTGAGCTAGAGTGTATGTTGTTTTGGTGGTGTTGGGTATGGGTGAGTTTCATTTGTTTGTGTTTTTGGTAATTGGTTAATGACTCCCAATCGGAGGTAACGAGTGTCAGCTGTCGGCTCGTTATCTCTGATTGGGAGCCATATATATTCTGTGTGTTTTTCACCTTGTGTTTGTGGGTTTTTGTTTCCTTGTGCTATGTTCAGTCGGTGTCATAGAGAACTTCACGTATCGTCTTTTGTTGTTTTTTCGTGGTCGCTTTGATAAATAAAGTCATCATGTTCACTCACAACGCTGCGCATTGGTCTCCTCCTTCAGACGATCGTGACAGAAAAACCCACCACAAAAGGACCAAGCGGCGTGTCCAGCGGCAACAGTATCCACCTATAAAGGATTCGTGGACATGGGAGGAGATACTGGCTGGAGAGGGTCCTTGGGCACAACCGGGAGAATATCGCCGCCCTCGTGAAGAGCTGGAGGCAGCGAAAGCCGAGAGGAGGTGGTATGAGGAGGCAGCACGGAGTCGAGGCTGGAAGCCCGTGGACGAGAGGCAACCCCAAGAAATTTTTTGGGGGGGGCACATGGCTTGGGCGGCTGGGCAGCAGGAGGCTGCCACAGGTAGACGTGGAGAGAAGGCTACCGGAGTACGGGAGCCATTGGCGAGTAGAGGGAGGGAAGTTGTTGTGGCACGGCGTGAGAGACTGAAGTGTGTTACCAGTCCGGTCCGGCCCGTTCCTGAGCCCCGGTTAAGGCCAGTGGTGTGTGTTCCCAGTACGGACCGGCCTGTGTCTACTCCACGCGTCAAGCCCACGGTGTGCGTCGCCAGCCCAGCCCGGCCTGTTCCTGCGCCACGTACGAAGCCTACGGTGTGCGTCGCCAGCCCAGCCCGGCCTGTCCCTGCGCCACGTAGGAAGCCTACGGTGTGCGTCGCCAGCCCAGCCCGGCCTGTTCCTGCGCCACGTACGAAGCCTACGGTGTGCGTCGCCAGCCCAGCCCGGCCTGTCCCTGCGCCACGTAGGAAGCCTACGGTGTGCGTCGCCAGCCCAGCCCGGCCTGTTCCTGCGCCACGTACGAAGCCTACGGTGTGCGTCGCCAGCCCAGCCCGGCCTGTCCCTGCGTCACGTAGGAAACCTACGGTGTGCGTCGCCAGCCCAGCCCGGCCGGTTCCTGTACCACGTACGGAGCCTACGGTGTGCGTCGCCAGCCCGGCCCGGCCTGTTCCTGCCACTCGCACCAAACCAGGGGTGCGAGTCGCCAGCCTGGTCCAGCCCGTTCCGGCTATTCGCACCAAGCCTCCGGTGTGTCCCCAGAGTCCTGTGCGTCCTGTTGCTGCTCCCCGCACTAGCCCTGAGATGCGTGTCCTCAGCCCGGGACCACCAGTTCCGGCACCACGCACTAGGCCTTGTGTGTGTCCCCAGGATCCGTCAGCCAGCCATGAGCAGCCAGATCCGTCAGCCAGCCATGAGCAGCCAGATCCGTCAGCCAGCCATGAGCAGCCAGATCCGTCAGCCAGCCATGAGCAGCCAGATCCGTCAGCCAGCCATGAGCAGCCAGATCCGTCAGCCAGCCATGGGCAGCCAGATCCGTCAGCCAGCCATGAGCCGTCCAGCCAGGATCCGCCAGAGCCGTCCAGCCGGGATCCGCCAGAGCCGTCCAGCCGGGATCCGCCAGAGCCGTCCAGCCGGGATCCGCCAGAGCCGTCCAGCCGGGATCCGCCAGAGCCGTCCAGCCGGGATCCGCCAGAGCCGTCCAGCCGGGATCCGCCAGCCAGCCAGGATCCACCAGAGCCAGCCAGCCAGGATCCGCCATTTAGTCCGGTGCTGCCCCTTAGCTCGGTGTTGCTCCTTATCCAGGTGCTGTCCCTTATCCTGGTGCTGCCCCTTAGTCCGGTGCTGCCCCTTAGTCCGGTGCTGCCCCTTAGTCCGGTGCTGCCCCTTAGTCCGGTGCTGCCCCTTAGTCCGGTGCTGCCCCTTAGTCCGGTGCTGCCCCTTATCCTGGTGCTGTCCCTTAGTCCGGTGCTGCCCCTTAGTCCGGTGCTGCCTCTTAGTCCGGTGCTGCCCCTTAATCCAGGTGGGTTAGGGTGTTGGGTGGTCAGTTGGAGGAGGTTACCTAAGTGGGTAGTGACTATGGTGGGGTGGGGACCACGACCAGTGCCAGAGCCGCCTCCGTGGAGCAACACCCACCCAGCCCTCCCCATTTTTTGGGTGTAGGCGCGGTCGGAGTCCGCGCCTTTGGGGGGGGGTACTGTCACACTCTGGCTCTGGGACTGTGTAGTTAGAGTCAGGGTGTATTTCATTTGGTGGTGTTGGGTATGGGTGCGTTTCATTTGTTTGTGTTTTTGGGGGTAATTGGTTACAAGAATCACTTGTTGTGATCGTAGTCAATAAACATAAGCCTGTGCTGCTAACCATATCTTTACAAATACAGCCTTTATAAATACAGGCTTGACAGTCTATCATCAAAAATCACATGGCAACAGTATGTCTGAGTCAGGCGTTCAATTACATACATTGACTCTTTAGGGTGCTGTAAAAATAGCAGACAGGACTGAAATAATACACTTCACACTTATGAAGCGCCAACTTTGATGATCTTTTAGGTTTATGGGGGTTGTCATCACTAGAACCATGGTCTGAACAACTGCACTCACTTAGACCATTTGAGAGAGATACAGCCCTTTGGATTAGATCGAGGAATTGTCTGAGGCAAAGAATCTTCACTGTCTAAATTCTAGTGATTTTTTAAACTAAGATTAGACAGACAAAATAATTTCAGTGGTGATATGTGATAAACGTTTAAAATATGATTTACACAATTAAATGCATAAGATGGATGAAAGCAGAGCTTGAAAAGGGTGTTTGAGGAGAGGAGAAGGAAAATCACTTGACTGAAAGCACACTTCAAACGTAATTCTCAGCTGAGCAATGCAGGGAGAGAGTTAAATGATAAACTAATCATGGATCATAGTAACTGACATCCCTTCATTTTACAGACTTGACGACACAAAAAAAGTCATGACAGGAAAATGACAGTTTCCTGATTAAAAAGAGTGTGACAATAACATTTTTTCATCCAATATGTTTATCATCCAGCCCACATTTGGATGTCCATCTCCTGTGACATTTAACCTTTTCACTGAGCCCTACAGGTGACAAGTTGGGACATTGCATTATAAGTGTCTGATGCAAGCGGTATGGGCCAGAGCAGTCAATACAAGAGAGTTGGACATAACATGAGAGTGACAGGCAAAATCAGTAGTTACATCTGACATTAATGAAGTGTTGGGCTACAGACAATTACTGTACTTTGCTTGGTTATTTTACAGTGAAAAATGGTCATCTAAATAAAATCAATACAGGTAAATGATAAAAATATGAACATGTGTGTAACCTGTCTGTGTGTAACAGAAGAAGGATGCCAGAAACTTGTTGTAACTCAAAAATATTGTTGCCTGCAACTGTTTTAAAACCGGTTAAAACAGTGTACTGTACAGTAAGTGCATATTTTACATTTGTGAAATAATTTGTATCTGATATGAAAGTAGAGGGCTTTATGTTTCTAGAACCTTATGGCAATTAAGAATCGATTCACGTTTAGATGGAGTTTTTGGCTGTTTTGGCTGCCAGAGCCAGTTTACCTCTAAACATAACATATAAGGTCCTTGGACGTTAAAGGGACAATCTGGAGTTGCTACATCCATTTTTGGACTGTTAAATTAATGACATATAGCCATTGATTCTTGAAGAATATAACTTATAAATTCTCCATGAACTTCATCAGAACTCAAAATATAAGCTTGTTTTACTCCAATGTTTGTAATCAAAGTACATGTAAATATACACTGTAGGCCTATAGGGTCAAAACATGGTTAAAACTATCATTTTGATCTCATGGATGGTCAGTCCTTGCATCCATAGCTCTATCTATGAATTTGAGAGTGGTTATATTTCTCAAGCTACATCTTTCAGCTGTTTACCAAAACAAGTGGTGGGGTCTCTGCTTTGTTATTGTTTGAACTCCGGATTGTCCCTTTGAAGGATTAGTTTTTAACTGTAGATTATTGCGCTAGGGTTGGATGAGGTAACCAACTAAATAAACGGGACTCACCTTTCACTGAGCAGATGGCAGCGATAAGGACACAAGCGGTAATAAATGTCAAATGGAACAAAAACCCATGACGTTTCATGTTGATTTCCCGAGAATTACCCACTTTTCCGAGAGTAGACCAGATGGATAATGTAATACAGTGATACCGCTAGTTTTCCGGTTGAGATTGACAGGGAAGGTAGGCGGGTTCTAAATTAGCTTGTTCCGTGGATTAATGCGCGGTTGCGCGCGTCTGTTACTGGAGCATAGCCCTAAACCCCCTACTGTAAAATGAGTGTTAACATTTGTGTTTCACTTTATATTTGTTTTAATAAACACTTGTGAATAGACCTATGTACTTAGAGAACTTACTATCTAGTGAAGTCTGGCTATAGTATAAGAACAATGGTAGGCTAACATTTTTGCCCATTTCAGGCTGCAAAAAGATCGCTGTGAAAGATTTAAAGTTAGATATGTCACAAAAGCAGGAGCACAGGGGGCCCAACTGACTGATTTTTAAGGCACATTTGTTTAAAAATAATAATTTGATATGGCCTATACATTTCAGAATTTCCTGAAATTAATACAAATTAAAACCATGCATGACAGAAATATCTTTAATTGTGTGATAACAATAATCATAGCAGGTAATCATAGCAGGTAATGTCAGTGCCCTCAATGGCATTTTGAAAGTGTAAGCTATTATATATTTGACATTCTGGATTTATTCTCAAACTACAAAGGCCTATGCTAACTAATGGTAAGGTATCTGCCCCTGGCAGCCTACCTGTAGCTAGGCTATAAGTAACTCCTTTACCAGTGGTCCTCTGTAGCTCAACTGGTAGAGCACGGCGCTTGTAACGCCAAGGTAGTGGGTTCGATCCCCGGGACCACCCATACACAAAAATGTATGCACGCATGACTGTAAGTCGCTTTGGATAAAAGCGTCTGCTAAATGGCATATTATTATTATTATTATTACCCTTCAAAGTGGGTACCTTTACCCTTCCCTCTGCAGATCTGGACCTGGGGGGTTTGATGTCCACACTTTGAGTTTTGTCGCTTCCTAGTGGACGTTTTTCCCAATGAAATAGAACAAAATTGTGGCTATGGTCAAACCATAGAGATAGATAGAGTACTCTATAGTGCCCAAAAGCATATTTAGCATTGGCAGCGCCATTTAGGACTTTCACCATTTTGAAGAAGTCAACTGGGTTGGACTTCCTATGGGTTAAGGAAGAATCACATAATTCCATCCAGGTCATTGCAATAGATTATACTTGTGAACAAACATTCCATAACTGCATGTGGCAGTAAATCACCAACCTTGGCTTTTATACCTGTTCAAACAACACACTCCAGGTGGCAGTATGCAGCCTTTCAATTTGTTTACCAACTCATAGAAGTAGTGGAAGAAGAAATGGACTGGGAACATCCCGCATTGAGTAACTCAACATTACAACAAAATCTATGGACAAAAAATCCTAGCTAAAAAACGTTAGCTGACATGGACTAGTTGATCTGGACATTTCTGACAAGTTATAAATAGCTCTCTAAAGTATGCGCGCCCACAGCTCTAACTATCTCTATGGGTCAAACTTACATAAAGTGATTACAGTAATTACAGATAAAAAGCCTCTAAAATATTGACTACAAGTACATTAGATTATTTGAAAATTATTTTGTTATAGTGTTGTGAACTTGTGTGATCCATTACGAAAGTTGTGTGTTTACACAAAAGTTATTGCTTTAAAGAATAAGAAAGGATTTGCAAGACAAGTCTTTACATATTCAGCTTACATGTGTAGGCTATCTGAACAAAGAGCTTTGATTTTTTTCTAAAAGGGAACGTATTGATGTTACATAACTGTTGTCTGGAGGCTTCCTCACACTTCTCTCACATTCCAAGAAAGACTATATGCCATCGATAATTTTGATCATTGAAAATGTATTGTATGAGACCCAATTATATTGGCTTATACATTGACACACGACCCTCCACACGTTTTAGCAATACCTTGTGATCATTGAGCTAGCTATTTATTAAATTAATGGATTAGTACGTAAGCATGTTATTTTCCAGAATTTTTTTGGGGGGGATACAATAGTATACATTTTCTTTGGCCAATCGCTGTTAACAAATTGGAGCAGGGCGGGGTAAGTGATGGGAAAAAATGGCAGAAAAATGACGTAGCTGCGTTTGTAACCCAATAGAATCAGGGGAATCATATGCAAATGTAATAGTAATAGGAAGTGAATTCTGAGATGTCAGTCTAGCGGTAGCTACATGTCAATGCATGTCCACGGACAGAGAGAGAAATAATAGAAAAGACGGACCGTACATAATTTCGAGATAAATATAGAAACATCCCTATGGAAAGACACGGATCCAGACACAGACGAGAAAAGGAAACAACTGGACACGGTGTAGTAGAGGACGGTGACGAGGTTTGTTTGCCAGCTATCTGTCTGCTACGATCAGGGAGGGGGCGCAGGGAGCTCTGTTGTTTTCGTCGGTTTAGCTAGCTGAACACACAACTAGCGAACTAAGCAAGGTATGCTAGCTACCTAACAAATTTCATTTTAGCAAATATCTTGCTTAGTTCGCTAGCTGTATGTTGGTTTGACATACTGCGAGTGAGGTTGTCAACATTCATTCCACCACTAACTCGTGGATGCGCGAAAAGCAGGGATGGTGAGTTGGGGCCCTTTGCCAAATAGCATCGAGCTACCAGTCCTCTCTTGCTTGTTTACTATATTATTACTTATGTCGACAAAAAAACGTTTTCTTTTAGGAAAGACATCTAAAAGATTGTTGTTGTGTTCAGCGTTACTTGTCGGTGGCACAGCCATTAATATAAATAGCAACGGGGACTGCATGGTGCGTAGGGTAGCTGGTGGTGGGTTTCCCTTAATTAGGCGTGACTTGCTGCGCACCATGATAATCTGCATTCACTGAGATGGCTAACTAAATTAGCTAGCTAGGTAACTGTCTTCTCATGCACTGTGTGTGTTCCTATTCCTATATCGTCACACACACAATTAGGCAAATTATTCCTACACCTGCCTACCAATACACAAATGGGGTGGGGGGTGGGGGGGGGGAGTGGTCCATGTGATCAAAACTAAAACAGTAGAGTTAAGTTTGGGGTGAGCCATCTCTCTGCATTGTCACTCATGCCCAACTGCCAGTGTTCATTACTGTGACAGGCAGACAGATTAAAGAGTAGGGTGATATGGGGCTGAGCCCGTGGTGGCTTCCCTAATCTCTCAACTACGCAGCTCTGGAATGTTATTGTATCTCATGATGGCAGGGCAGGCTGTGATTCTTAGCACATAGGCTAGCCGTGGCCTATTGAGGCACCTGCTTTCCCCCCAAATGATTTAGGCTACATCATAGATCAGGCTGGATGACTCACTGGCCTTCCCACATCAGAGGCAATCTGCAGTTTACTTGAAACAACAACAAAGCGGCCACCCCATCACTTGTTTTGGTAAAGAAATGTAAAAAGTCTCACATTCATAGACAGAGCTATGGATGCAAGATCTGAGCATCCATGAAATCAAAAGTATAGTTTCAATTTATATATATAAAAAAAGTGGCTTGTAGTTACTGCAGTTATTATTAGTACATAACTAATGCATTCTAGAGGCTATAGAGGAGAACACACAGATAGCCTATTTTATGTCCCAAATGGCACCCTATTCCCTATATAGGCCTAGTGCACGCAGCCTTAGAAAGGATTCATAGAAGTGCTCGGCCTGCTGACCTTAGTGGCCATGGCTGATGTAATTGATTCTTATCAGAAAGTGTTCTCTCTGATTGGAGAGGGCAGCAAGTCCGTGCTCTATGGGGAATTCCATTTGGAGCAGTGGAGGACAGCGGGGATCACTGTTAGTAATGGGGCTGTTAGGATTGATCACTGCGCATTCTCTTGTTAACCAAGGCGACAAATGAACTGGAACACATCCATCACAAATGACTGGTTTGAGGTCAGTGCTTACTATTGAAGAGGGACTATAGGGATTGTAGAACTGTGTTAAAGGAAAGAAGCGTTGTATGGAGATATGAAGAGGCACCTTTTCTCTGATATTCTGTTGGGTTGTCTTGGCCAGATCACGCCTATTCTTAACAACTGTTGTAAAACATTAAATAAAAGTGTTTGTTTGTTTTCCTCCAGATTTGACCACATCACTTTGACTCTGTCGCCGCACAAATAAAGGCAGTTGGACGGAGTGGATCATCTTTTTATTGGAGTTGAAACCTACGTTGTAAGTAAAGAATTGCTTGATAGAACTCTTTCCTATCCACGTTCTGGGGTTTGTTTGTTTTATCTAAACTACCTCATCATCTGACTCTCATATTTACATACCACACGTTCCTCTTTTTGGACTGTAAACCAGCCTACCTCTTTCTCCACCATCTCTCTTTTTGTTTTGGCCAGTCTGTTTAGCATGATTGTTTTTGTTAATTTCCTGCTTTTGTCATTGCTTCTAGCAGGCAGCTGAAATATATTTAGCTGTTGCTAGGCTACATGCCTTAAATACCTATTTTTGACAGAGAAATAGCTAGACCACTTTGTGCCCTCTGTTTGTTCCATGGTCCACACTGTTTACTTTTGCAGATTAAGTTTGGTGAACAAGACGTACGTTTAAAGTGACATAAATGTAGTTGTGTTGTCTATTGTACAGTTCATCAGGGTACTAGTGAGCATGGCTGATGTAGGCTAGTTGATTTAATGTGGACTGTGTAGCAGGATCATCCGCACTAGCTGTATTTGTTCAAAGTGGATTATTTACAGTCTAACGTCATTGCTTTGTTTATGTCTGTGTGTTTGTCTCTCTCAGAGGCACCATGGCCACCCAAGACTCAGTCTACTCTGACTACACCATCGTCGCCCCGGAGATGCCGGCCATGTTCGACGGCATGAAGCTGGCGGCGGTCGCCACGGTGCTGTACGTCATCGTCCGCTGCCTGAACCTCAAGAGTCCCACTGCTGCTCCTGACATCACCTACCAGGACACGCCCCTCAACCGCTTCCTGCTCAAGTCCTGCCCCATCCTGACCAAAGAGTGAGTGACCTGTTTGCCTGTCGTTCAGTCTTTGACCGTGTTCGGTGATCATACAAACACTAGTCTAGCGCAAGACCTTACCCCCAATATATCTTAATGCTGAGTGCCAAGCAGAGACCCATCAGGTCCCATTTTTACAGTCTTTGGTATGACTCGACTGGGGGAACCCAACCTTCCAGTCTCAGGGCGGACACTCTAACCACAAGGCCACTGAGTTGGCCATAAGTATGTAATAGCTTATTGGGGTCCGATGATTTGTTATGGGAGTTTTCAGTAGCCCGTAATTGGAACATTGCACCCATGCTCGCCTTGCAATGACAGCACCAACGCTTCTGTTGTCACTGTACACAATAGCCTACATCTAGTCCCACATTCCAAAGAACTCCTGTCTGTTGTGGAAAAAAGCTGTTAGTGATACTCCTGTACGACTAGAGGTTTCTCTGAGTGTGTGGCATGGTTCAGAGCCAGTACTCTACTGGCCTAATAGTCCTGTCTTAAGGGAGTCTTAAGCCCAGTGGGAGACTCTGGAGGCTTCCCTCAGCTGCTGTCTGATTATGTAAGCCTCTGTTACTCAATCTCAAATCTCTCGCCACGAGTGCTCCCCATAAGGCCTGGTCAAGTGTAGTGCAATATGTAGGGAATTGGGTGCTATTTGGGATGCAGATACTTTCAAATCTAACTTTTATCCAAACAGACTGTAGATGTAGTTTGAGGTTTGTGTGTGTTTATGTGTGCTCTTTGCTTTTGTTGACAGTCTATCTGTGTGTTTTAAGACTGGTGTGTTTTTAGCCTTGACTAAAGGACTTGGAATGTTCCAGACTGCCTCAGGGAGGGACGCCCAGTTAAATATTTGCCTTCAGTTAATCTGATCTAAGTCATAGGCTTAATAAGTAGGTGATAAGACTATTTATTTAGCACCAACTCTTGCACATTTTATAATTTATAAGGTTCATTATAATAATCAGTAGGTGAATTGCATCTTAATTAAATTAATCTTAATCTTCATTTTGCACTATATCCTTACACCGGGCTGTACTCACTCAAAAGCTAGCCAAGAAAGAAAGTGTGTAAAAGGATGTTGGGCTAGTAGGGCTGTCGTTCATTCATTTATTGCTCCTTGGCACTGTTTATGCTGACTAATGGTCCAAGACGGTTTGTGTAACTCGTAGTGACACCCAGTCGAGTTGCATAACACTGTTTCCAGCACGGTCACCCCTGTGACCACGGACAGATCAATCATGGAGATGGAGGGAGAGGGGTACACAGTGGAGGAAATACGAGACGGGTACAACGCCATTGTGTTCAAGGCGTTCAATGCATTCCATCTGTCATTGTATTCTAGAAAATAAGGGCACAGCTGAAACATTTACTCAATTTAGCCTAAGTAGTTTGGGAATTAGCCTCAAAGGGCAGAACCTGCATTGGAGTGATGTGCAACAGAGCTATTCTTCTCTGATACTGAGTGAAGCCAGGTTTCCATGATCAGAGGGCTACTTGGCCTTTTATCTCAATCCCTCTCTGATGGCTTTGTGTTCAGGAAACCAGCCATTTTAAAGGGGCAATGTGGGATTAGTACATCCGTTTTTGAATGTTTAAATTAATTATATGTAGCCATTGATTTTTGAATAATATAATTTATGAATGCCTCGAAGAGCTTAGTATAACTTGCTTACTCCATTATTTTACCCCCCAAAAGTGGTGGTGTTACCCCTTTTGGCAGTAGATCAGCGGGCTGTGTATTGCGTCATATCAAAAGGCTAGTTATTAAATCAGACCTCCAATAGAACAGGCCTGTGTGACTGTGACTTTGATCTGTACATCAGACAACTAAGGGCGTAGGCTATCAGCCCACGCTGGCTTCTATTTCCTTTGCTTTGGTCTGCTGCTGACTGTCAAGGGCGACAGCGGTCACACACACGAGATTCAGATTCTCCTCTTTTTTTATGTCTTGACTGGAGCACCCAGACCTACACCACTCTAAAGTGTAGGCAATTTGACAGATTGATTTCCTTCACACAGTAGATATTCAAAAGTGTTGATACATTAAAAAGTGTAGCTTTCGTCAGTCATGTCAGATCAGTAATTTTAAAAGTATTGGGCCATAGCCTTTGCTTGTGGTCTTAGCTGGTCTGTTGCCCAGCCCTCCTCCTCCCCCTCTCAGCCAATAGATGAAGTGGACTCAGCCTGCCTGCCTGGGTTCATCCCTTAGTCCTCCTGTGACAACAATGACATCATCACTTCCAGTCAAGGATTATTCGCAGAGCGAGAATGTTCTGGGGAATCAAACCTGACCAAGATTTTAGTGTATTCGTCTATATCGGGGGTATTCACATTAGAGCCTGGAGGTCCGGAGTACTCCTGGTTTTCTGTTCTACTTCATGCTACCTCCCTAACTCTACCTATGTCAGAGCTGATAATGCTGTTTACACACAGGGGTTGGAGGTCTTATCTGTAATGTTAGTAATGGTGTGGGGAGGCATTGTGTGTTTTGAGATATGCCTTATGTAAGGGAAGTGATGTCCAGGTGCTCAGACTGCTCTAATGACAGTGGATGAAGATGAGATGGATGGATGGATGGAGGGGGTTGTGTAACTGTTGATGTAGCAACGGACTTTGCTCGCTGCCAATATTTACTGTATCAGTGTGTACCATTCCCCACCTGTGTGTGTGTGTGTGGACCGTACGTCCTTTGGCTGAGAGAGGATCACCCTGACCTTGTTTATCTCTGCAAACAGCCTCACAGCTGGCTAGCTATTCGCTCCAGTCAGGTAGCTGGCTAGCTATTTGTTCCAGTCAGGGAGCTGGCTAGCTATTTGTTCCTGTCAGGTAGCTGGCTAGCTATTTGTTCCTGTCAGGTAGCTGGCTAGCTATTTGTTCCTGTCAGGTAGCTGGCTAGCTATTTGTTCCTGTCAGGTAGCTGGCTAGCTATTTGTTCCAGTCAGGGAGCTGGCTAGCTATTTGTTCCAGTCAGGGAGCTGGCTAGCTATTTGTTCCAGTCAGGGAGCTGGCTAGCTATTTGTTCCTGTCAGGGAGCTGGCTAGCTATTTGTTCCTGTCAGGGAGCTGGCTAGTTATTTGTTCCAGTCAGGTAGCTGGCTAGCTATTTGTTCCAGTCAGGTAGCTGGCTAGCTATTTGTTCCAGTCAGGGAGCTGGCTAGCTATTCGCTCCAGCTGTACCTTAAACTATGGGATATCATAAGGTGTCAGTGTTTTGCATACGTTACTAAATATTGTTCTGAAATTATAGTACTAGTTATCTCAATTTCAGGCCATAGTGTGTAGGCTAAAACTACATTTGAGAGCATCGCAGGCCAAAACTACATTTGAGGACATTGCAATTGTCAACATCGATCTGCTTCTTTTGTCATCGTAGCCACTGATCTATAAACAGACACAAATTGGAAACCACTACTTGTTTTTGGCCTTTTTTCAAGGGTTTCCTGCTAAATGATCAGTGTACTTCTGTGCTAAAGTCAGTGTGCGGATGTGAGATGGTAGATTGTATGACTGTGATATGACTATAACCCAGCTCATGTCTCAATGCAGTGCTAGCAGCAGATAGATACACTTTGATCTCCTGCAGGGTTGGACCATTACATAAGATCCACACCATAACATCTACTCCCATACAGAGGCAGTAGGATATAGGATACGTCTCCTGAGTGGCGCAGTCGTCTAAGGCACTGCATCGCAGTGCTAACTGTGCCACTAGAGATCCTGGTTCGAATCCAGGCTCTGTCGCAGCCGGCCGCGACCGGGAGACTCATGGGCAGCGCACAATTGGCCCAGCGTCGTCCAGGGTAGGGGAGGGAATGGCCGGCAGGGATGTAGCTCAGTTGATAGAGCATGGCGTTTGCAACGCCAGGGTTGTGGGTTCGATTCCCACGGGGGGCCAGTATAAAAATAAATAAATAAAATGTATTCACTAACTGTAAGTCGCTCTGGATAAGAGTGTCTGCTAAATGACTAAAATGTAAATGTAAATATAGTACCATGGCAGATGCATTACCAAGGATGGTCGGTTTCGTGCGTGTTCTACTTAGGAATGTGTAAAGGTTATTCCAACACACTGTGAGTGAAAGTCAACACTGCAAATAAACCACCCACCTTTTTGCCCTTCTTGTTGTTGTCTGTGCCTAACAACGTTTGTACCATGTTGTGCTGCTGTCATGTGTTGCTACTGTGTTGTTGTCATGTTGTGCTGCTGCCATGTTGTGGTGTTGTCTCTCTTTATGTAGTGTTGTGGTGTCTCTCTTGTCGTGATGTGTGTTTTATTTAAATCCCCTGTCCCCACAGGAGGCATTTTGCCTCTTAGTAGGCAGGCATTGTAAATAATAATTAGTCCTTAATTGACTTGCCTAGTTAAATAAAGGTTTAATACAAATAAAATAAAACTAGTATACTGCATTAGCTGACTGACCGACTAAGGCAACACTGTCAGCAAGAACAAGCCATTAAATAAAGTTATTCTATTACTTCAAGGGCCAAATCCTAATGCTGTTGTGTGCTTGTTTCTTGCAGGAATCTCTTATTGACACTTTTGCACATTCCACACACAGATATTTTTCTGTGCTCAGATCTCCAGTTAGCATGGCATTTGTGGAGTGTACTGTATGTGTGTAATGTAGGCTACTAGCCTATGTGATAGAGCATCTATTACCTAGGCCCTATACGAAGAATTACAATGTATCCTATGTATTTTATTACCTGCAAATAAACCTTCATCTCTTGAATAAAGTAAATTAAGTAAGCCTTGGACAAAGTAAACCTTGTCCGAGCCAGAACGGCCCATAGTGAATCCCTGGAATAAAAAATAAAATAAAAAATCCATATGGAAGAATGTTGCATTGAATTTGTAATGCATTGTTTTTATACACACTCATTAATCTGTGTTTTGCAGGTACATTCCGCCCCTGCTGTGGGGTAAAAGTGGCCACCTACAGACAGCACTGTATGGCAAGATGGGGCGGGTGAGCTCCCCTCACCCCATAGGCCTCAGGAAGTACTTACCCATGCAGGACGGGGCCACTGCCACCTTTGACCTCTTCGAGCCCATGGGGGACCACCGGACAGGAGGTGGGCTAGTTCAATCATTTATTTACCTTTTTATAGTAATAAAGAGAATGGAGAATCTATTGGCACAGGACTCTTTTTGCAATATAAACGGTCCGCCCCCAAAAATTCCCCCTCTATTGAGATTTGCTTGCCTTACCTTTATTTGACCAGGTTAACTAGTTGAGAACGCATTCTCATTTACAGCAATGACCAAGGATAGAAGTGCAATGGGAAGGAGAGCTGTTGAATGAGCTCATTAGAAGCATGAGAGCAAATTCATCATAATAGAACGTTGTGCTATGGACTTGTCCTGTATGGCCTCAGTTTAACAAAGTGGTTTTGACCCCTTTTGTTGGTCCTTTGACTTGTTTACCCAATGGTTCCATTTCCAGTTCTGTAGGTGATTATTATGTCAGTGTTGTTGAGGACACCGTGACTCTAGGTAAACTCTACTACCGCTACTTCCGGCTAAGGTGATGAGATCAGGGTCTACGACCCAACTAGCACCCTATTCCCTATTTAGTGCACTACTGTTGACCAGACTATGGGCCCTGGTCAAAAGTAGTGTACTGAATAGGGTGCCATTTGGGACGTAGCCCATTTGTTTTGACCTCAAAGAGTTGAGACGTAGTTGTTTCTAGTTGTCACTAGTTTGCGTTGCCTTGAGGAAGGAAGCATGTTACTTTACACCACACACACACACACACACACACATCCACTGTTCATTTGCTGTTCTATTTGTGCTGTTGCCAGTCTCTTCTCTCTGTGTTGTCCGTTTTATCTTACATAGTTATTTTTTATTTAATTTTTATCCCCGTCCCAACAGGAGGAGGCCTCTTGCCGGGCCGTCATTGTAAATAACAGTTTGTTCTTAATTGACTAGCCTGGTTAAATAGAGGTCATAAAAAAAGAGCCTCTGGTAACTAGGCTACTTCATGTTTTTATTATTTGAGTGATTGGGACATCTCAACCTATACAGAGGTTTTATTGTGGCACCATACTGTCCTGTCTCTGTTTGCTGCCTGTCATATTTGCGTACCACACCGTGCAATGATCGGCCCGTGAGGAAATGTAATCAGGCCTTCACATATTTTAATTTGCAAACGGCTCACTGATCCGTCTGTCCGTATGTTTGCTGTTCCAACAGATGACGTCACCATGGTAATATGCCCGGGGATCGGTAACCATAGCGAGAAACACTACATTCGCACCTTTGTGGGTCACTCTCAGAAGGAGGGTTACAGGTGTGCCGTGCTCAATCACCTGGGCGCTCTGCCCAACATCGAGCTCACCTCGCCTCGCATGTTCACCTACGGTGAGGACTACACAGACGTGTACACACACACACACACTCCTAATAAAAAAACAGACATGCGTGTGCACACACACACAAAAACAACAACAATACGTTTTATAAGTGAAAAGACAGGATAGGTTTTCACCACACCACCCTCATTTCAGATCAGTGGTCATGAATTAAGCTACCAAGGAAATGAACCAGCTCAAAGCCCCAGTATGTAATGTCTTTGCTCTGGTCCTTGCCTGTGTTCTTGTTCTGGTAGGTTGCACGTGGGAGTTTGCGTCCATGGTTGGCTACATCAAGAAGACTTTCCCTCACACCCACCTCATAGTGGTGGGCTTTAGCCTGGGAGGCAACATCGTGTGCAAGTTCCTGGGAGAGAACCGGACCAATCAGGAGAGAGTGCTGTGCTGCGTCAGCGTCTGCCAGGGATACAGCGCACTCAGGTGGGCTATGGTCTTCTTAAGACTTATTTATACCTTATGCAAGTACGCAAAACAACATGTAAGAGCTACGCAAAACGGCGATCCGGTGTACTTGCGTGGAGTTACAAGTTGCAGTGCTGCACACGTTTGTGTATTATGGCTACGCAAGTCCGCAGAACGGCCATTTTGCGTAGCTAATGGCGTTTGTTGCATTACGTACTATATACCCTTTTTACACACAGCTGTATACTTGGAAAGTGAAGGCGTCGTAAACATTAGTGGAGACACTATCTTTTTTTTAGAGGCAGTGTTATGCTTGCTAGCAATGAGCTGTAACTTAGCTAACTTAATGCAAATAAGTGAATTGCTTCTCCCCAATTTAGCAAAGTTAGCTAGCTAGCTGAAGTTATTTACTGTGGTCCCGTGTAGCTCAATTGGTAGAGCATGGCGCTTGCAACGCCAGGGTTGTGGGTTCGATTCCCACGGGGGGCCAGGATTAAATAAAATAAAATGTATGCACTCACTAACTGTAAGTCGCTCTGGATAAGAGCATCTGCTAAATGACAAAAATGTAAATGTACAGTTGGTTAGCAACCATTGCTACTCTTTTGCAAGCTATGGTAACACAGCTGTCAAAAATGAATGAGCTGTTTAGTTGTGTTTTACCAATGGTGAAGGCGCATGAAGATGAAGGAATTGAGATATTTACATTTACATTTTTAGTCATTTAGCAGACGCTCTTATCCAGAGCGACTTCTTGGAGCAATTAGGGTTAAGTGCCTTGCTCAAGGGCACATCGACAGATTTTTCACCTAGTCGGCTCGGGGATTAGAACCAGCGACCTTTCGGTTACTGGCACAACGCTCTTAACCACTAAGCTACCTGCCGCCCCAAGATATGTCTTCGTTTGAGCGCTATCCACTGAGTTTGTAAACTACGGCTTGCGATATGGTTCAATGTGCCAGTAAATAAGCACAATTTACTTTTTTGTTTATTCAAATTGCCGCAGTCTTGGAGCTAGAATTTGAATCATGCATACTGTGCTAATGCCAATACAAAAAATGAGTAATGGAGCGCAATGTACAATATGGTGAACTTGGCAAATGAGGCGTTTGTGGTAAGTACATGGGGGGCTGTCATCTTTATGCACCTCTGTGACTTTCCAAGTGTATTGCTTTGAATACAAGTGCTCTGTCTATCCTTCTCCTGAGCCTTGGTACTCTGTAAAAGGAGGTTCACTCAGATGGAATTCACTTTGCCCAGCAGCTGTCTGTCTGACAAGATGGCAACAAGGCTGAGAGTAGCTGGGATCCTGTTTTTTTTTCTCCAGCAAACATTGATCATTTCCTGTAGTTTGTTCTCATCTGTGATCTCAGTGGACTGGTGACTAACACAACAAAGACAGAGGACTGATGCCCTGCCTTTTATCCTTGCCTGGGTGCCGGTCTGTCTCCGCTGTAGACAACTGCTTGTTGCCTTGCCAAGTCTTTGAGCTAGACAAAGATGTAGGCTAGGCTACAATACTGTATCTGTTGTTGAATACTGAAACAGACGCATACTGTTGGCTGCTCTGTTAACCTGGGTTGTTAGTGTTATTGTTCATGCATCATGCAGTTCTTCCATGGAGGTTGTTTCAGTGTCGTTTTCCGTTCTCTGCCTTAATCCCTGTAATCTATTTGATTACACTTGGGTATACAGTGGACTGCCTGTTATCATAACGACCATAGACTTTGTAAACACTTGAGCTTCTGTACTGATGGGGAAAACTGTTTTGTCACGGCATGGTGTTTCTAGTTGCGATATTGCACAAGCTCCGGAACGGAGTAGATGGAACTCTGAAGCGTGTGGTGTATGTGAACCACACCTTTTAGAGTTTGAAAGGCGGCCAATGTCTCTTGGCAGGAACAGTCTGCTCTGTCCAGAGAGTAAACGGTGTGTATGTGTCAGGACAGGCAGACTGGCCTTTTGTGAAATGGGATTAGTCTTCATACCTCAGTTTATTTTCCATTCCTGTCTATGGCGTAGCTAAAGCCATGTCTTTTGTCATTGCCCATGCCCATGTGTTGAATAGGATTGTTGTGCCTGCTGCGTAGTTCTCACAATATATGCTACCTCAGTAGTATTTCTCATCAGGGTTGGGTCAGTAGGTTACTTTCTAAATGTAATCTGTTACTAGTTACCTGTACAAAATTGTAATCATTAACGTAACTTTTGGATTATCCAAACTCAGTAACGTAATCTGACTTCCCCGTTAAGAGGCGTTAGAAGAAGACAAAAAGGATCCATCAAACGCATTTGGTGTCATCATAGTGGTCTCTGAACTTGTGTTAAGACAAAATACATCTGATTAGGCCTACATGTAACTGATAACATAATCAGTTACTCCTCAACCCTGTTTCGCATGTGCACTAGCAGATATGAAGTTGGACTAGCTAATTGCTAGATGGGTTCTGCTAGCTTGTTATTAGCTAGTTGCTAGTACTGCTAGCTTGTTGATAGCTAGTTGCTAGCTAGGTAGTGTTGGCGAGTCCATAGTGCAGTGAGAGATCCTTCTGCGGATTTGGTGGGTGGGGCGATGGTTAGCATGCTAGCTTCAAGAGTACAAGTGTTGTTGGGAGCAGGAGTTATTTTGTCCCATGTTGGCCTACAGTGATGAAACCTGTGTTGCATGCTTTAGCCAACCTTTCTGAATATGTTGGTTGTCAGGCCAAACGGGTATAACCATGACAACAATATAATTGTTTCTCTCTCTACACACAACTGACTTCCTGTTTTGTGTGTGTGTGTGTGTGTACAGGGCCCAGGAGACATTCCTACAGTGGGACCAGTGCAGACGCTTCTACAACTTCCTCATGGCCGACAACATGAAGAAGATCATCCTCTCACACAGGTACTCAGCCCTGTTCCAATACTTAGCACATTCACACTGGTAGGCCCAGTCCCAAAGAAGCTCCTACCCTAGGCCCATGACACTTCTCATACATCTGAAATGGGCAAATGACTGTAAAAGCGATATGATGGAAACTCCATGTGGTGATTGGGAGCTATCACCTGATAACACCCATTCAAGCCCTGCTGTGTCCACCCATAGGAAAATAAAGCTTCTGCTAAATGGCTTATATTATTATAAATTATTTAAGATCTAGGACAAATGGCTTGGACTGAACTCAGTCACAACCCAGCAGATCAGTAAAATTCCCCATAGAGAGAGGAGAAACACCAAACCAGTACAGAGTACCCTGAGGCAAACTATTTAACTAATGAAATGGAGGCAATTAGCGATAGCACGGAAATTCCTGGTATAGGTATGGATTTTACTGAGAATAACTATAGTGTTGTCACATGCATTTCAACGCCATGTCTCAACGTTTGTGTGTGTGTTTACAGGGGCAGTCTGTTTGGAAGTGCGACGAAGATGGAGGACTCAGACCTGAGTCGGCTCTACACGGCCACCTCCCTCATGCAGATCGATGAAACCATCATGAGGTATAGGAGACGCTGAAAAATAACCTAGACTCACAATCAAATCACTGTGTTTTGCTTTCCTAATACATTTTAGTAAAATACATGAAATAGAATCTAATAAGGAACACATGCTAAAATGAGACACACAACTCAATTATTCCTGTGAGCAACCGGTCTCACATTGACCCCATGTGAAATCAGTCCTAAATGTTTTAGTGTTTAGTCCTCAACACTAAAACATTTAGGACTGATTTCACAGGGGGTCAATGTGAGATTTATGGCTGTATGTTCAAAATAGACTGCACCTGCTGAAGTGCAACTTTTCGAGTTTTGTCAATGCATAGGAATAATATGCTAGGCGCCATTGAGCAAGGCTAGGGCTGGGCGATATGGCCTAAAACAAATTCGAACTTATGGGCGATTCTCGATTTATATCTCTCAAAAGGCTTTGTTGCACAATTAAAGGTCAAAACACTGCATTTCAAACAGTCGGTAATAATCTAATGAATTCAGGGCTTGTAAAATTATACATAGGCTAAATATAAGCCTTCAACCATAAGACCCATTAATAATTACATTATTTATCAAAATAATTTAACCTGCTTTTTGCAATAATCACTGATCTGGCTTTCAAATTTGTCTTTGAAAATGCCCTTTTTGTTACAAATTTAACCAGAACTATGCACATCCACTAATAATGACTAACTTCTTGTAGCAGGCATTATAGAAAATGAACACCGATCACATAAACAATCTCTCAAGCACAAGCCCATCTTCTAGTGGGTAGCCAGCTAATCTTTATATTTGAAGACTAGCCAACTTGGATTTATTTGCTTGATAACAAGGCAGAACAGTTGAACTGTTATGAATACACCCTCCTGTCAGTCTTCAACTGTTTGAACAACATAGCCCGTTCACTTTGTTTAGATATTGAAATCAAGTGGCCTACCTAGATAAGAAGATGCTTATTTCTCAGAATATGAACGAGTTGCCAATTCCTGACATAAATGCGTATTTTTATACTTTTATAAAACACAGATTAGACAGCTAGCACATAACAGTCTGTGGCTAAAATGCTGTTAGCGGTACGTGTTACCGCAATGCCGCACACGACAGAAACTGAGCAAACATTTGCCACAGTCATTGATACTCCCGTCTTAGTAGGGTCTGCTCTGTTCTACATTTTGGGAGTTGAGACATAAAAAAGGTATCATTAGAAAGGTTAAATTCTCCTCTTTTACAGTAAAATAATGTCTCAATGTGTTTTGGTGTCCATATGACCAATTCTGTTGGACCAAACCTCATGCAGGTAGCTAGTTGAAACTGCTTGTCAGAGAGGAAGAAGTGATCTTTTGTTGTGGTGAGTGGCTTGGTGTCTGTGTGCCAATGGGAAGGTGCACAGTGCCCACAGCACAGAAGGAGAAGACACTAAAAAGACAGTCATAAAAACAAAACAAAAAATCTAACCTTGATTCTTGCGGTACAGGCATTTAGAACCGGTACAGGCATTTAGAACCAGTACAGGCATTTAGAACATTACGCTAAAACATGAGTTCAATATATCGCCCAGCCCTAAGAAAGGCCTCTGAGTATCTTGTTGAGCAGGGTTTATAGGGCTGTTTTCACCCAGGTAGTACAGTATGTCCCTTAATAATCCCTCTCCAGTTTCCACAGCATGCTGCTATGTTTTGTGACCTGTCACCCCTCTGTCTCTGCAGGAAATTCCACGGGCACAACTCCCTCAAAGAATACTACGAGAAGGAGAGCTGTGTACATTATATTCACAATGTAGGTTGATACGCTCTCTCTCTCTCTCTCTCTCTCTCTCGCTCGCTCGCTCGCTCTCTCGCTCTCTATCGCTCTCTCTCATCTGAATTAAGAATAATTAAAAAAACATTTTGTATGCGTGTAAGAATATCAGAAATGTGTTAGGTTCGTTGGAGAGTTCATGATTTAAGCTTGTGTCTTAGTGGACTCTTATAGGGTTTGTGTATTCCATACAGTATATCTAATAAAGGTTGTATTTTGTAGGTTGACGTGCCACTACTGCTGGTGAACTCTGCAGACGATCCTCTGGTGCACGGGTCTCTGCTCACCATCCCTCGCACACTGGCAGGTAACAGACACCTGCATTAGTCACACACACACACACACACACACACACACACACACACACACACACACACAGCCTGTTTCTCTAGTCAGAGCTCGTCCCTACAGAGACACAGGGCCACTCGGCAGTACCTGGTCAAGTTGTCAGTCAGTCTATTGTCTTCATCCTAAGACACCATGCTGAGGGGAACATTTAGAGACAGTACATTGATCTGACTGCTGGTACTGGCTCTAAAATCACAGTGCAGTTCTGGGCATTTAAAAAAGTTGTCAGAGTCTGCGTGATTGGATCGAACCGCCCTATCCCGTCCCCCAGGACACCTTTTCCCTAGAGCTAAACATGCCCATGTGTAATTTCCCACCTGAAAAAGTTACATTCTGTCTGTGCTCTGCTTATGTTTGTAATAATGCAGTGTCATTATAGTTCAAACAGACACAGAAGTTTGTACAACATGTCGATCATGTTGTTTATAGTTACAACAGAAGTTTGTAGGCTGCAACATGTCGATCATGTTGTTTATAGTTACAACAGACACAGATGTTTGTACAACATTTACATTTTCGTCATTTAGCAGACGCTCTTATCCAGAGCGACTTACAGTTAGTGAGTGCATACATTTTTCATACTGGTCCCCCGTGGGAATCGAACCCACAACCCTGGCGTTGCAAGCGCCATGCTCTACCAACTGAGCTACACGTCCCATTTCTAGTTACGGCAGACATGTTGTACAAAATGCCTTTATGCAGAGCAGTGGAGCTACATTTAAAATGATTGTGACTGAAGGTGTGGTTGTTTTCGCTATTGAGAAGAGGCGTCCAGAGAATCCGATCATACAGCTGCTCCATAAAAAGTTAGCCAGTACTGCAACACAGTAAGAAATACACATTGCTAAAATGAACTTGGTGTTTGGTGTCAGCAAGCCACTTTGAAAAAGTCACTTTTTAATGCCCAGAACTGTATGTGCACATGTTATTTGTGTACTAACACAAGGGAAATCATTATAAATCTACTGTATTTTCACCAGTTCAAGACAGGGTACAAAGTTGTCCCTTACTTTGTCTCTGAAACAGCAGAGCTGGAATAGAAAGGATTGGTCTACTGACTAAGTCCCAGGCCAGGGAGAGGGAGGCATATAGAACTAGGTCTGTTGGGAATGTCTGACTGGTTAACACTGGCTCAATAACTCAACCACACACACACAGTACTGTATCACACAGATGAGAGCCTCTGTCTCCACGTGTGCTCGTGACTTAGACTTTAGACACCGCTAGGCGTTACCTTTTTAGGTATGCGAACTAAAGTCTGTCCTTTTTTCAACACTAACTGATTCTAATGAACGATATAACACCCATCATGGTAACCTATCATTTTAAAATAGAACACTGAGAATAGCAGCCAATCAGCTCAATCCTCAAGGGTTTACTGAGTTGATCAAATGGAGCTGTAAAGGAAAGCATGCTATTTATGGAAACAACTACCTCAGCACTACCAACTAGTCATCATTTGTTGGATTATCTCAAATCCATGGACTGTAGCCAGTTCTCTTCTCCCACGGGATTACTGGAACAGCCCATCCCAGATTCCTCCCTATCCCTCCCCCTTGGCATGTCTGAAGGGTCTGGTTAGGGATAAGCTGTGTAGTGGTAGAGCTTCCACCATATTGTTTCCACCTTACAGATCTGCAAACATTGAAGGGGTAGGTCCAAAGAGAAGCTCCCTACTGTTATGATCACATTTCCTCAAAGTGGTGCAGAATGTGTGGTGGTGATATGATCCCTCCTGTGTCCTGTTATTTATAGTGTCCCAGAGCTGGGATGGAGGGTAACACTAGCCCACTGGCGTGTCGTTTCCTGCACTACAGAGAGATGCAGGGTGGAGATATCAGCTGGTGCCCTGCCTAACTCTCTTAAAGGGGAAATCAGCTGGCAGTTCTGTCCCCTTTGCCCTAGAAGAGTCAGGCTGACTCACTCACACACACTATGGCCACAGGAAGCCTGGAAACACGCAAAAGCTGTTGTATAACTAATGTGGTCTCGTCACCTCACCTGGAATTCAACTCTAAGCCACATGGTAGTTGGCACGTCATTAGGACTGTCTGGCGGACAAATCCAATCAACAATCTTTTAGTTGGAAACCTCAGTCTTGTGCTCCGTAGTGCTTAACCCCAAGTAAAAGTTGATTCCATTTCATTTTAGGATTCAAATTGAATGTGTTATTCAAATGAAGAATATGACAGTATTTTTATTATGAATAAACAGTGTGTAGTTTTAGATGAATTAGGCTTCTGTAGAATTGACCTAGAGGGCTGTAAAACGGCAGCCATCTTCTCCGGCGCCATTCTATCACTTTGGGCCTCATGATGTTTTCCTCATACTCATCTTCCGTGTCACAAAATGGAAGCTGCATATTAGACATGTCATTTCTGTTTTAAAGCAAGCTTCAACTTTTCCCTCTGCGTCTAGTTCATGGTCCTTTGCAAACGCGATTAAACAATTGATAGGACACCTCTTCCCAAAAGATGCAGCCAGCCAGCCAAACTGAATGGTTTATTATGATGTGTTCCTACATCAAACCCTCTTCAGGGTTCAGCCTAATGGAAAGCTGGGGTGTCCTTTTTAATTTTCTATAAATATGAGTAATTTCCTAGAATCACCTAGGCTATTATAACCGCTGGTAGATGTTAGCAAATAGTGTATGGTTGGTACAAGCCCTTTGGGATCACACTCACCAGGCGGACACTGCAGTTTCCCCCACTAACCCAGTTAGAGCTGGAGAAATTAGGGATCCATGTCTGGATGCCACACTAGTGTTCTGTTCAGGGTTGGGGTCGATTCGAATTGAAGGCAGTCAATTCAGGAAGTGATTAGATTTTTTTTTTAAATGTTTAAATAAATTGCTTCTACTTTTCAGTTTATTTAGAAGTAATTGAAAATGGGGGCCATTTTTTAAATGATTGAATTGGAATATCAATTTACTTCCTGAATTAACTTGGTTCTGTTATCACTGGTAGGCAGCAGCTGGGGAATACCTGCAATACTGTTGTTACTTGCTACATGCTTAGTCATTTCATAAAAGTTTATGTTGTGCTATTTTAATACCTCTTATTTACAAGGTTCTAACAGTTCTTTTTATTTCAAGTTAATATATGAACACTAACCTCACTAAATAGGTTATAAATAGGCTGTACTGTACAGCCTATAGTCAAAGTGAATTGGCCCATTTTGGTTGACCTCACAGTGGATTGGGTAGAATTATTTTTATTTCAACAAAAACCAAAACCAAACGGTATGAAGTAACAAAGCTACAGTGCCATATGGGCTAATTGTTCTAGTTGGTCCATCCTGATAGATATTACATGTTTATTGCCTTTATCAAGGCGCTATTTATCTTTCATCATGGTTATTGCGCTAACCTGGTGATAGTGATCGGTGTTAATACACTGGACCCTGCTCTCCTTCCGCTCCCTGTCCGCCTAGACAACTGACTCAATATCTCTATGTCCCATTACGCGGATGACGCCATTTTTACGACCTTGCTGTAACATTATTTGCTGTGTTCGTCATTTTACAGAATGTATCATATCATACATGACATAACTGTCACTAAACAATGACTCCCATGTGGTGCCGGGACTGGTCTGGTGGTAGTGCTGCCGACCCAGAACACATATGCCCCTGGAGGCAGCGGTTCGATCCCCTGTTCCGCAACTTGCTTTCTATACTGTATCCCTCTTATATATCTCCCTCTCATACATTTCTATCCATCTATCTGTCAATAAACTTAAAAATATGTTTTAAAAGATGCCTCGATATCCTCTCATTCTACCCCCTCCCTTTCTGTTCTCCCTACCCAGAGAAGAAGCAGAATGTCATCTTCGCCCTGACGCTGCACGGGGGCCACCTGGGCTTCTTTGAGGGGGCCGTGCTTGTCCCCCAGCCCCTCACTTGGATGGACAAGGTGATCGTGGGCTATGCCAACGCCATGTGCCAGTGGGAGAAACAGAAACCGCCGTGCCAAAAAAGCGGAAACCTGAGTACACCCTGCCCTGAGGAGAAGGCAGCGTAAACTTTAACCTCCTGAACTCCTCTCTTGCTCACCTCAGACCCCCCTCCCCACTCACTGAGGAGAAACTTTAACCAAACTTGAACTACTACTCTCTCTCTCCTCTCACCCCTCTTCTCGGGCTACTGTCTCAACCCTCCTCCTCTGCCTCCCTGGTACCCCTGTTCCCTCAGCCTCTGCTCCTCCTGCTGCCCCCCTCTAACCAAAACAACCTTACATGTGAAGGAACTAAAATGACTAAATGCCTTTGTGCTTTGTCTCTGAGGGGAACTAGTGGAGTGGAGAGGAACAACAGCTTTTGTCCTTACGTATACATTACCAAGAGAGATCCCTGAGATCCAACCATGGAGACTTTGACCAAATACTCACTAAAAAGGGATGAAGCAACCTGACATCCTATGAGTAGAGAGGGAGAGAAAGCGACATGGTAGAGGTGTAGTCGTAGAGATAACAAGAGCACAGAAGAAACCTCCTAGTACTATCTCTGAGGACTAATGAAGCTGCAGTTACTGTACGTCACAGTGCGCTCACTGCTGACGACCGCCAAGGCTTTAGCCTAGTTTGCCGTCTTAAACCAACACCGCCTCTTTATACAATGTATGTTACTCGCAAATACTGTATAAAAAGCCAGTTTAGTTTAGCAGGCCGTGTGTGTGCTGAGAAAGAGAGCTACGGGATAGCTCTGTGAGCATGTGACCTTTTCTATTTGGTTGATCTGATTCTCTGTTCACGGTCTGTTTTAGTCCTAAGTATGATTTCTTGGTGAATATCAGCCCTTTTTGGAAGGTATACAAATATTAAATACTATATTATACAGTAATGGAACTTTTAATCGAATCCCCCATAAAATAAGTATCTATTTGGTACTTGATTCCATGTAGAATCAAGGGGTATGTCTCACATGGCACCCTAACCCTTATGGTGAAATATAGTGGCCCAGGTCAAAGGTAGTGCACTACAAAGGGAATAGGGTGCCTTTTGGGATGCATTCAAGGTTCCCCCCCCCCCGTTATATTAAGCAATGGAGGTAGGTTTTTGCCTACCGGACCTGACCAGTGGTCAATCTCAATGGGATCCATGCACATTCCTACTGTCTCGTTGGTTCTATCACTTTAATTCAATGCACTTTATACGTTGTATGCCACGTTTCTTTATTTAACCATTTTGTTGTTCTTTCTTTTATGGGACTAGTGGAAGATAAAGGTTTAGAAACTCTTTTTTTTTATGCGTAACGTTTTGTTCAGTGACACTAACGAACGAACGGGAGGGAGAGAGGTCGGTAACTCTTCAAGTTAGATGGCCCAAATGATCCCCATGTTCACTAAACCCTACAGTGCACCCTCCCATATAGTGCCCTACATGTTAGTACACCATGTAGGGAATAGTGTCATTTGAGATTAGCCCTCAGGGTGAATCTTCCTTGGCTGTCTGTCCTGTGCAGTCAACCTACTCAGCCTTACTACTAACCCTAACCTACTCAGTCCTATACCCTTGATCAGCTCCAGGTCTTCTATAACATGACTGACTATGGAATCATTCCCTTAGACAGAGAGTAGCCCACTGCCAATACACAGACACTCCAGTGTCAAACACTCATATAGAAATGGACCTAGTTGTACTTGTTTTAGCTAGCACCTCAGACTCAATAATATCACTAAAATACATTTTCCACCAATGTCAAAACGTACATAACTTGCTGTGATAACTGGTTTATCACATCCAATGTTGAACCCTTCATTGGCGAGGGCACTGTACAGATGCACATACAATCATGTAGATGGCTGGGATAATAGACCATGTGTTCATGGGACCTGAGGTGTGCTGAGTAGGATGGCCATAATCATTCACTTCTAACAGACTCCATTTTGTTGAACCAAAAGTCGTCACAGAAAAGTGTTTTTAGTTGACCAGTGGTAGAATACTGATAGAATATTGGTGGTAGTGTTGAGGTCTCCCAGAGAGGAAGTATATTATACATGGAAATGGCCCAACTTTGTTGCTAGGGAACATTATATTTGAAAGAAACTGTATACAAGGGGAGAGAACTTCTTTCCGTTTTATTTTGTCAGGACCGAAGGTCTTAGCACACACGTTTGTGTTTTAAGGAATGCTGTAACATGTCAATGCTGCAAGATGCTGAGGTGTATGAGAATGATGTGTAGGTGAGAATCTGATGAGGTTCGCAAAGTCTCAACCCCGAAGTCAAGGGTGAGTGGCGAAAAAAAGATCAAGTTTAGATGTTATAGCTTTCAGTGTTTCCTCTTCTTCAGATATATAATGGCCATGCATTTTCCCCTTCAAAGCCTGCAGTGGGAGCCATGCTGGTAGTGTGTGGTGTCATGACATGGCTAGTCCAGAGATCCAGCCAAGTGAACTGCAGGGAGATAAAGCTGGTGATTCACTGTACATTAGGGTTGCATCCCAAATGACACCATATTCCCTAATATAGTGTACTACTTTTGACCTGAGCCCTATGGACCCTGATTAAAAGTAGTGCACTATATAGGGTGTCATTTGGGATGCTGCCCAGGCGTATCAGTCCCACCCAACCCATACCTCCTGAGTACCATAATGATCTCTTTTAACATCACCTCATGCCAGTCATTTGGCTGGCTGAGTTCTTTCAGCCTTGTAAACTGCCACTCCCTGCTCTAATTTCATCTCTGTCGACTGGTGTCTAAACACAAGGGTGCCATCTGCAGGCTTGGAGAGCAAACTACAACTACTGTCTAAAATCCAGCCAGTATGTTACTGTACAGTAGTCCTTTAGACATTATTGATGTTAACTCAGTGAGAGAAGATTTGAATACCGCTGTTGAACTAACTGATGTTTATTACCAATGTTTGTTACCAATTTTTAAGGACACTTCACAGTTATAGTTAAAAGTTGATAGAAAATCAGTTAGTCAGTGAATCGTCCAGTCTAACCAATAGTCATGTCATTCTGAGATATCCCAGCGAGTATGATCTGAGTCTTGATACACCAGCATAACAAGCAATCTTTGCTATGACTCCACACAAACAGGGTGTGTTCTGTCTATAGAAATCCGCTTATCACCTAACTTTGCACCGAAATGCAGGTTTGGATTGTATCTCTTCAAACTAGTTACAGAATTGTTTTTTCAGATTTATTTTCGAAATGTTTTTTGTATTTTGTATTGTTACGGTGACTAATTGTTGTTATTGTTATTTTCTTGTATGTGCAAATTTGTCAGCACGTGAGTGTTTATGAATGAATGTAGGTGTGTATGCTGAGTCCTGACACCACCTCTGGTTGGGAAAACCAAAACATGTCTTCACTGTAAAGATATGAATTAATTAAATGTATACATAGTTGGGTCGTTCCACCAATTCAGTGCCTTTTGAGATGTGTAACTTGGTGACCTTTATTACTTTTATTTAAAAAATTACTATATTAAGTGGCAAATGAAGTAACAGGGTTGGCGTTTTCATCTTAAATCAGCCATAAATCCCCTTCTGACGGTGGGGGAATGGAAGCTTGTTGTGTACAACCGGGAAGGGCAATTGAATGCAACCTTTAAAAAAATAAATGTTAAAACATTTCTAGCCTGTCTATATATGGGTAACAGGGTTGCCGTGTTATGCTCGACCTGCTCAGTTTCCCACCACAAAACACCAGAACATTTCCAAAAAGAGTAGAACCAGCTCACCTGCTTTTACACTATTTGACTATTCAATATTAAAGGAGTGTTCAATTCACGTAGGAGAGTTGACCTTAAAATGAAGGGACTGTTTTTCCCCCTGTTTTCTTTCTTAAAAGGAATCACTAATCACATGAAATATGTTATCATCTTCAGAAATGACTGCAAAAGCAACAAAATAACTAGGGCTTTACAATGATGGACAAATTGAGGTTAAGTGGGTTAAAAATCTTCCTGGAGGGAACAGAGGGTGCATGGAGGGACATGTCAAAATGCTGAGTTTTGGCACTTTAGGAAGTCTTTCTTGATATTACAAATCTGATTTATTGAATTCTCCATGTGGTCTATATTAAAGGGCACTTCATTGAATATAACAGACTTTTAAACTTCAATATTGGTACACAATTTCTACCTAAAATATTAAAGGGATGTAAAAGGCACTCATTTTGTGAAACGACCCAGTTATATATGACCATCTGTATGACAGGAACCAGGGGATATTTCATAAAGGATTAAGGCAATAATCAATAGGCTTTTGGTTTTTCTCTCTTAAGGTTTAAATGCAAACGTGTGAGGGAAAGATCATTAAAAAAAATTTAAAATAAAAGTGGGAGAACAATCTTATTTATTCAGTTCTGTTTCTACATAGAGAATGGGCTCCAATCGATGTCAGATGTTCTGAATTGTTCATTTTAGGATTAATATGAAAAAATGTATTAATCTTAACTTCCGCTTGTTGAAACTAATTGTGTAAGTGTGACTGACTATGGTCTTGCAGGTCCTGCTTTTGAGAGACAACCCTTGGAGACTGGATGAGCTCAACAAATGTAATTAGTGTCTCAGAGTAGGAGCGCTGATCTAGGATCAGTTTTGGCTTTTAGATCAAAATACATGATTGATTGTATGGACATTCGGGACCTAGATCAGCACTCCTCTGAAATGCTTGATACATACAGCCCCAGGGGTTTATTCCATGGGGCGAAATGTCCAGAACGATGCTCATAGAAAAGTAGTGCATAGAACCAACATGGTTCTCAATTCCACAAGAAAGAAAGCTCTAAATGCTATGCAATCCATTTCTATCTGAAACGTTCTGAACATTCCGTGCTATGGGGAATGGAGCCCTTTCCACCAATAAGAACACAGTGATCCATGACATCAACAAATGTTCACTTTAACATTCTAGAGCTTTATTCTTGTGTTTACAATTCATTTCATTGTATGATGATGTTAGCTGTTTTGGAAGGGTGGTGGATGTGGAAATGTAATATTGGTGCACTGATATAATCATACAGTATGACATTATGAATTCAGATCACTGATGTGTTTTTGTAAAGAAAACCAATGGTGTGTGTGATGTAATAATAATTTAAAAAAATATGGTTGTGTTCCAAAAATAAATTATTTTCTTGTAAAAAGTTTTCTTTTTTGTTGTGTCTTTATGAGCAACTGGTGGTATGATTGATCTTCAGAAAGTATTCACACCCCTGGACTTTTTCAATATTTTGTTGTGTTAAAGTGGGATTCAAATGGATTTAATTAAATGTCAATGATCTACACAAAGTACTCTGTCAAAGTGGAAGAAAAATTCTAACATTAATGGAAAAAGAAAACCCTGATATATCTTGATGAGATAAGTATTCAACCCACCTTTGGCAGCGATTACAGCTGTGAGTCTTTCTGGGTAAATCTCTCAGCGCTTTGCACACCTGGATTATTAATTTTTCTAAATTCTTCAAGCTCTGTCAAGTTGGTTGTTGATCATTGCTAGACAGCCATTTTCAAGTCTTGCCATAGATTTTCAAGCCGATTTGAGTCAAAACTGTAACTAGGCCACTCAGGAACATTCAATGTCATCTTGGTAAACAACTCCAGTGTATATTTGGCCTTGTGTTTTAGGTTAATGTCCTGCTGAAAGGTGAATTCATCTCCCAGTGCCTGTTGGAATGCAGACTGAACCAGGTTTTCCTCTAGGATTTTGCCTGTGTTTAGCTCTAGTACATTTATTTGTATCATAAAACAACTCCCTAGTCCTTGCCGATGACAAGCATACCCATAACATGATACAGCCACCACCATGCTTGAAAATATGAGAAGTGGTACTCAGTGTTGGATTTGGCCCAAACATAACACTTGGTATTCAGGACAAAAAGTTACTTTCTTTGCCACATTTTTAACAGTTTTACTTAAGTGCCTTATTGCAAACAGGATCCATGTTTGGGAATATTTGTATTCTGTACAGGCTTCCTTCTTTTCACTCTGTCAATTAGGTTAGTATTGTGGAGTAACTACAATGTTGTTGATCCATCCCCAGTTTTCTCCAATC